TGATCTAAGGAGCGGGAGCTTCGGCATTATCGGTCAGCAAAGACAGCTGAGACTGCTCATGCTCGTCATCGACTTCGCTGGAAGAAGAGCTGTCATCCTGAGTTCTCAGTAGGATAAAGGTTTGTAGCAGGGCTGTAGCAGAGCTGGTTAAGTTTAGCCTAGACTCTTCACAGTCATTGCTGGGCAGATACTTCCGTAGTTCCAGCTTCAATTTCGCAAGTTCCCCATTCCGCGAAGACCGAGCACGGCGGGTCAGGTGTTTGAATTTGGTAACCTGCAGGTCTAGCCACTTGTCTGGCAAGAAAATGAGCCACATCAAGCAGAATTCCTGAACCCCAACAGCCAAGAAGCCAACTTTCTCATAGCCAAACCGGCTTTGCATGCGTAGTCCCGAACGGCTGGCGTAAGGATCGTTATCCCTCTCGGCAGAACATCATTGTTGTTGAAGTAATACAGCAAGGCATCCATATACACATATGCACTCAAACGACGGCGAGAAATCGGTGTTCCCCGCACGGCTGCCGAAATAATCTAGGCTTCGCAAGGGCAAGACTTGCACATGTCTGAAGAAGTCAAGAAACCAAAGCCCAAACATACAAGATGCTCTGGGATTTCCGATGACATCCTTCCTGCTGCAGGCCCTGCGTTGATTCAATAACTTCCCGGACGTGTCAGCAAGTAGAGCCAGACCTACCTCAGTCTTCGAGCGGCCCTGCGTGTGCTGCAATCCGCCAGATCCCGCAAAGTGCTAACACGAATATTTTGGAAAGCCGCTCTTGAAAGACTCTCCTCCTTCGCAATCTCAAGCCCGACAGCTTTAGCTTCAGCACATGGCTCGAAACGAACTTTCGCCACATGCTTCTTCATACCCCAGACCCCAAACTATACATGAAAACTCAGTGCTGCGAACAGGAAGAATAGCGGCGAATAGCGAATGCTTGCAGCTTGCCATGCATGCACTGACCGATGAATCAGCTGATCTCACCCTTGCATGCAGTCACGGATCACTCAGACACTCCGGGTGGGGCAGGGCACACCTTTGAAATGGCAGAATTTGGGCCCTGCTCGTCGGCCCATGCCATGGCGATCTTTATCTGCCGAAATTAAGACCCACGCAAGCTCAAAGTTTGGCACATCTCGATTTTTAGCAAGGGCGCATGCCAGAATATTCTACGGTTTTAGAGCTTTAGGGGCTTCGGGCTTTAGGGTTTGGGGCTTTAGGGGTGTAGTGCTTTGTTTTGTTAAGCACGGCTGGAAACCTACGAACAGCCCACAAATGCTTTGCAAGTGGAAGCTTGGTACACTTCTCGATCTGCGGAGAGGCTCCCGTGCACAAGCTTGGTACACGTCTCGATTTGTGCACTGTGCCGGGCACAGCACGGACCTGGCAAAAGTTCGTTTCCCCGAAACACTAGTGAGATCGAGAGAGAGAGAGAGAGAGAGAGAGAGAGAGAGAGAGAGAGAGAGAGAGAGAGAGAGAGAGAGAGAGAGAGAGAGAGAGAGAGAGAGAGAGAGAGAGAGAGAGAGAGAGAGAGAGAGAGAGAGAGAGAGAGAGAGCGAAAGAGAGCGAGGGGTTCTCGAAGTGCCTCGCCTAAGGGCTTTTGAGTCTCAGGCCTTGTTTTGCCTGCACTACGGTTATTTTTTTTTCGCGGTGATTTTGGAGGAGGCCCTGGAGTTGCTCGTGGTTGTCGGGTTTGCCTATATATGTTGTGTTGAGTCGTCTCGGCTTCAGGGGTTTAGGATTAGTAGGGTTGCTATGAGACGGATAATTAGTTAAGGATTTGTTTAAGGCTTTTTTTCATCACAGCGCACAAAATCACCAATTCAGGTGTATACAGGGTCAAATAGCCCAGTTCATGTCGAGTTCCGTGATTTCCCGGTACACGGCGAAACCGCTCTTTGCAACGAAAATGTTTGTGACTGTTCGGCACGTCGGAATTCACTGTACACGGTGAAACCGGCGTACAAAATTCCACTTTGCGGCGAAAACTTTCAAATGCTCGGCAAGTCAGATTTCACTGTACACGGTGAAACCAGTATTTTAGTTCCACTTCACAACGAAAACCTCTGTGAATGCTCGGCACGTCAGATTTCACTGTACACGGTGAAACCGGTATATAAAATTCCACTTTGCAACGAAAACTTTCCAATGCTCGGCACGTCAGATTTCACTGTACACCGTGAAACCAGTAATTTTGGTCCACTTCGCAACGAAAACGTTTTGTGAGTGCTCGGCACGTCGGATTTCGCTGTACACGGCCAAACCGGTAGTTTTTTCCACTTTGTAACGAAAACTTTTTGCAGAGGCGCAAAACGGCGATTTTTAACGGTCATTTGAAACGCACCTTAAAATAAGGTACATTTGTTTGGGCGCACGCACGTTTTTTTAAGGGACATCAAGACTTCCAGGATCGCGGGCCCCGCCGGTACGATCTGCGTTGACGGGGCCGGTCCGGAGGACCGTCGCCCCTCGGTCTGACCTGTCGGATCGGTGGGCCTGCCGTCACCAACGCCGAGGCCCGTGCCAGGGCGGAATCGACGTCAACGGCGCCCACCGTCGGCAATCGGGGCAAGTGGTCTGAGCTCGACGAATGCCCGCACTCGCCGGCCGAAGTCCGCCGTCTGGCCGCGACGGGGCCGCATGGGCCCGGCGAGAGGCTAAGGCGTGCACCGGTCCCGGCGCCTCGAGCCAACCAGACCTCCTAAAGAAAAAGGTAAAAGAAAATATAGGCACGACGAACGACGGGCAAGCAAGGACAGCTGCACTCCGACGGCTTCACTCTTTTCTTGCGCCGGTGGCGCCTGCATGGCTCTGAGTCGGGCCCTGGGCGATTACAACGCCGGGCAGAAAAGGCAGTAAATTAAGACGTCGGGAGAGGCCCGCGAAGGCTTCACCGACGTGTCCCCGAAAGCTTCAATTCCCACGTCGCCAGCGACAAGGCCGTCGGTGATGTCGACCATGTGGAAGACGGCGCTATAGCGACGGGGCCGGCTGATCTGGATCAGCGACGGTGCTTGGACTGCTCGTGGCAGTCTTCGCACTCGTGGTGATCGTGGCGATCCAGATCGACGGTGCCGCCGGCTCTGATCAAGACTGGCCGGAGGCATCTGCCGGGAATGCCGCGACATCCACGGTTGGTGCACGGGTGCCCACACCAGCCCGTACACCAGATCTCGCCGGGGATCTTCTCCGGGATGCGGCCTCCTCGGACGCCGGGCGGCAGGGCGCGCAGCACATAGTAAGCCGCTGCGGCGGCCGCCGGCACCATTGTCCCTGAGCCGTCGGCGGCGGCCCTCTCGATGTCCTCGAGGTGCTCGATCAGTGTCAGCTCTACAAGGAAACCAAGCGAGCACACTGGTGGAACGCTCTCTCTAGAAAGCATCGTCAACTGCTCACCTCCAAAGTGGGCTGGACGGACTCGCAAACGAAAGCATTTGCAAAATGGGCCCGTGAGACTGCGGCCAAGTAACGGGCGAGGGCAGCTTGGCGTAGGGCCAACAACATGGCTATCAATCCTAGGCAGGCTTCTGGGCATGCAAACCTCAGGGTCGCCTCCGCTGTACCTGTGTTGGGTCGCCTCCCTCGAGTGCCCAAGTCCAGCGATTGATGGTCTGGGGCTGCCTCTCGGAGGAGGGGTGGCCATCAACGCATCTACAATAACGGAGGTTGGATCCGGGACCTCACCACTGAGGGCGTGGAGCCCAATCCGGGTCCGCCACGCGAAGTCCAGTCGTCACGACGCCCGGATCGTCAGGCGCCTGAGTCTTTTCTTGTCGCGCAGCTTAGTGTGCGCTCATACACGAAACGGGGTTTTTCTGTCCTGAGCCGCGCGACTGAGCTTGGAGCCACGGTTGTGCTTTTGCAGGAAACTCTCCTTGATTCGCTGTCTGCTCAGGAGGTGGCTACAGCCCTTAGGGACTGGCAGTTCTACCATCAGGTTTCTTGGGCTACCAAACGGGAGGAGCGCGTTAGGCGTAAGAATAGGGCTAGCGGGGGCGTTGCCATTGCTGTAGCTAAGCACATCCCTGCAATTAAGGCCTCGTCGTACTGCGGGCCGTCAGGTGAATGGATACGCATCGCCACTGAGCGCCTGCACCTGGTGTCGGCGTATCGGCGCCCTGGAATTTCTCAGGAGGCCTCTCAAGAGTTTTCTCGAGGTCTTGCGGAGGATTTGGCTGCTGTAGGAAATGTGCCCATTTTCGTAGCAGGAGACTTTAATCATGATCCTAGGGGTGATCCGTTAGGGGGTTGGGGGGCTTCTCTTGATGCTTCGGTTGTCTACCCACACGAGCCTTTGCCTGCGGACTCGCCCGAAGTCATGCCCGAACCCCTCCCCACGCGGTGGGACGGTGACACTTGTTTGGACTGGGGGTTGCTCCGGGGCATCCAGCTCCACCCGACGCTCCAAGAGGATAAGTTCGCCGATCACAAGCTCGTACTATGGCAGGGGCCTAATCACTTTCGCAGGCCCGCAAAATTCACGCAGCTCAGGGCCGGACCGGACTACCGTAAGCCCCCAGGGGTCGAGCAGGAAGTCTGGCGGGCGGTGCTCAGCACGGCATGGGAGGCCCGCTGCCCCGCAAGCCCCACGTGGGAATCGTTCATGTCTGCACTTGACTTGGTTAGGGATGCCTTGCGAGCTACCCTTCCCTCTAATGACCCTTTGTTGCTTCGGATTCGGTCCCGGTGTAAACCCCAAACCCCCCAAGTCTGCGAGGTTCACTGCCACCACCGTCCGCAAGCGGACAATTGCTACTCGGTGCGCCTGGCCCGGCTGCGCAGGCTTTGGCGAAGGACCCAGGAGTTTGTTAAGTTTCCACGTAGTCGAACGCAGGGTCTTAGGAGTAACATCAGCAGAGAAGCTCACGCCCTGGGATGCCCTCATGACCCTACGCAGGAGCGAGCCTTCCAGATTAGTCAGTCTTGGATTTCGGATGCCATTCGTAGTGCTGAAGAGGACGTAAGCGACGCATCTCGGCATGGAAGCATAAGCTTCGCCATGAACCCCAAGCGGTGTGGAAACGCCTTAGTCGGCATCGCGGTAGTCCGCCACTCACCTCTCTCAAATGCCCCCGCGCGGGAGTGCCAGTCACCGGCGAAGGAGTCACTAAGGCCCTCCAGGACTTTTGGGAGGAGGGCCCGGACGGGTGGCGGGGCTCCGAGCTCGAGCACCTGCCGGAGGCCGCGCTGCAAACCGCGTGCGACCTCTTTGCACAAGTGGAAGCTGGCCAAGACTGGCCGGCGCAGTTGGGCCACTGGAAGCAGGTCCACTTGCAGAAACCCAACAAGGAGTTGGGCGCCTTGGCCTCCTTGCGCCCCATCTCCTTGAGCTCGGTTTGGTACCGAATCTGGAGCGGGATCCGTGTTCAGCTGCTTAGCCCTTGGCTTGCCCAGGTCTTGCCGGACGAGCAGCATGGCAGTGTCCACCGCAAAGGGGTACACACCGCACTTAGCTACCCCCTGGCGCTGCTTGAGCTGGGTAAGGACCCGACGCGCGCGGGTCGTGATGGGTCCTTTCGCTTCATTGGCGCGGCCGATCTAGCTAAAGCTTACGACTCGCTGGGGGCAGAGTTCTGCACTCGGGCTCTTGGCCGCATGGGTGTGCCGGCTTCGCTGCTTCAGGCTTGTTGGCGGGTCCGGCGGGTCCAGGCGCGGTGGCTTTGTGCAGCGGGCTCGGTGAGCCAGGTGGCGTGTAGTCAAGTGTGGTGCCTTGCGCAGGGGGATGCGGCCTCGCCGATGGCCCTGTGCGCCGTCATCAGCGAAGCGCTCGTGCGGGTTAAACGGCACGCCGCGGCACTGGGGGGGCAGCACCTCCATAGGGTTTACCTAGATGATAGGTCTTGGATCACTTCCAACGCGGAATTGTGTGCGTCCATCGGCCGCCGGTGGAAACACGAGATGGGTCATGTCGCAGCAAGGCTGAATACGCCGCCACGGGCGGTTTGGCCGCGCAGACTGCGCTGCAGGAGACGCTGGAACAGTCGGGCACCGTTGGCACGGTGGTGGAGCGCCCTAAGGTGCTTGGCACTCGGCTTCAGCTGACACGGGCCCACACGGGGCCCGGTCACGCGCCACCAAGCCTTGTTTTTCGCTAAAAGCACGGGCATGGCCGTGGCCACGTCGTGTGGATGGTCACGACTTCCCAATCTGCAGGAGCTTCAAAAGCTGCAGCGCGCCATTGATGCGTGTCACGGGGATGCACATAGTCTGGGGGCGGCTGGTCCGCTGCACAGATTGCTGGCGGGGCACACGGCCTCTCCACGGTTCCAGGTCGGGGCGCATCAGACACAGCACCTGCTTATGCACTTGGATGGAGGCCTCCGTGACTGCTGGCAGAGCATGCGCCAGAACCAAGGCCCTATCATGATGCTCCGACGCTGGATGGAGCGTCATGGGCTGGAAAGCCTTTCGAGCCGTGGGTCTGGGAACACACGGATGCCCACAGCATCCTTGATGCACGGTTGCCTGCTCATCGTGGGAATGCTGCCTGGTTGGCAAGGGGAGGTCGCGTGGTGTGCTCACTGCCGGGGCAGGGTAAGGCTCATGTGGCTCACGTGCTCCGTGATGCTTGGCGCGCCCAGCAATGGCGCGAGTTTCAAGACTCCGGTACCAAAGCAGCTCAGGCTGCGGGCCATTTGCAATGGCGGGACGTGGAACCGAGGGCGGTTCTCGTCTCCAAGGCGTGTGAGGCTGCCCCGCCTCCTCTTCGACCTCACATGCGAGCCATTGCCGTCGGCCACTGGGTTAGTCAGGCTCGGTTCCAGTTCACCCAGGGCCAGGCAGTGGACCCATGCTGCTACTGCGGTGACGCGCGCCCTGACAGACTCCATGAGTGGACCTGCCCCGGGTTACGCACGGACTCACAACACCTCCCACCCGACCCTCTGTTTAGGGCTGTGGGTTGGCCCCGAATATGTGGGCATAGTGACGCGGATGCTAGCCTCCTCTGTGAGTTGGCGCGAGGCTCAGCTGCCTCTCAACCCGTGACAGGTCGCTGGCAGCGGACAATTTCTTCTTCTTCGACGAGGTGCTCGATGGCGACTACGACTCCGCCTCCTCGCCGGCTGTCGCGGGCATTGAGCCTTGGCTTGATGTGCGAAGTGAGTCAGAACTGTGCACTCGCCCTGGTGCTTCTCGGAAGGGCGCAACTACTTATCAGGCAAAACCTGCATCTTGCATACGAGCCGTCAGTCGGTTCATCACTTACGTTCTTTGGGCAGTCTTGCTGACGCCTAGCCTTGCATGCACGCCCCATGAGTCGCTGCCTGTTGCAGCCTATGGTGGCAATAATTACACAGGTTCCTTTCCTCCCGAGGTGGGGGAGGGGGGGGCGTGGGCATGTCGCTCACCCCTCGAGCTCGCAGGGGCGGCGAAGATCGCCTCATGCGATACGAGCCTGGCGGTTCGTCAGGTCACGGCCATGTCCATTGCGGGCGTTCCCGCACCGTTCAATTCCAGGTCCTTCATTGGCCACGCCGGCGCGAGTAGCAGCTGGGGGGCACAAGAGTTCCTGGCCTTCCTGAATCGTGGGATTCAGGTGAGTCTTGACAGGGGGTTGTGGTGCATTTTGTTAGTCGCATCACTGCCTCTAGCACTGCCAGATAATCCGATTTTGCACTTGGGGTGTCTGGCGTTTTTGGGGATGCTCGGCCTTTGGTGGGGTAAGTTGCTCACGCTCTGGGATCGACATGCCGCGGATCGATATCGCAGAGCGCGTCGCCGGCAGAAGGCACGGGTCAAGCGCATGCGGGACAGGACCAGCAGGGGCAGGTCCGGTCGCCCAGCGCACCAGCACATGGCACGGTACATTTTTGCCGCTCGTATGTGCGGTCAGCGCCGATGCCGTCATGCCAGGGGCTGCCATATCCTGAAGAGTGGCTTCCGCAGGGAGTGCCGCGGCCTCTGTCTTAAGCGGACGGAGCCGGTCGAGTTGACGGCGCCGCCTTGTGTGTCACCGGAAGAGGCCTATAACGCTTGGCTTGCTCATGCTGCACCCCTGCTGGAGGGCGGTAAAGGTGGTGCTGCCAGATCCAAGCGTAAGCGCCGCGAGGCGCAAGCCATGGTGGCTGCAGTTTTGGATGCTTTGAGCCGCAGTCGCAAACCGAAGCGGGGCCGAGGTGCCCCGAAGCCTCAGACGGTACCCGTCGACAAGGGACGGGATAATCATATGACCCGTCAGCTCATGGGCCATCTGAAGGATCGGTTGAATGCCGGGGATTCCGATGCTGCGGTTCTGAGCTGGCTCAGACAGGTGATGCCGGCGGAGTCTCCACAGGATGATTGGGGGCAGGGTGCGGCGGCACCCATGGATCATGATTACATGTCGCATCACGCGACGCGGTATGGGGGTGAGGTCGAACCAGGGACCTGGGCCCAGTGGGATGACACCTGGTGGTACACGGTGGACCCGCATTCGGGTTGGTATGTCTGGCGGCGGTGGCGGAACCCGCAGCCGCGGCATGTAATAAGCACCGAAGAGTGGCCCCTCCCAGCGGAGCCGGCCTCTGTACAGAAACCAAAAGCGCCTCTGGCGGAAGCGCCGCGGGCCCCTAAGCAGCAGAGCCCAACACGACCCATCGTGACAGGATGTCGTGCTCAGGACTGGGAGCCTGGCACTCCACCTGTCTTGACTTCGCTAGCGAAGCTTAAAGAAAACCTCACTGCAGGCAATGCCCCGTCCGGTAACCTCGTGGTGGTCACATCTAAGGACATGCTTAGTCAGGTGCAAGACTTGTGGCACGCCTTCGATGACCCGGCCGGGCTCACTGCCTTGGGGGTCGACGGGGCTAGCCAGCTGCAACCTCTGCATCAGTCACAGCTTTCGCTGAGTAGAGATAAACAGGGTTTCGGCATTGAGAAGGTTGGTCTGCTTCGCATTAGTCAGAAGCATGCCGGACCATGGATCCGCCCCGCCACTAAGGTCAAGCGCGAGGCTATCCCAGTCACTTCCAAGGTGGATCAGGGAGCAGTTTCTTTCAGGGCAGGTTGACACACCCACCCTAGTATTGCAGGCTCTTGCACAGGCCACGGGGGCACGCACCTCGGAATTCGTAGGAGGCCGATGGCAGTCGCAAATCCGTGGCAAGCAATCCCAAATTGTCGGTTACTTACGCCTGAGGGATGAAGTGGCCGAGAAACTCCTGCCGCTTAGTGGGGAAAAGGGGGTATTCACTTGCCTCGCAGGGGAAAACAGTGCTGTGAACCCCTTTTGGATCCGATCCACCCCGGGTGAGAGCCGTGAGAGTTATTACCTGAGGGTAATGAGCCTCAAACGAGTCCGTAATCAGCCCGTGCTGTATCGTTCTGGGGGCGGACATTGTCTGGGCTTCCCACGCATGCCCCAGGATAAGGACGCACAGTGGGCCAAACAGTACACCCTCACAGGTGTCCCCAAGTCTTGGGACTCCACTGACTTGAACGATTTCTTTAAGGAGCAGGGCTGGAAGCAGATAGAGCAGATCTCTCGCAGACGCTCCACGTGGCATTTCAAGGCGGTGGCCCCTGTGGCCGACCAGACGTCCTGGATGTACGTCCCCGAAGAGGGCGAAAGCTGGAGCATCGGGGTGACGATGGCGGCGGGGACCCGCCCGTCTGCACAAGTCACGCCCCTCCGCCAACCGCGGAAGCAGCGCGAACCCCCGCGACAGGTGAGCGCCTCGGTGACGGCGGGCTCGGCGGACCGTCCCGACATGGACACTGACTCGCCCGAAGCTGGGGAGTCGACGACACCCCAGGTGGGCAGAACGGACCGTAGCAGGAGCCCACCCGCTAGACCCCCCTCCCCGCCTATTGATCCGGCAGAGGCACAAAAGCAAGGTTGGCACATGCGAGACCTTGGGGGCTGCGGCGACTGCTTCTTCCGCGCTGCTGCCGAGGCGCTGGCACAATACGCCCAGCCAGACAAACCCCTGCGGGAGGCGGAGGCCATAGCCCAGGGCGCCCTGCTGCGCACGGAAACGGTGGCTCACATCCGGAAGCATGCGAGTAAGTTTCAGGCCCTTTTCTCCACGCGGGAAGAGTTCGACCATTGGCTGGAGAAAGCCCCGTTGCAGCAAACTTGGGCCGAGGGCAAGCTCATCCAAGCGTGCGCGGAGCGCACGGGAGCCCCCGTAATCATCTGGGCATGGTCCAACGAACGCTCGTCTTGGGAGCGATTCACAATTAGTGGCCGGTTCAGCGACGGCATGGCCACTTGCGCATCCAACCGGAAGCCGATGGTCTTGATCCTGCGGGACAAGCACTATTGCGTGCTTAAGCCGCCCAAAGAGCATAGTGTCCCACAGGGATGGCTCCGGGAGACGGTCGGGGTCGTGATCGACTTGTCGGGGGCAAGCCCTTCAGGGGTGGACCTCCTAGGCCTGGGGGAGGCTACACCTAGCGTGCACACACTTGCTGATGACACGCCTCGAGCCCCACCTAGCGTTGTTAGCCGGGACTTGACTAAGCCAATTGACATGTCCACTCAGGGTAATCCACCGCGTCAATCTCAGGTATCCCTCGAGGCCGACCGTGCCTCATCTTACCAATGCAGGTCGCTCCAGCTTGGGGAGGTCACGCCTTCTGTGCACACAGTTAGGGACCCGCAACCGGAAAATGCTGATTGCCAGGGTTCGAGTCCCCGACCCCCCCCTAAACCCCGACGTAGGCTGTTGTGTAAATCCACGGGGTCTCAGGCCGGTTGCGGAAGTCTGGCTGCCACCTGCTGTAGGGAGGGGTCGTGTTCAGGGCTTGCGGTTTGCTCTAGCGCGGACCCGGGGTTTGAACGGGCTCGAGGTACTCACGAGGCTGAGGGAGTGCCAAGCCGTAAGCGTAGGCTCGTCGTCAAACAGCCGCCTCAGAACTCGGCCTTCACTGAAGCTGCTCTCCAGGCACACACGGCGGCTGCGGCGGCCGCCATGCCACCCCCAGCGGTGCCTGGAGGCCGACAGGGCGTGAAGCTCCTCAAGGGTAAGGCCCGGAAGCATGAACTGTACCTTAAGAGGACCATTGCAGACTGGTCCCCGTGGCCCTGTCCGATCTGTCACACGGAGGTTCTAATCAAGGGACAGAACGATGGCCAGCATTACCGGGCTAAGCATCTGATGAGCGCCCACGGGGTAAAGCTTAAGGACATGCCCATGCCTGGGCGACAGGCTAGCACCCATAGGGCCCAGCTCCGAGTGACTCAGCTTCCGCATGAGCATTCCCTGCTGCACGTGAAGCAGAACGGACTGAACGAGTGCCCAGGGCTCAACGGTTGCACTTGGGTTTGTAGGAAATGCCTTTGCCGGGGTACTAGTGGGAAGGTGGGGGGTTATCAGTGTCAGCTCTACAAGGAAACCAAGCGAGCACACTGGTGGAACGCTCTCTCTAGAAAGCATCGTCAACTGCTCACCTCCAAAGTGGGCTGGACGGACTCGCAAACGAAAGCATTTGCAAAATGGGCCCGTGAGACTGCGGCCAAGTCCAAACCGCGGGTCAGGGCACTCTCGGCCAAGGACATCCAGTACCACAAGGGCTTGAAACGGGCGAGGGCAGCTTGGCGTAGGGCCAACAACCTGGCTATCAATCCTAGGCAGGCTTCTGGGCATGCAAACCTCAGGGTCGCCTCTGCTGTACCTGTGATGGGTCGCCTCCCTCGAGTGCCCAAGTCCAGCGATTGATGGTCTGGGGCTGCCTCTCGGAGGAGGGGTGGCCATCAACGCATCTACAATATCGGAGGTTGGATCCGGGACCTCACCACTGAGGGCGTGGAGCCCAATCCGGGTCCGCCACGCGAAGTCCAGTCGTCACGACGCCCGGATCGTCAGGCGCCTGAGTCTTTTCTTGTCGCGCAGCTTAATGTGCGCTCATACACGAAACGGGGTTTTTCTGTCCTGAGCCGCGCGACTGAGCTTGGAGCCACGGTTGTGCTTTTGCAGGAAACTCTCCTTGATTCGCTGTCTGCTCAGGAGGTGGCTACAGCCCTTAGGGACTGGCAGTTCTACCATCAGGTTTCTTGGGCTACCAAACGGGAGGAGCGCGTTAGGCGTAAGAATAGGGCTAGCGGGGGCGTTGCCATTGCTGTAGCTAAGCACATCCCTGCAGTTAAGGCCTCGTCGTACTGCGGGCCGTCAGGTGAATGGATACGCATCGCCACTGAGCGCCTGCACCTGGTGTCGGCGTATCGGCGCCCTGGCATTTCTCAGGAGGCCTCTCAAGAGTTTTCTCGAGGTCTTGCGGAGGATTTGGCTGCTGTAGGAAATGTGCCCATTTTCGTTGCAGGAGACTTTAATCATGATCCTAGGGGTGATCCGTTAGGGGGTTGGGGGGCTTCTCTCGATGCTTCGGTTGTCTACCCACACGAGCCTTTGCCTGCGGACTCGCCCGAAGTCATGCCCGAACCCCTCCCCACGCGGTGGGACGGTGACACTTGTTTGGACTGGGGGTTGCTCCGGGGCATCCAGCTCCACCCGACGCTCCAAGAGGATAAGTTCGCTGATCACAAGCTCGTACTGTGGCAGGGGCCTAATCACTTTCGCAGGCCCGCGAAATTCACGCAGCTCAGGGCCGGACCGGACTACCGTAAGCCCCCAGGGGTCGAGCAGGAAGTCTGGCGGGCGGCGCTCAGCACGGCATGGGAGGCCCGCTGCCCCGCAAGCCCCACGTGGGAATCGTACATGTCTGCACTTGACTTGGTCTATAGGGATGCCTTGCGAGCTACCCTTCCCTCTAATGACCCTTTGTTGCTTCGGATTCGGTCCCGGTGTAAACCCCAGACCCCCCAAGTCTGCGAGGTTCACTGCCACCACCGTCCGCAAGCGGACAATTGCTACTCGGTGCGCCTGGCCCGGCTGCGCAGGCTTTGGCGAAGGACCCTAGAGTTTGTTAAGTTTCCACGTAGTCGAACGCAGGGTCTTAGGAGTAACATCAGCAGAGAGGCTCACGCCCTGGGATGCCCTCATGACCCTACGCAGGAGCGAGCCTTCCAGATTAGTCAGTCTTGGATTTCGGATGCCATTCGTAGTGCTGAAGAGGACATCAGTAAGCGACGCATCTCGGCATGGAAGCATAAGCTTCGCCATGAACCTCAAGCGGTGTGGAAACGCCTTAGTCGGCATCGCGGTAGTCCGCCACTCACCTCTCTCAAATGCCCCCGCACGGGAGTGCCAGTCACCGGCGAAGGAGTCACTAAGGCCCTCCAGGACTTTTGGGAGGAGGTTTGGCCCACCCGGCCTACTCCCCAGCAGCATGCATTGCTTGAGCAGTTAGCGGCGGAGGATACGGCATGGCCCAACATTCCTCCTCCCCCTGTCCCTCCGCTCTCTCCTGCGGATGTCCGTCGTGCCGCCGCTCGGCAGCGCCACAAAGCCCCGGGCCCGGACGGGTGGCGGGGCTCCGAGCTCGAGCACCTGCCGGAGGCCGCGCTGCAAACCGCGTGCGACCTCTTTGCACAAGTGGAAGCTGGCCAAGACTGGCCGGCGCAGTTGGGCCACTGGAAGCAGGTCCACTTGCAGAAACCCAACAAGGAGTTGGGCGCCTTGGCCTCCTTGCGCCCCATCTCCTTGAGCTCGGTTTGGTACCGAATCTGGAGCGGGATCCGTGTTCAGCTGCTTAGCCCTTGGCTTGCCCAGGTCTTGCCGGACGAGCAGCATGGCAGTGTCCGCCGCAAAGGGGTACACACCGCACTTAGCTACCCCCTGGCGCTGCTTGAGCTGGGTAAGGACCCGATGCGCGCGGGTCATGATGGGTCCTTTCGCTTCATTGGCGCGGCCGATCTAGCTAAAGCTTACGACTCGTTGGGGGCAGAGTTCTGCACTCGGGCTCTTGGCCGCATGGGTGTGCCGGCTTCGCTGCTTCAGGCTTGGGACAGGGCTTGGCGGGTCCAGGCGCGGTGGCTTTGTGCAGCGGGCTCGGTGAGCCAGGTGGCGTGTAGTCAAGTGTGGTGGCTGCCGCAGGGGGATGCGGCCTCGCCGATGGCCCTGTGCGCCGTCATCAGCGAAGCGCTCGTGCGGGTTAAACGGCACGCCGCGGCATTGGGGGGGCAGCACCTCCATAGGGTTTACCTATAGATGATAGGTCTTGGATCACTTCCAACGCGGAATTGTGTGCGTCCATCGGCCGCCGGTGGAAACACGAGATGGGTCATGTCGGCATGGCGGAGTGCCGCAGCAAGGCTGAATACGCCGCCACGGGCGGTTTGGCCGCGCAGACTGCGCTGCAGGAAACGCTGGAACAGTCGGGCACCATTGGCACGGTGGTGGAGCGCCCTAAGGTGCTTGGCACTCGGCTTCAGCTGACACGGGCCCACACGGGGCCCAGTGAGGATGAGACCAAGCGGCTCAACACAGCTCAGTACCTCATCCTTGAGGCCGCCGCCCTTCCGGTCACGCGCCACCAAGCCTTGTTTTTCGCTAAAAGCACGGGCATGGCCGTGGCCACGTCGTGTGGATGGTCACAACTTCCCAATCTGCAGGAGCTTCAAAAGCTGCAGCGCGCCATTGATGCGTGTCACGGGGATGCACATAGTCTGGGGGCGGCTGGCCCGCTGCACAGATTGCTGGCGGGGCACACGGCCTCTCCACGGTTCCAGGTCGGGGCGCATCAGACACTGCACCTGCTTATGCACTTGGATGGAGGCCTCCGTGACTGCTGGCAGAGCATGCGCCAGAACCAAGGCCCTATCATGATGCTCCGACGCTGGATGGAGCGTCAGGGCTGGAAAGCCCTCGAGCCGTGGGTCTGGGAACACACGGATGCCCACAGCATCCTTGATGCACGGTTGCCTGCTCACCGTGGGAATGCTGCCTGGTTGGCAAGGGGAGGTCGCGTGGTGTGCTCACTGCCGGGGCAGGGTAAGGCTCATGTGGCTCACATGCTCCGTGATGCTTGGCGCGCCCAGCAATGGCGCGAGTTTTCAAGACTCCGGTACCAAAGCAGCTCAGGCTGCGGGCCATTTGCGATGGCGGGACGTGGAACCGAGGGCGGTTCTCGTCTCCAAGGCGTGTGAGGCTGCCCCGCCTCCTCTTCGACCTCACATGCGAGCCATTGCCGTCGGCCACTGGGTTAGTCAGGCTCGGTTCCAGTTCACCCAGGGCCAGGCAGTGGACCCATGCTGCTACTGCGGTGACGCGCGCCCTGACAGACTTCATGAGTGGACCTGCCCCAGGTTACGCACGGACTCCCAACACCTCCCACCCGACCCTCTGTTTAGGGCTGTGGGTTGGCCCCGATGTGGGCATAGTGACGCGGATGCTAGCCTCCTCTGTGAGTTGGCGCGAGTACGAGCCAGGATTGTAGCGGACCGCTACCCTGCACCTGCCTCGTGAGTCCCCCCGGGGGCTCAGCTGCCTCTCAACCCGTGACAGGTCGCTGGCAGCGGACAATTTCTTCTTCTTTTTTCTTCTTCTTCTTCGAGGTGCTCGATGTTGGCGACGGTGAGTGGCCGGAGGGACTCGGGCAGCTCAACGTCGGACCTGGCGCCGGTCCGGTTGACGAACTCGACGTGGTCGCGCCACTCCGGCGAGCACAACATCCGACGGATGTGGGCCACCTGCCGGTATTCCCGCTTGTGGCGATCCAGCTCGGCGGGAGTCGCACCCGGGCCGGGCCGCCGGGGAAGCAACGGAAAACCGGCACCCGTCACCGGATTTGCGTCGGGATACATCTCTCTCGGCGTTGGTGTAGGTGCCCTGCGAGACGATCCCGACGGTGCCGGCGGCGACGGCGCCGACTCTGCAGGCCTTGCCTTCACCTGGGGCTCGACGGTGCGCTGCTGCCTGGACTCTTCCGCAAACTGCCGACGGAGCTCCTCGGCGATGCGGGCCTGGTAGTCGACGGCCTCGGGCACCGGCGGGAAAGAAGAGGTCGGCGGCGCAGACGGCGGCACCGCCGGGATCACCGTCGACGGGGTGATGCGATCCGGAAGCACCGTCGAGTAGCGCCGGTAGTACTCCTCTGCCGTCGGGAGGTGGTGCTTGTAGGCCAGCTCCGCGTCGGCGCGACAGAGGAACCCCAGCTGGTCCCACATCTGCGGCGGACCGCCTTTCGGCACCGACGGCGTCGGGCGGGTGGGCTTCTGTGGGTATCCACCACCCGATGGCTTTCCTGCCGGCGGCATGTCTGTCGATGACGACGGTGCGCCGGCAACCCCCGCGTGCGCCGATGGAGGCGCGTGATGTCGCTCGACGGGAGGTTCCGGGCACGGGTCATCCGACTGCGACGGAGTGGCCGCCGCTGCTCCACCTGAACTCGCCGGTGTCACCCTCGACGAGTCGCCATACACGACGGGCCCTGGGGCGGCGGCTGGACTGTTGATCGCCGACACCAGGGCCCGCCGTTCCAATCCGCTCCACTCGGCGAAGAGCTGACTCAAGTCGTCGCCGGCGGCGACGGCACGTCGGACCATGTCGAGGGCCGCGACGACGTCGGCGGACTGGAAGGCCATGGCGACACGAGGATCTAACGGCAAGCTGAAAATCGTCGGGGGACGTGGAGCAGACAGCGGCTGCAGCATCCACGTCGAATCGACGGTTGTCCCTACGCACATAAATGTGCTACACCACAGGGACACACACAGACACACACACACACACACAGACACACACACACACACACACACACACACACACACACACACAGACACACACACACACACACAGACACACACACACACACACACACACACAGACACACACACACACACAGAGACACACGCACACACACACACACACACACACAGACACACACACACACACACACACACACACACCACACACAGACACACACACGCACACACACACACACACACACACAGACACACACACACACACACACACACACACACACACACACACACACACACACACAGACACACACACACACACACACACACACACACACACACACACACACACACACAACACACACAACACACACACACACACACACACACACACACCACGACACACACACACACACACACACACACACACACACACACACACACACACACACACACACACACACCACACACACACACACACACACCCACACACACGCACAGAGACACACGCACAGCACGCGCACAGGCACACGCGCACAGACACATGCGCACAGACACACGCGCACAGACACACGCGAACAGACACATGCGATCACATGCGAACAGACTTACACACACACACACACACACACACATGCACATCCGTGCAAGCGCATACGTACATCCACACATGCATGCATACAGCATCATACAGCCAATGAATTCAAATTCAAGAGCATTCATCGGCCCCAGACATCCCAGGAGGTTGCACGCCTCCGCAGTCGGACCTTCAGCAATGTCTTCCTGACTCTCTATCGCCGCACCCCCGCGGCCGAGTTCGACCTGACGAGATGTACGCTGCCCACTGGCTGCGCTGAGCTTCAGGGCATGGTCTGTTCCTGTTCCTCTCTCGTGATCGCAGTGAGGACAAGGCTCATGCGGTAGGGCGGTAGGGTTGCACAGGTTCGAACATCGCGGCGGCGACCGGCTGTTTTTTCGCTCCCGCACTCTCATTGATGCTGGCCGTGCATTTCGGACAGCGAAGGATCGCAGGCGGAATGCCGACGTGGTCCGTTGCGTGAAATAAATAATGGTCCGATGCCTATTATGGGAAAGCTATCAGACCCGATAATACCCAATACCTTTTCCACGTCGAGCACCCATTGTAGTCTGAGCGAAGATGTCTCTGAAAGGATCCCAGGTGGGCTTATAGAGGGTTATGTGGTGTCTTTTTCAGGGTTATGTGAGGGGGTCTGTATGTATACATATATATATATATATATATATGTAGAGAGAGAGAGAGGGAGTTATATGTAGGGTTCATATAGCATTTAAGAAAGAGTGCAATAAGGTTTATAATAGCGTTCATACATTTATACAGTTTATAGGGGATTATAAAGGGTTTATATAGGGGCTTCCTTTGTGAACAAGCTCCTTATGAGTCCGAAGCCCCAGGTAGGAAAGTCCGGCAAGGGTCCCGTCAGGCCCTTTGGCTTCACGGGCCCACAAGATGATGGCCAGCTTTCCTTCAAAGCAGGCGAATTAGGATGCCAGCGGTGGCACAGAACACGCCGAGAATGCTCGTGGCCGAGGTCGCCGAGGTCGCCGAGGTCGCCGAGGTCGCCAAGGTCGCCGAGGTCGTCGACTGGCAGCGTCGCGGCAGTGCTGCCGCTGCTGAATTGACTCAACAAGCAGAAGGAAAATGAGGCTCCGGCCACATTCGCATCCATCGTGGTTGTTGTGGTCGATGCGGTCGTCGACTGCCAGGGTCGCTCTATGCTGCCACTGCTACTTCAAGCAACCGACAGCATGGAATGAGGCGCTATGCTTCCAGCAAGCCATGTAAGAAAACACACACCGAGCTCTGTCCAAGGACATGGGCAAGCCGATGAAGCCCTTGCACCGGTAGATTCATACCATTTGATGGTGCTACAACAATTGGAGGGGGCCAGCTTGACCATCCGTGCAGCGACTGCTGGTGAATCCTTATCATGCAGAGGGAGTTGTGTACTGTTCCTCCTATTTGAATCACTCGTGCCCGTCTTTATACTTGCCGGGAAGTTCCGCCTCGGTAGACGACGGACATGCGTTGTTGTTCTTGGCGTATTGGCCCATGCCACGTATGTATGTATACATATATATATATGTAGAGAGAGAGAGGGAGTTATATGTAGGGTTCATATAGCATTTAAGAAAGAGTGCAATAAGGTTTATAATAGCGTTCATACATTTATACAGTTTATAGGGGATTATAAAGGGTTTATATAGGGGCTTCCTTTGTGAACAAGCTCCTTATGAGTCCGAAGCCCCAGGTAGGAAAGTCCGGCAAGGGTCCCGTCAGGCCCTTTGGCTTCACGGGCCCACAAGATGATGGCCAGCTTTCCTTCAAAGCAGGCGAATTAGGATGCCAGCGGTGGCACAGAACACGCCGAGAATGCTCGTGGCCGAGGTCGCCGAGGTCGCCAAGGTCGCCCAGGTCGTCGACTGGCAGCGTCGCGGCAGTGCTGCCGCTGCTGAATTGACTCAACAAGCAGAAGGAAAATGAGGCTCCGGCCACATTCGCATCCATCGTGGTTGTTGTGGTCGATGCGGTCGTCGACTGCCAGGGTCGCTCTATGCTGCCACTGCTACTTCAAGCAACCGACAGCATGGAATGAGGCGCTATGCTTCCAGCAAGCCATGTAAGAAAACACACACCGAGCTCTGTCCAAGGACATGGGCAAGCCGATGAAGCCCTTGCACCGGTAGATTCATACCATTTGATGGTGCTACAACAATTGGAGGGGGCCAGCTTGACCATCCGTGCAGCGACTGCTGGTGAATCCTTATCATGCAGAGGGAGTTGTGTACTGTTCCTCCTATTTGAATCACTCGTGCCCGTCTTTATACTTGCCGGGAAGTTCCGCCTCGGTAGACGACGGACATGCGTTGTTGTTCTTGGCGTATTGGCCCATGCCACTGGTACAATTGCCCCCGCATGGCACAGTGATGTTCCCGACAGTGTTGCCCATACAATCACCTTGGTTGGCTCTTCCCCCTGCCAATCACCAACTGTCGTGATGTGTTCTGACGAACGAGCATCCGGCACCCCTCAATCGCAGCATGAAGTTGCGATACTTTCTGAGAGGTACAGGCTGTAGAGGGTAAAAAGTGTACTATAGCATGCTAAAGCATATTCTCATGTTTTTTTATGGTATACTATAGCAAGCATATCACTACTTCGTGCTGGAAACCTCTGGCTCTATTGGGCCACTCGGCGCTTCAAGGTGCTTTGAACGTGCTTCGCCCCCAGGACCCATGAAACTAGAAAATACTAGAGTGCACTATAGTATGCTATGATATACTACAGTAAACCATAGTATACTAGAGCATACTTTAACTATGGTGCACTATATATAGCATAGCATACTAAGTACGAAACTAGTGCGCCCATCACAGAAACGAGCCCTACCCCATGGTCGAAGATCCGAGCCGCGCTGTTTCCGCTGTGCGTTCACCATGGTCTCATAACATCTCAGGATAGGCTCCGAACAGACATCAGACTCTGACTATTTATAAGGCCCCTGCGTGCTTGCAGCGGTCGAAGCTCGAGGTTGTTCGTCTTCAGGCCGGCGAAGTCTGCACCTCGGGGACAGGGGAGCAAAGGGGGGTCCACTGAGGACGAGCACAAGCCTTCTAAAGTCGGATTCCGCGTGGAAGGAGCACTAGTAGGATCCACGAGGCAAGGCACATGGATTCGGCAGAGTCTCCGCCAGGAGCCCCCTGCGGAAGCTTCCGGTAGATTAGCCCAGGTCGAGTCGAGGATGAATTCAGCCTGGATTCCGGTCGATTCGACTCCGGGGTGGATTGGCACAATAGGCACAACCCTACCTGTTGTAAACGCTGCAAGGCCCTACCAGCACCGAACGACACGCTCTAGAACCTTCCTGGGCTCAAGCATGGTCCAGCCGGCATGAGGCACTGCAAGTGTTTGTTGCTGCTGCCTTTGCTACAGCCGACACCTCGCCGTCGGCATTGCTCTTGCCGCTGCTGCCGCTGCTGCTGCTGTTGCTGCCACCGGTTGGTCGTGTTCCCCAGCCCCCTCTACTCTACTAGCACTACTGCTGATACTGCTACTGCGAATACTAGGTCGACACTGAACAGGCTGGAAGAAGAAGAAGCTTTGGACCTTGGAAACCCGAACACGCACTCAGGCTTCGCTGATCGTGTGAAGAACCGTAATGGCGATGGTAAATCATGACGGTTGTGCCCGTGCATGCTGGTGGCTGGTGGTGCTGGTGGCGCTAGTGGTGATGGTGGTGCTTGCGTGAGCTGGCAGCTTTTTAATAAGGGGATTCTGATGGGGCTGATGGTGGTGACGGCGGCCATAACAGCACGCCTCGTGCAGGAAGCCATCATCACCCTCATCTTGACATCGACGTCATCCTTATCGTTACAGCTTTAGCCCTCGGACCTTGACAGCTCTAGGGCTCGGGCCTTTGGCACAGAGACAGGGGCAAATTCTGGTAGTCCACCAGTGTCGTCATGAGGATGGAATGGACACACCTCAGGCTTGGGATCAGGCGTCTCATGAATTTGGAGTGTGGGGTCATGCGTGGCTTGCTGCACTGATCGAGCCACAGAGTCCCTTTCTTCTCACGGCTGCAAGTCTGTGCCATTACATTGAGTTACGCTTGTGCACTTCGGCATCAGCATTTCTTCCGTGAAACATGGGCTTATCTATGCTCAGGCAGACTCAGGCAATAGTAGCCCTGCACAGAGCCAAAACTGCACCGATAACGGCCATAGTACCACAAGCCTTAGATATCTCTGGGAGATATTCTTCAGTCGTTGTGGTTGGAGGCACAGTGATGTTCACGATCATGTTCGTGCCCGTCGACTGCGTGGCACAAATGCCCGTCTCGAACATGGGCCTCCAATAACACATGGTGTCAGCATCGCAGGCGGAAGCATTCTCCACATAGACGCTGCAATTCGGGATGAAGGCGAGCGACTCCAGGTACTCCTTTTCACCATAGACGGTGGTCGAGCAATTTCTTTCATCCACAGGCATTGGAGCCCACAGGGTCGTCCAAGGCCTCCAGCCATAGCGTGTCTTGTCTTTCGGCAAACCCGTGACGTTCATGCCCACGGCAATCTGCCAAGCCACGAAGTCGTCTGCGGTGGGCCCGAAGACCATTTCGCAAGTCTCGACAGTCTTGTTGCCAGCGGCAGTCATCCAGGCAGCACAAAAGCTCGTGGCATCGGAAGTTCTAAAGAGCACCTCGTTCGAGTCATGGTGGTAGTTCAGCGAGATGCCAAAAAGCTCATCCGCCTGATCCAAGGCCGCTTTGCAGTCAGGACGACTGGCGCAGTAGGGGGAAGTGGCCAGGAGATACGGCATCACTGGCTCGCCCATGCTCGTGAGCACACTCACCGGCGCATTGATGTGGTGCAGGTTGGTTGCCAAGGCAAACCATGGTGTCGTCACCTTGTCCGCCACCTCGCACATGTGCATGAGTGGGCTGCTTTCAGCCTCCTCGATGGTCAGCGTCACAGCGCCGCCTGGCGCCTCGATGGTCTGGGTGGACGTCGTCACTGGGTAGTGCGTCAGCATGAGGACCTTCTTGAAGGGGTGATTGGTTGACAGGCTGCTCAGCATGCGGTCGTTCTGACCATCAATGGAAAGAACACCAAGCGTGACCATGTCACCCGCCAAACTCTCCAAGATGTTATGCCTCGATCCGTGGCGAATGTACGCCCCGATGTCGTAGCTGCTGTTCAGCAAGGTGTTGGCATAGTTTCGGATCAGCTCAGTGTCAGAGCTGTAGGTCATGGTCGAGCCGTTGCTAGCTGCCCATGCTGCTGCAAGCATTACGTTGGAGCCCTCCATGGCAGCTGCCGTGATGGCTGAGTACACGGTGTCGAAGGCCATCTCCTCAATCAAGTCGGCATTGCCCTCTGCAGTGAAAGTGTCGAACAGGAACTTCGTCCACGGGTGCTGCAGGTTGTAGATGGCATTGCCGTTGATGTGGTTCAGCAAGTAGGATGGCATCATATGTGAGAACATTTGCCAGTTGGCTCCCTCGTAGAGGCTGCCACGGATGGCCATGTTCATGGCAGGCATCTCTGCGGCCTCTTCCACAAACTTGTCTAGCCAGTTTGCCTTCACAGGAACGGCATCCATCTCCATCCAGAAGAAGCTGTCGTACTCACCGGCAAAGGCTCCGGTGAACATGGCCTCCACAACGTGCTGAAACACCATGTTGGGACCTGAGACCCAGTGCCTGTTCATTGCATAGCCCTGGTCGTCGTAGTGGTCTTCCTCTGGGGCAAGCTTGGCGGAAAAGTTTTTGATGCCTCCGAAGCAGCCGGTCCAGTGCTCATTCTGCGCGAAGCCTGACTCATAGGATTGGACTGCGGCCGTGGCCGTGGAGTCCGTGGCGAGATCCTTGCTGTAAACCAAGATCAGGTCTACCGTGCTGCTCTGGCCAGGACTTGCGCACGGCATGGTCGACTCCCACTCCGTGTAGGACTGCATCAGATCCGCGACCTGAATTCGGCGCATCCGGAACTGCTTACACAGCTAGTGCTTGATCTCAAGGACTCTGAAACTCTGGAGGGCTCGAGAAAAAGTAATCCCCGAAGCCTGAAAACTATGAGGACCCCGTGGCGCAGACTTAGACAACAAAGCCCAAAGCAGAACAGAAAGTCAAAAACAAACGAAGCGAAGTTCGAGGCATAAGCCCAAGCCAACCCATGCACAGCGACCTCCTGACTGGTCGCGAAGGTTCGCACGACGGCCATCTTCCCTGCTACCGACCAGGGAAGCAAGCTGAAAGCGGCCACTGCGAGGAAGAACATCCTGCCGTCCGCTTCGATGGAAAAGAGCCAAGGTGCAGGAAAGCGAACAACTAGTCGGACAAAGACCGGGACCGAGCGCGCATTTGAGCCAAGACGGGCCCATCACAGAAACGAGCCCTACCCCATGGTCGAAGATCCGAGCCGCGCTGTTTCCGCTGTGCGTTCACCATGGTCTCATAACATCTCAGGATAGGCTCCGAACAGACATCAGACTCTGACTATTTATAAGGCCCCTGCGTGCTTGCAGCGGTCGAAGCTCGAGGTTGTTCGTCTTCAGGCCGGCGAAGTCTGCACCTCGGGGACAGGGGAGCAAAGGGGGGTCCACTGAGGACGAGCACAAGCCTTCTAAAGTCGGATTCCGCGTGGAAGGAGCACTATCTGTAGCAGGATCCACGAGGCAAGGCACATGGATTCGGCAGAGTCTCCGCCAGGAGCCCCCTGCGGAAGCTTCCGGTAGATTAGCCCAGGTCGAGTCGAGGATGAATTCAGCCTGGATTCCGGTCGATTCGACTCCGGGGTGGATTGGCACAATAGGGACAACCCTACCTGTTGTAAACGCTGCAAGGCCCTACCAGCACCGAACGACACGCTCTAGAACCTTCCTGGGCTCAAGCATGGTCCAGCCGGCATGAGGCACTGCAAGTGTTTGTTGCTGCTGCCCTTGCTACAGCCGACACCTCGCCGTCGGCATTGCTCTTGCCGCTGCTGCCGCTGCTGCTGCTGCTGCTGTTGCTGCTGTTGCTGCCACCGGTTGGTCGTGTTCCCCAGCCCCCTCTACTCTACTAGCACTACTGCTGATACTGCTACTGCGAATACTAGGTCGACACTGAACAGGCTGGAAGAAGAAGAAGCTTTGGACCTTGGAAACCCGAACACGCACTCAGGCTTCGCTGATCGTGTGAAGAACCGTAATGGCGATGGTAAATCATGACGGTTGTGCCCGTGCATGCTGGTGGCTGGTGGTGCTGGTGGCGCTAGTGGTGATGGTGGTGCTTGCGTGAGCTGGCAGCTTTTTAATAAGGGGATTCTGATGGGGCTGATGGTGGTGACGGCGGCCATAACAGCACGCCTCGTGCAGGAAGCCATCATCACCCTCATCTTGACATCGACGTCATCCTTATCGTTACAGCTTTAGCCCTCGGACCTTGACAGCTCTAGGGCTCGGGCCTTTGGCACAGAGACAGGGGCAAATTCTGGTAGTCCACCAGTGTCGTCATGAGGATGGAATGGACACACCTCAGGCTTGGGATCAGGCGTCTCATGAATTTGGAGTGTGGGGTCATGCGTGGCTTGCTGCACTGATCGAGCCACAGAGTCCCTTTCTTCTCACGGCTGCAAGTCTGTGCCATTACATTGAGTTACGCTTGTGCACTTCGGCATCAGCATTTCTTCCGTGAAACATGGGCTTATCTATGCTCAGGCAGACTCAGGCAATAGTAGCCCTGCACAGAGCCAAAACTGCACCGATAACGGCCATAGTACCACAAGCCTTAGATATCTCTGGGAGATATTCTTCAGTCGTTGTGGTTGGAGGCACAGTGATGTTCACGATCATGTTCGTGCCCGTCGACTGCGTGGCACAAATGCCCGTCTCGAACATGGGCCTCCAATAACACATGGTGTCAGCATCGCAGGCGGAAGCATTCTCCACATAGACGCTGCAATTCGGGATGAAGGCGAGCGACTCCAGGTACTCCTTTTCACCATAGACGGTGGTCGAGCAATTTCTTTCATCCACAGGCATTGGAGCCCACAGGGTCGTCCAAGGCCTCCAGCCATAGCGTGTCTTGTCTTTCGGCAAACCCGTGACGTTCATGCCCACGGCAATCTGCCAAGCCACGAAGTCGTCTGCGGTGGGCCCGAAGACCATTTCGCAAGTCTCGACAGTCTTGTTGCCAGCGGCAGTCATCCAGGCAGCACAAAAGCTCGTGGCATCGGAAGTTCTAAAGAGCACCTCGTTCGAGTCATGGTGGTAGTTCAGCGAGATGCCAAAAAGCTCATCCGCCTGATCCAAGGCCGCTTTGCAGTCAGGACGACTGGCGCAGTAGGGGGAAGTGGCCAGGAGATACGGCATCACTGGCTCGCCCATGCTCGTGAGCACACTCACCGGCGCATTGATGTGGTGCAGGTTGGTTGCCAAGGCAAACCATGGTGTCGTCACCTTGTCCGCCACCTCGCACATGTGCATGAGTGGGCTGCTTTCAGCCTCCTCGATGGTCAGCGTCACAGCGCCGCCTGGCGCCTCGATGGTCTGGGTGGACGTCGTCACTGGGTAGTGCGTCAGCATGAGGACCTTCTTGAAGGGGTGATTGGTTGACAGGCTGCTCAGCATGCGGTCGTTCTGACCATCAATGGAAAGAACACCAAGCGTGACCATGTCACCCGCCAAACTCTCCAAGATGTTATGCCTCGATCCGTGGCGAATGTACGCCCCGATGTCGTAGCTGCTGTTCAGCAAGGTGTTGGCATAGTTTCGGATCAGCTCAGTGTCAGAGCTGTAGGTCATGGTCGAGCCGTTGCTAGCTGCCCATGCTGCTGCAAGCATTACGTTGGAGCCCTCCATGGCAGCTGCCGTGATGGCTGAGTACACGGTGTCGAAGGCCATCTCCTCAATCAAGTCGGCATTGCCCTCTGCAGTGAAAGTGTCGAACAGGAACTTCGTCCACGGGTGCTGCAGGTTGTAGATGGCATTGCCGTTGATGTGGTTCAGCAAGTAGGATGGCATCATATGTGAGAACATTTGCCAGTTGGCTCCCTCGTAGAGGCTGCCACGGATGGCCATGTTCATGGCAGGCATCTCTGCGGCCTCTTCCACAAACTTGTCTAGCCAGTTTGCCTTCACAGGAACGGCATCCATCTCCATCCAGAAGAAGCTGTCGTACTCACCGGCAAAGGCTCCGGAGAACATGGCCTCCACAACGTGCTGAAACACCATGTTGGGACCTGAGACCCAGTGCCTGTTCATTGCATAGCCCTGGTCGTCGTAGTGGTCTTCCTCTGGGGCAAGCTTGGCGGAAAAGTTTTTGATGCCTCCGAAGCAGCCGGTCCAGTGCTCATTCTGCGCGAAGCCTGACTCATAGGATTGGACTGCGGCCGTGGCCGTGGAGTCCGTGGCGAGATCCTTGCTGTAAACCAAGATCAGGTCTACCGTGCTGCTCTGGCCAGGACTTGCGCACGGCATGGTCGACTCCCACTCCGTGTAGGACTGCATCAGATCCGCGACCTGAATTCGGCGCATCCGGAACTGCTTACACAGCTAGTGCTTGATCTCAAGGACTCTGAAACTCTGGAGGGCTCGAGAAAAAGTAATCCCCGAAGCCTGAAAACTATGAGGACCCCGTGGCGCAGACTTAGACAACAAAGCCCAAAGCAGAACAGAAAGTCAAAAACAAACGAAGCGAAGTTCGAGGCATAAGCCCAAGCCAACCCATGCACAGCGACCTCCTGACTGGTCGCGAAGGTTCGCACGACGGCCATCTTCCCTGCTACCGACCAGGGAAGCAAGCTGAAAGCGGCCACTGCGAGGAAGAACATCCTGCCGTCCGCTTCGATGGAAAAGAGCCAAGGTGCAGGAAAGCGAACAACTAGTCGGACAAAGACCGGGACCGAGCGCGCATTTGAGCCAAGACGGGCCCATCACAGAAACGAGCCCTACCCCATGGTCGAAGATCCGAGCCGCGCTGTTTCCGCTGTGCGTTCACCATGGTCTCATAACATCTCAGGATAGGCTCCGAACAGACATCAGACTCTGACTATTTATAAGGCCCCTGCGTGCTTGCAGCGGTCGAAGCTCAAGGTTGTTCGTCTTCAGGCCGGCGAAGTCTGCACCTCGGGGACAGGGGAGCAAAGGGGGGTCCACTGAGGACGAGCACAAGCCTTCTAAAGTCGGATTCCGCGTGGAAGGAGCACTATCTGTAGCAGGATCCACGAGGCAAGGCACATGGATTCGGCAGAGTCTCCGCCAGGAGCCCCCTGCGGAAGCTTCCGGTAGATTAGCCCAGGTCGAGTCGAGGATGAATTCAGCCTGGATTCCGGTCGATTCGACTCCGGGGTGGATTGGCACAATAGGGACAACCCTACCTGTTGTAAACGCTGCAAGGCCCTACCAGCACCGAACGACACGCTCTAGAACCTTCCTGGGCTCAAGCATGGTCCAGCCGGCATGAGGCACTGCAAGTGTTTGTTGCTGCTGCCCTTGCTACAGCCGACACCTCGCCGTCGGCATTGCTCTTGCCGCTGCTGCCGCTGCTGCTGCTGCTGCTGTTGCTGCTGTTGCTGCCACCGGTTGGTCGTGTTCCCCAGCCCCCTCTACTCTACTAGCACTACTGCTGATACTGCTACTGCGAATACTAGGTCGACACTGAACAGGCTGGAAGAAGAAGAAGCTTTGGACCTTGGAAACCCGAACACGCACTCAGGCTTCGCTGATCGTGTGAAGAACCGTAATGGCGATGGTAAATCATGACGGTTGTGCCCGTGCATGCTGGTGGCTGGTGGTGCTGGTGGCGCTAGTGGTGATGGTGGTGCTTGCGTGAGCTGGCAGCTTTTTAATAAGGGGATTCTGATGGGGCTGATGGTGGTGACGGCGGCCATAACAGCACGCCTCGTGCAGGAAGCCATCATCACCCTCATCTTGATATCGACGTCATCCTTATCGTTACAGCTTTAGCCCTCGGACCTTGACAGCTCTAGGGCTCGGGCCTTTGGCACAGAGACAGGGGCAAATTCTGGTAGTCCACCAGTGTCGTCATGAGGATGGAATGGACACACCTCAGGCTTGGGATCAGGCGTCTCATGAATTTGGAGTGTGGGGTCATGCGTGGCTTGCTGCACTGATCGGGCCCAGCAGCTTGAGCTGTACACGGAGTACATGAAACTTCCATCCACGAGCTCAGTCCTTGGGCCGAGTTAGCTCATGAAGCTGTGACATGTGCAAACTCTGTGACGGCTCCTTTGCAACATGCGCAAGTAGTGATGACACGCGCCCCGTCTATGCACAAGCTGAAAGGTATGTACGGCGTATTATGTGACAACGCAATGCAGTCAGCCATGTATCACGAGATCCTTCCAAGCCCAAGCGTCTTTGACGAAGCGCGGTCGTCAGGGGTGCGACAATCCACAAGGGGCACGATGTTATCCGTCATCTTGGTGGTGCAGGCCGCATCTGCGAACATCTCCAGGGTGACCGCCGGTAGGTCAACGCATTCCGTGTAGTTGTAACCCCTAACACAGGTGTTGAAGGGGAAAAAATCTCCCCAGTCAAAGGCAGAGCTGCAGTCGGAGTTGGATCCGTTGAACTTTTCATAGAGAATCCCCGTGGCGTTGCAGGTGTATCTCTCGTTGGTCTGGAAAAGGCATTCACCGCTGGCATCCAGGTCAAAATCGTACATAGGACCGCTGCAGTTGTCTGCCTCATATTTCTCCATCTTAGCGAAGAGCACTGCGTCGCAGACGGCCAGAAGCCCAAAGCACCTGCGCAAGATTTGAAGTTCACACTTGGAGGTCACAGGATCTCACGGGTGCTAGGGCAACTGCAGCCCAAGCACGCAGCTGCACGGGACATGGCGAGCGGAGTCCGAATCGGTTCTTTTCTTGAGATCTGGGCCAAGAGCTGCGTGGTCAAGACCGATGTTTCAGTCGAGGGAGATTCAAGTGCAAGTGAATCATGCTACAGCTAGACATGGACCCAAATGCCCCAAGCACCTGGCCGCCAGCAAAAACACAACATCTCAGCTGTCAAACCCCCTGAGACCTACGTAAACCTGCATAAAACCCGGGCTCAGAATGCGCCAAATCCGGAAGCTTCAAGCTTTGAACAACTGCCGAGGCCAACTGGAGAAAGCTCTAAGAGGACTGGGTCCGGTGCCTTCCTTGTAGGGGGGGATCGTTGCCATTCAAAACGTCACTGCGGCTAATGTTTCACGGACATCCCTTCACTACTACCTTCCGGCCATGCTGTTGAAGATGGCCCCGGATGCACATACGTCTATCGCCAGGGGGACACACGACCCACACATAGCATTACAAGTATGTATCTCCGGCGTATATCGCACTTCACTCTCCGACATACGTCCGGAAGCATCTGGGTTCAGTCTTCCATTCAACGAGGTACATAGGGCCAAAGGATCCTGTTCCCAGCAGCACAGCACCTGTTGGCTCTGTGGCTGAGGTTCCCGGCTCGAACCATTGCTGCAGCCCTTGCTGCTCCGACTTCTCGGATAAGCGCAAAGCAAAGCCTCCAGGCTATTCGCCGCTAAAGCTGCGCGGGCCGTGGAAGGACGGATGCGCACCCACCTTCTCCTAGAAGCGCCTCTCCAAGAATATCCTCAGGCATTGAAATGCATGCCTCACTAAGCTTCGCGACGCCGGCATTCTCGGCATAAAGTCTTAACCCGTCGACTTACCATCACTTGACCTGCTTATGGGCAGGATCGAGCAGGAATGCGGCAGGAACATAGTAGTCCTCGAGTCCAGCACTCGTCCGATGCACAGCGAAGGGATAGGCCCTGGCGTGCTCACTTGCACAGCCGGTTCGGTTGCCTCGGCCAGATGGACCGAAAGACAACAAAACGGTAACATATCTGACAAAGACGAAGATAAAGACATCTACATCAGGCCTCGGCTTAAAACGCGGGCATGCGCAGGCTATCCTTTGAGGCAAGGCTCTCTGGACATGTGCGGCCGCGAAGTCCACCTGCAGCGAATCTCAGGAGACTCTGTCATGGGGCTTCGGGAGCATAGGCCGTGCGAGGAAAGAAGGAAAATCAGGATAACAAGGGACTGGCCAATGCGCAGGGCAGCAGGGAGTCAGGCCTCTTGGCTGTCTTCCTTCAGCATCGCCCGGTGCCTGGAAGCATTGCTGTTCTTGTTGCCATCTTCGAGCACGTACTCATCTCAACAGAAACAGTGCACTCCTTATGGGTATTGGGCTGGTTGAGAGTGTGTGAGGCTAGGCAATTCGCCAAGCGACTTCCTTTCGTCTTGCCGAAGTGCACCGCGCAAGATGTCAACTTCGCGACCTCTGCTCGGACTCCGGGCTTAGGAGCCTAGGGCTTGGGGTCCAGCTGTCTCCGTCTTGTCTTAAAAGTTGCAGGAACAAAGCCGCATGCAGGGGAAGCATTGCAAGCACGACAACCAGCTTGGCCGCAGTGAATTCTGAGTTGACGGCGCAATTGCTCCAGAACAGTGTGGCTGCCTGACGGGTAGTGCGAATACGCGTTAGTAGTAGCAGCGATAGCATTAACAGCAGGAACAGGTTGACGAGGAGAAGGAATAGGAGTAGGAGCAACTAAGAGTACCAGTAGTGGTAGTCGTCGTGGCAGGAGCAGCCGCAGTAATCAGGGTAGTTGTAGTAGCCGTGGTAGTCGTGGTCGTAGTCGGAGTAGTCGTAGTAGTAGTCGTAGCAGTAGTCGTAGTAGTAGTCGTAGTAGTAGCAGTAGCAGTAGGAGTGGTAGTAGCAGTAGTAGTGGTAGTAGTACTAGCAGCAGGAGTAGTAGTAGTAGTAGTAGTAGTAGTAGTAGTAGTAGTAGTAGTAGTAGTAGTAGTAGTAGTGGGCCGACATCCTTTGTTTGACGCCGTATTCTTTGCATGTGGTAGAAATGGAGACATGCAGAATCCGTGGCCAGCACAAGGAATTCATGTATTTTTGACATGTTCACATGGGTAGAGAAAACTGAATTGTGGGAGTGGGTCACGATTGTTGCGCGGACAGCAGCAACCTTTGAGAGTTCTTTTCTGAATGACTTCGTCGTTGTCTTGGATGATACCTTCACAATGATTCTAGGGTGGGCTCATCCCTTCAGAAATCGCTGCAGAAGCAGCCGGGAAACTTGCATGTCATGGTTTTGCTCCAATACTTCTGGGCTTCGAAGCCGAAACCTTCATGCCAACAGTTTCATCTGACTTTTTGTCATATTCCTTTTGACGCCAGAAGCCGAAGCCTTCATGCAAACACCTTCATCTGACTTGTTGTCATATCCTTTTTGAAGCCCGAAGCCGAAACTTTCATGCCAACACCCACCCCCCCCCCACCCCGAACCCCCTACCCCCCCAAAGCCAAGCCAAGCCAAGCCAAACATAAGTACTGAAAATTTGTGCCAAGGCCCTCATACGAAAAGCAAGGCCCTCCTAGGAAAAGCAAGGCCCTGATAGGAACGCAAGGCCCTCATAGGCAATGCAAGGCCCTCGCAGGAAAGCAAGTCCTTTATAGGAAATGCAAGGCCCTCATAGGAAAGTCAACCCCTCATAGGAACTGCTTCCCCAAGTTTGCTGCGGAGCCCGCCCCCCCAACTTTGCTTCAGATGTGGCCAAACGCAGTGCAAATGTAGTAAAGAACCATAGTGTCAAATAAGAGACGTAGCCCTAGTAGTAGTAGTAGTAGTAGTAGTAGTAGTAGTAGTAGTAGTAGTAGTAGTAGTAGTAGTAGTAGTAGCAGCAGCAGCAGGAGTAGTAGTAGTAGTAGTAGTAGTAGTAGTAGTGCAGTAGTACTGTAGTAGTGCTGTGGTAGTGCTGTAGTAGTGCTGTAACAGTACTGTTTGTACTGTAAGATCGTCGTCGTCCTCCTCCTCCTTATCTCGTAGTCGTCGTGTCGTAGTGTCGTGGTCGTAGTAGTACAGCTACCTGCTACTGCTACTGCTCCTGCTCCTCCTACTCCTACCACTAACACTGCCACTACCACTACGACTACATAACCATGATCATGAGAACAATAAGATGACAATAATAGCAATAGTAAAGCAATAGTTATGATAAGAATACTCATGGCAATACTAACCAACCTGTATGTAGCAGATATGACTTATGCTCCAACGATGATGCATCAGCTATGGCAGCACCAGCAGTGTTGTTATGGGTACTACGGCTACAATCATTTTCTTGGCTTACACCCCTGAGCAAGCCAGGCTTTCGACGAATCATAGCGACAAGAATAAGGGATCGTATGCGCATGCTCCGCATGCTTCATCCCTGGAACTGGAACGATGGCGGCGACGAATAAGATGTGCGCGATCGTGACAGTGATGGCCACAGGGATGAATGCTTTATCATGAAGAAGACGATCAACAGAAAGATTACGATGATGATGGAAATGCAGATGGGAGTGATGTGGAGACGTGGAGATGTGGAGCTGGTGACGAAGATGACAGTGAGGTCTTTGAGGATCAACAGTCAGACCCTGAAGGAACGTGAAATAGGCGCCTTGAGAGCTTCCGCCTCCACGAGGGAGGCCTGCAGACGGTTGCCCAATGTTGGCTTTCGGGTCTCGGTATCAAGCGAAACAAGCGCAAAGCTGCGCACCGACGAAGCACCCGCAAGCGCGCGATCTCCGAGCGCAGCTCCCTCTCCGTCGTCTCCAGCTCCTTCTTACTCCAACATACACTTCTACCAGCATTGCCACCCGTATGTGGTCATAGTCAGTATCAGGGCTAATAGATTAGATGCAATATTGCCATGCCACTTTTGTCGGGAAACGTAGACCTCATCCCCGAATAGCATCTACGCCTACGCCTCCAGAGCATGACGCAATGGTGAGCAAAGCAGAAACGGGAATGGTATTGAATTGGTACTTCACCCTATGCAAAACCTAGCCCTAGCCAATGCACGTTAGTCACAGTGTCCCGCTATGCCCTAAACATCCCTAAACCCTCAAGCCCTCACAGGTATTGCTTCCTTCAGAATCCCTAAACCCTCAAGGGCTTGTAGGTCCCTTGCTTGCTTCTTTCAGAGGCTGGCCTGTGCGTGAAGGGCCGCCAGCTGGGACAGGGCGTCTTCGAACTTGGGAGCCTCCGGCGGGAGACGCGAAACCCAGGAGGGGTGAAGCCCCTGAAAAAAGGCTTAAGCCCTTTAGGGTCTAGGGTTAAAGGACAGGGTCGAGGGGAGTGGGTTTAGGGAGAGGCTTGTTGTAGGGCTTAGGGCTTAGGGGTTCAGGGCCCAAGCGTTGCGAGGACCTGTAAACGCTGCGTTCAATGCTGCTCCGCCGTTCCAAAAACGTCCCGCGTGAAGCCAAGCCGCGTCGCGCACCACCGACACCATGATGCCGGCCCTGCAGGCGCACGGATTCAGAAAAGGACGAGGGTTCTTGCAAATCGCAACAGACCTGCACGCTCTGCTCCGATGTGAAGTTCAACAAGGGTCGTTCCCGGAATGGCTTTTACTTTACTGTATCCGTATCCTGCTTCGAACACCCTTAAAATTCTCAATCTAGGGTCCCAAGGCTTTTGGTGGCTTCGGCTCGGTAAGTCGCCTTCACAACATAATGCCCGACCCATTGAACCCTAAACCTGAGCCCTACACCCGACCCATGAACCCTACACCCGACCTCTGAACCCCAAAGTTCCTCCTGAGCCTCAGGCACCCGGCGCCGGAGGCGCTCGGCTGCTCGCAAGCCTTGGACATCCGAGGCTCAAGAGTCTGAGGTTGGACTCGGGGCGACGGCTTTTTTTGGGGTTGTTCAACAGTTTACCCTGGTTCTCCCCGCACGAGCCGACACAAACCCAGCGTGCTTTGAGATTCCACGTTGTGCAAGCAAACTCGAGGTATGGATGTTGGCATTACACACTCCGTGCACCCACGTGTACGTTCACCGTCATTGCCCTAGCCACCGACAGTCACTTTATGCCCGCAAGCTTGCCAGCCAGAGCCTTCTATGAATCCATGTAGGCTCCAAACAACACAAGCTGATAGTCAGCCACAGGACTCAAGACACGTCATGACTGTCATCTCTGCTTCCTGATATCGAGGCCTGCTGGAACGAGAACCATATGACTGATTCTGAACACCAGTCACGATACCGATCAGCATCATCTTCCGTCGACTAGCAGTGGAAATACCAGCAATCACTCGCGAATGTGACAGGCAAAACTGAACGGCAGTAGCAAGAACTAGCATCATGATGGTCATGCCTAACTAGTCTGCACGGATGACCACGGGTGATGATAACAAGAAGAATGGCTGTACGTGAAGCAATACAGAGTTACTGTTACTGTTACGGATCATTACTTCCAAACAACTGGATTTGCCGGTGCTCACGAACGTATTGACAGCAATACGAGGGGAGTCTACTGCACCCGACCCATGTCATGCGCCGGCCCGGGTGCTGTGCAGGATCGGCGCGGCAGCGCAGACAGAGAAGCTGCAAGGGATGCGCACAAAGCTCAGGTCCTATCCGTTCCGCGTCAAAAGATAATGCGCGATCCACCTGCCAGGTATTAGGCCATTCCAAACCAGACCGAATCCCATTAAGATTCCTGCTGCCCCTGGTGTCATGGTGAGAGGATACGCTACGGCGCTTCGGCTGTTGGGCCACTGGGCGGCAGCAAGGACCGGATCCAAAGATGTTCGGCTGCAATGCTCATCTTCTCACAAACCCAGGGTCAAGTGTTGATGATGGTCCCCACAAACTCAGAATGAATTATGCAAGCTCCTTGACTCTACGACTATAACTCGGATCTTTGCATTTCCTTGCACTGAGGGACACGAGTGCCGTGCCCCATCCCTCCGCGTCTCGCTCTCTCCATGGTTTTGCATCCGAGGCGGGTCGCACACGTGAGGGCCACTGGGCGGGTCGTGCTCTGGTTTCACCAGCAGACCCGCAAGGGGCTCTGGGCCCATTGCCGGGTTTCGGAAGCTGCGTGCTGTTCACGCGGCGGATCTTCCGACGCTCTTGCGCCTTCGAGCAAAGAGGCGTGGGAAAGGCACCTGCATGCACCCTCTGGAGGAACGCATGGCTTCACGTCCGGAGAATATCTGCTTTCTTCTGCCATTGCTGCTCACCCGGCACCGTCGGCAGTTTTGATCAGCCGTTGTCCGAGCCTCGTGGGCTGCGCCGAGCTCCAGCGGGGAAGAAACGATCCCCTGCCCCAAAACACAGCCGGATCCGAGTGTCCGACTGGCCAGCTTGGAGTCACTGCGAGCATCGCGCCTGAAACCCGCTTCGAGTAACTGATAGGGCAGAAAGCCGACTAGTGACCCAGTCTCTTTACTCTTTCTTGCGACTGCGGCCTCTGGAAACTGCCTGCTGAAAGCTTATAGAGGAGTGCAGCCCGTAACATCGGAGCTTGACGATGAATATATATATATATATATATATATATGTTATACACACACAACTGGAATATCTACTACACAGATGCACAGGCCATCTACATAATGCGACGAGCAAGTTGTGCGTTGAACATGTCGGCTTTGCGCAGCCCTCTTATCCTGCGGGGTTTCGCACGGCAGTTCTAGATTCATGTCGACACCCCTAAACCCTAAACCCTTCGACCAGCGACATCCAGCGACCAGCGACTGCAAGGACACAGCCTACTGCGACGCGGCAGCGCGCAATGCAACAAAAGGGTGGCGCGGTCACCAACGCTAAGTAGACCTCTCTGACTCTCCTGCTCCGAACATTCCGTGCCGGCCGATGCTTAGCCCCTGAACAGTCACAAAACATATCCCCAAGTCCTGGCTGAAACACCTGAACCCCCTCAAGTCTGAAACCCTCAGGGGCTGAGTGCTCGGCTCCAACGCGATGGAGGCACGGAGCTTGGCTACTTGCGCCTTCATGCGTCTCAGGATTTTCTGGGATTTTGTAGTTGGGCACGGCTGTTGAAGATTGGAGGCATTCTGGTGACCTCACCTGGGACCGCCCTTGGCCACAGGAGTAAACAGCATGTTTTGCAGTGCGCGCTTTCAGGCGACGCGCTTCTCCATGCTCAGCCACTTGATCTTATTAGCACAATGGCAACTGTCCGCAGGACAGTTGCACGGCGGAAAGATGGACGGAGATTCGCCGCAATATTGGAAGCCCGACTTGGCGTAGCACTTTCTGGCCGGCTCGTTGGTCTCCAGCACTGAGAGTTTTACTGTTGAAATGGCGGCTCCCAGCTTTTGAGCGTGCTTCTCGGCCGCTTGGATCAGCAGACCTCCCAAGCCGCGACCTTGATGGGGGCGGTCCACTTTGCAGTGCTTAATGACCAGAGTCTGGTCTGCGAAAGATGCGTGCACATACCCCGCCATTGTGTGGGTCTGCTGTGAGACTGCTGGTAGTGTGAAGGCAGACGGGCGACCTCCGGTCGCCATCTCTTCAATGACTTTTAATCGAGCTTGTTCTTCATCTGCGTTGACGTGCACGAAAGCCTCCGCTTGCTCGGTAGTCAAACTGCGGTACCACATCGTATCCTGGTGCAGATGCGCATGGTCTGCTGCGAATTCTAGTTCTGAGCATCGCAAACGCTTTGAACAGCCTCTCGCATTCGAGCATACAAAGTACCTTGGCGGTGCGGCTCAAAGATCAGCCGAAAGTGTAAGTCAAGTTCCCAGAATGCTCACAAAAATGAAACCGTAGCTGGCTTGCAGGAAGAAACTGATATGTCAACCAGGAAGCTTGCAGTCCGGGAGGCTTGTCCATAGCAGCAACAGCAGCAGCAACAACAACAACAACCATGATTCCGTATCCACACACATCAACAATATCACTGTGTCATGTGCCTTGGAAACTGATGTCCATGCTAAGTTGCCTACTGAGATATTGCGGGCTTTGCGCAAGCACGTGGTCCGCCGTTCTGTCGATCTGCTGGTGTCGATGTTGATATTGTTGTTGCGGCTGGTGATGTTGCTGTGGTTGCTGCTGTTGAAGTTGTTGCTGCTGTTGCTGTTGCTGTTGTTGTCGCTGCTGTCACCTGGTGGTGGTGCTGGTGATGGTGGTGGTCTTGTTCTTGTTCCCGTTCTCCTGGTGCTTGTTCCAGTCATCGGATGTCTCCGATGGCTGGTGTATGCTAGTCACTGCTAGTTTCAAATCCACACTAACCCACTAACTTGTCCACTGAGATACTGGTGGCTCTCCAGCACTACGTTGTCCTCGCTTCGTTCGATAAGCGGCTCCGACTCCTCTTGGGCCTGGGCCCATTCCCATGCCGCAAAACGGCTCCTAGTTGAAGCGCCAGGGCAGACACAAGTCGGTGTTGGCGACGCCAGTTTTCGCTTTCTCTGCGGAGGCTTATGGTTTATTGCTTTCAGCAACGCCTGCGGTGTTTTCTTCTGGTTGGACTGCACCTTGGTTGACGCAGCACGTTCGATCAGGTAGTCGGCCACATCAAGGTGGCTGTTCTCGATGGCGAAAAAGAGCGCTGTCTTCCTCGCGTAGTCCCTAAAATTGACCTCAAAGCCGAGTTGGAAGAGGAATTGGACCACTAACATGTTACCACGTGATGCCGCCCAAAATAGGGGCGTCTGGCCATACACGTCTATATCTTCCAGATCCACGCCCATGGCGACACACTGCTTTGCAAGCATTTCGGAGCCTCGGCGGCGTCGCGCCGCAATAAAAAAAAGAAAGTTTTGTCGAAGAGCCGAATGTTTCCAAGACATGTCGGCCTCTGACAGGACCTTCTTTGCTTCGGCATAGCTGCCATCTCGGACAATCTCGAAGAGTCGGTTTCGCTCAGCTTCATCCGACATGGCGGCGAAAGACACCTCTTGGTTAATGCCGGGCCAATTTTGAGCCGAGCATCTTGCGAAGAAGACCCTTCGAGGAGAGTCATGGGTCAGAAGAATACGCGACATGGCCCTCCTACGCCCGCACTTGCCACGTTTTCTGCTCCTGACAAGCAGCAAGATGGCTCCGACCCTTTCAGCTCTCAAACTCTCACGCAGGCCCGACACCACACGTCCCAAACCCTGGAATTGCTCCGCGCTCTCCACCCTGGACATCTTACAGCTGTAAACCCGAAGCCTAAAATATCCAAAAACAGCGCGAAACCCTTAAACGACCGAGGAGAGTCCGGGTGGCCTCCCTCTCCTCGATGCTCTTCTGGAGACCTTCATACTGCTGTAAAGCTTCAACAGAGACAAGGTAAGGTCTGCTATCTTCTAGTCCGGTAGTTGCAGAATTATAGACTAGAGGTAGAACGACGACATAGCATGACTCAAGCCGTTGAAGGTTTTGAGGTGTAGGGCTTCAGTTGGAGGGTGCAGCGTGTATAGGGTTTCGGGATTCAGGGAGTGAGGCTGAGGTTGTGGGCGAAGGCGATGCAGCTGATTTTATTGTTTTGCTTTTCGCAGCACGGTTCGGTTGCCTTGGCCAGATGGACCGAAAGACAACAAAACGGTAACATATCTGACAAAGACGAAGATAAAGACATCTACATCAGGCCTCGGCTTAAAACGGGGGCATGCGCAGGCTATCCTTTGAGGCAAGGCTCTCTGGACATGTGCGGCCGCGAAGTCCACCTGCAGCGAATCTCAGGAGACTCTGTCATGGGGCTTCGGGAGCATAGGCCGTGCGAGGAAAGAAGGAAAATCAGGATAACAAGGGACTGGCCAATGCGCAGGGCAGCAGGGAGTCAGGCCTCTTGGCTGTCTTCCTTCAGCATCGCCCGGTGCCTGGAAGCATTGCTGTTCTTGCTGCCATCTTCGAGCACGTACTCATCTCAACAGAAACAGTGCACTCCTTATGGGTATTGGGCTGGTTGAGAGTGTGTGAGGCTAGGCAATTCGCCAAGCGACTTCCTTTCGTCTTGCCGAAGTGCACCGCGCAAGATGTCAACTTCGCGACCTCTGCTCGGACTCCGGGCTTAGGAGCCTAGGGCTTGGGGTCCAGCTGTCTCCGTCTTGTCTTAAAAGTTGCAGGAACAAAGCCGCATGCAGGGGAAGCATTGCAAGCACGACAACCAGCTTGGCCGCAGTGAATTCTGAGTTGACGGCGCAATTGCTCCAGAACAGTGTGGCTGCCTGACGGGTAGTGCGAATACGCGTTAGTAGTAGCAGCGATAGCATTAACAGCAGGAACAGATTGACGAGGAGAAGGAATAGTAGGAGCAACGAAGAGTACCAGTAGTGGTAGTCGTCGTGGCAGGAGCAGCCGCAGTAATCAGGGTAGTTGTAGTAGCCGTGGTAGTCGTGGTCGTAGTCGGAGTAGTCGTAGTAGTAGTCGTAGCAGTAGTCGTATTAGTAGTCGTAGTAGTAGTCGTAGTAGTAGCAGTAGCAGTAGGAGTGGTAGTAGCAGTAGTAGTGGTAGTAGTAGTAGCAGCAGGAGTAGCAGCAGTAGTAGCAGCAGCAGTAGTAGTGGTAGTAGGCCGACGTCCTTTGTTTGACGCCGTATTCTTTGCATGTGGTAGAAATGGAGACATGCAGAATCCGTGGCCAGCACAAGGAATTCATGTATTTTTGACATGTTCACATGGGTAGAGAAAACTGAATTGTGGGAGCGGGTCACGATTGTTGCGCGGACAGCAGCAACCTTTGAGAGTTCTTTTCTGAATGACTTCGTCGATGATCTTCGTCGTTGTCTTGGATGATACCTTCACAATGATTCTAGGGTGGGCTCATCCCTTCAGAAATCGCTGCAGAAGCAGCCGGGAAACTTGCACAGTTTAGCTTGCGCTTTGTCATGTCATGGTTTTGCTCCAATACTTCTGGGCTTTCGAAGCCGAAACCTTCATGCCAACAGTTTCATCTGACTTTTTGTCATATTCCTTTTGACGCCAGAAGCCGAAGCCTTCATGCAAACACCTTCATCTGACTTGTTGTCATATCCTTTTTGAAGCCCGAAGCCGAAACTTTCATGCCAACACCCACCCCCCCCCCACCCCGAACCCCCTACCCCCCCAAAGCCAAGCCAAGCCAAGCCAAACATAAGTACTGAAAATTTGTGCCAAGGCCCTCATACGAAAAGCAAGGCCCTCCTAGGAAAAGCAAGGCCCTGATAGGAACGCAAGGCCCTCATAGGCAATGCAAGGCCCTCGCAGGAAAGCAAGTCCTTTATAGGAAATGCAAGGCCCTCATAGGAAAGTCAACCCCTCATAGGAACTGCTTCCCCAAGTTTGCTGCGGAGCCCGCCCCCCCAACTTTGCTTCAGATGTGGCCAAACGCAGTGCAAATGTAGTAAAGAACCATAGTGTCAAATAAGAGACGTAGCCCTAGTAGTAGTAGTAGTAGTAGTAGTAGCAGCAGCAGCAGCAGGAGTAGTAGTAGTAGTAGTAGTAGTAGTAGTAGTAGTAGTAGTAGTAGTAGTAGTAGTAGTAGTAGTAGTAGTAGTAGTAGTAGTAGTAGTGTAGTAGTACTGTAGTAGTGCTGTGGTAGTGCTGTAGTAGTGCTGTAACAGTACTGTTTGTACTGTAAGATCGTCGTCGTCCTCCTCCTCCTTATCTCGTAGTCGTCGTGTCGTAGTGTCGTGGTCGTAGTAGTACAGCTACCTGCTACTGCTACTGCTCCTGCTCCTCCTACTCCTACCACTAACACTGCCACTACCACTGCGACTACATAACCATGATCATGAGAACAATAAGATGACAATAATAGCAATAGTAAAGCAATAGTTATGATAAGAATACTCATGGCAATACTAACCAACCTGTATGTAGCAGATATGACTTATGCTCCAACGATGATGCATCAGCTATGGCAGCACCAGCAGTGTTGTTATGGGTACTACGGCTACAATCATTTTCTTGGCTTACACCCCTGAGCAAGCCAGGCTTTCGACGAATCATAGCGACAAGAATAAGGGATCGTATGCGCATGCTCCGCATGCTTCATCCCTGGAACTGGAGCGATGGCGGCGACGAATAAGATGTGCGCGATCGTGACAGTGATGGCCACAGGGATGAATGCTTTATCATGAAGAAGACGATCAACAGAAAGATTACGATGATGATGGAAATGCAGATGGGAGTGATGTGGAGACGTGGAGATGTGGAGCTGGTGACGAAGATGACAGTGAGGTCTTTGAGGATCAACAGTCAGACCCTGAAGGAACGTGAAATAGGCGCCTTGAGAGCTTCCGCCTCCACGAGGGAGGCCTGCAGACGGTTGCCCAATGTTGGCTTTCGGGTCTCGGTATCAAGCGAGCCCTACGAAACAAGCGCAAAGCTGCGCACCGACGAAGCACCCGCAAGCGCGCGATCTCCGAGCGCAGCTCCCTCTCCGTCGTCTCCAGCTCCTGCTTACTCCAACATACACTTCTACCAGCATTGCCACCCGTATGTGGTCATAGTCAGTATCAGGGCTAATAGATTAGATGCAATATTGCCATGCCACTTTTGTCGGGAAACGTAGACCTCATCCCCGAATAGCATCTACGCCTACGCCTCCAGAGCATGACGCAATGGTGAGCAAAGCAGAAACGGGAATGGTATTGAATTGGTACTTCACCCTATGCAAAACCTAGCCCTGGCCAATGCACGTTAGTCACAGTGTCCCGCTATGCCCTAAATATCCCTAAACCCTCAAGCCCTCACAGGTATTGCTTCCTTCAGAATCCCTAAACCCTCAAGGGCTTGTAGGTCCCTTGCTTGCTTCTTTCAGAGGCTGGCCTGCGCGTGAAGGGCCGCCAGCTGGGACAGGGCGTCTTCGAACTTGGGAGCCTCCGGCGGGAGACGCGAAACCCAGGAGGGGTGAAGCCCCTGAAAAAAGGCTTAAGCCCTTTAGGGTCTAGGGTTAAAGGACAGGGTCGAGGGGAGTGGGTTTAGGGAGAGGCTTGTTGTAGGGCTTAGGGCTTAGGGGTTCAGGGCACAAGCGTTGCGAGGACCTGTAAACGCTGCGTTCAATGCTGCTCCGCCGTTCCAAAAACGTCCCGCGTGAAGCCAAGCCGCGTCGCGCACCACCGACACCATGATGCCGGCCCTGCAGGCGCACGGATTCAGAAAAGGACGAGGGTTCTTGCAAATCGCAACAGACCTGCACGCTCTGCTCCGATGTGAAGTTCAACAAGGGTCGTTCCCGGAATGGCTTTTACTTTACTGTATCCGTATCCTGCTTCGAACACCCTTAAAATTCTCAATCTAGGGTCCCAAGGCTTTTGGTGGCTTCGGCTCGGTAAGTCGCCTTCACAACATAATGCCCGACCCATTGAACCCTAAACCTGAGCCCTACACCCGACCCATGAACCCTACACCCGACCTCTGAACCCCAAAGTTCCTCCTGAGCCTCAGGCACCCGGCGCCGGAGGCGCTCGGCTGCTCGCAAGCCTTGGACATCCGAGGCTCAAGAGTCTGAGGTTGGACTCGGGGCGACGGCTTTTTTTGGGGTTGTTCAACAGTTTACCCTGGTTCTCCCCGCACGAGCCGACACAAACCCAGCGTGCTTTGAGATTCCACGTTGTGCAAGCAAACTCGAGGTATGGATGTTGGCATTACACACTCCGTGCACCCACGTGTACGTTCACCGTCATTGCCCTAGCCACCGACAGTCACTTTATGCCCGCAAGCTTGCCAGCCAGAGCCTTCTATGAATCCATGTAGGCTCCAAACAACACAAGCTGATAGTCAGCCACAGGACTCAAGACACGTCATGACTGTCATCTCTGCTTCCTGATATCGAGGCCTGCTGGAACGAGAACCATATGACTGATTCTGAACACCAGTCACGATACCGATCAGCATCATCTTCCGTCGACTAGCAGTGGAAATACCAGCAATCACTCGCGAATGTGACAGGCAAAACTGAACGGCAGTAGCAAGAACTAGCATCATGATGGTCATGCCTAACTAGTCTGCACGGATGACCACGGGTGATGATAACAAGAAGAATGGCTGTACGTGAAGCAATACAGAGTTACTGTTACTGTTACGGATCATTACTTCCAAACAACTGGATTTGCCGGTGCTCACGAACGTATTGACAGCAATACGAGGGGAGTCTACTGCACCCGACCCATGTCATGCGCCGGCCCGGGTGCTGTGCAGGATCGGCGCGGCAGCGCAGACAGAGAAGCTGCAAGGGATGCGCACAAAGCTCAGGTCCTATCCGTTCCGCGTCAAAAGATAATGCGCGATCCACCTGCCAGGTATTAGGCCATTCCAAACCAGACCGAATCCCATTAAGATTCCTGCTGCCCCTGGTGTCATGGTGAGAGGATACGCTACGGCGCTTCGGCTGTTGGGCCACTGGGCGGCAGCAAGGACCGGATCCAAAGATGTTCGGCTGCAATGCTCATCTTCTCACAAACCCAGGGTCAAGTGTTGATGATGGTCCCCACAAACTCAGAATGAATTATGCAAGCTCCTTGACTCTACGACTATAACTCGGATCTTTGCATTTCCTTGCACTGAGGGACACGAGTGCCGTGCCCCATCCCTCCGCGTCTCGCTCTCTCCATGGTTTTGCATCCGAGGCGGGTCGCACACGTGAGGGCCACTGGGCGGGTCGTGCTCTGGTTTCACCAGCAGACCCGCAAGGGGCTCTGGGCCCATTGCCGGGTTTCGGAAGCTGCGTGCTGTTCACGCGGCGGATCTTCCGACGCTCTTGCGCCTTCGAGCAAAGAGGCGTGGGAAAGGCACCTGCATGCACCCTCTGGAGGAACGCATGGCTTCACGTCCGGAGAATATCTGCTTTCTTCTGCCATTGCTGCTCACCCGGCACCGTCGGCAGTTTTGATCAGCCGTTGTCCGAGCCTCGTGGGCTGCGCCGAGCTCCAGCGGGGAAGAAACGATCCCCTGCCCCAAAACACAGCCGGATCCGAGTGTCCGACTGGCCAGCTTGGAGTCACTGCGAGCATCGCGCCTGAAACCCGCTTCGAGTAACTGATAGGGCAGAAAGCCGACTAGTGACCCAGTCTCTTTACTCTTTCTTGCGACTGCGGCCTCTGGAAACTGCCTGCTGAAAGCTTATAGAGGAGTGCAGCCCGTAACATCGGAGCTTGACGATGAATATATATATATATATATATATATATGTTATACACACACAACTGGAATATCTACTACACAGATGCACAGGCCATCTACATAATGCGACGAGCAAGTTGTGCGTTGAACATGTCGGCTTTGCGCAGCCCTCTTATCCTGCGGGGTTTCGCACGGCAGTTCTAGATTCATGTCGACACCCCTAAACCCTAAACCCTTCGACCAGCGACATCCAGCGACCAGCGACTGCAAGGACACAGCCTACTGCGACGCGGCAGCGCGCAATGCAACAAAAGGGTGGCGCGGTCACCAACGCTAAGTAGACCTCTCTGACTCTCCTGCTCCGAACATTCCGTGCCGGCCGATGCTTAGCCCCTGAACAGTCACAAAACATATCCCCAAGTCCTGGCTGAAACACCTGAACCCCCTCAAGTCTGAAACCCTCAGGGGCTGAGTGCTCGGCTCCAACGCGATGGAGGCACGGAGCTTGGCTACTTGCGCCTTCATGCGTCTCAGGATTTTCTGGGATTTTGTAGTTGGGCACGGCTGTTGAAGATTGGAGGCATTCTGGTGACCTCACCTGGGACCGCCCTTGGCCACAGGAGTAAACAGCATGTTTTGCAGTGCGCGCTTTCAGGCGACGCGCTTCTCCATGCTCAGCCACTTGATCTTATTAGCACAATGGCAACTGTCCGCAGGACAGTTGCACGGCGGAAAGATGGACGGAGATTCGCCGCAATATTGGAAGCCCGACTTGGCGTAGCACTTTCTGGCCGGCTCGTTGGTCTCCAGCACTGAGAGTTTTACTGTTGAAATGGCGGCTCCCAGCTTTTGAGCGTGCTTCTCGGCCGCTTGGATCAGCAGACCTCCCAAGCCGCGACCTTGATGGGGGCGGTCCACTTTGCAGTGCTTAATGACCAGAGTCTGGTCTGCGAAAGATGCGTGCACATACCCCGCCACTGCGTGGGTCTGCTGTGAGACTGCTGGTAGTGTGAAGGCAGACGGGCGACCTCCGGTCGCCATCTCTTCAATGACTTTTAATCGAGCTTGTTCTTCATCTGCGTTGACGTGCACGAAAGCCTCCGCTTGCTCGGTAGTCAAACTGCGGTACCACATCGCATCCTGGTGCAGATGCGCATGGTCTGCTGCGAATTCTAGTTCTGAGCATCGCAAACGCTTTGAACAGCCTCTCGCATTCGAGCATACAAAGTACCTTGGCGGTGCGGCTCAAAGATCAGCCGAAAGTGTAAGTCAAGTTCCCAGAATGCTCACAAAAATGAAACCGTAGCTGGCTTGCAGGAAGAAACTGATATGTCAACCAGGAAGCTTGCAGTCCGGGAGGCTTGTCCATAGCAGCAACAGCAGCAACAACAACAACAACCATGATTCCGTATCCACACACATCAACAATATCACTGTGTCATGTGCCTTGGAAACTGATGTCCATGCTAAGTTGCCTACTGAGATATTGCGGGCTTTGCGCAAGCACGTGGTCCGCCGTTCTGTCGATCTGCTGGTGTCGATGTTGATATTGAATATTGTTGTTGCGGCTGGTGATGTTGCTGTGGTTGCTGCTGTTGAAGTTGTTGCTGCTGTTGCTGTTGCTGTTGTTGTCGCTGCTGTCACCTGGTGGTGGTGCTGGTGATGGTGGTGGTCTTGTTCTTGTTCCCGTTCTCCTGGTGCTTGTTCCAGTCATCGGATGTCTCCGATGGCTGGTGTATGCTAGTCACTGCTAGTTTCAAATCCACACTAACCCACTAACTTGTCCACTGAGATACTGGTGGCTCTCCAGCACTACGTTGTCCTCGCTTCGTTCGATAAGCGGCTCCGACTCCTCTTGGGCCTGGGCCCATTCCCATGCCGCAAAACGGCTCCTAGTTGAAGCGCCAGGGCAGACACAAGTCGGTGTTGGCGATGCCAGCTTTCGCTTTCTCTGCGGAGGCTTATGGTTTATTGCTTTCAGCAACGCCTGCGGTGTTTTCTTCTGGTTGGACTGCACCTTGGTTGACGCAGCACGTTCGATCAGGTAGTCGGCCACATCAGTGTGGCTGTTCTCGATGGCGAAAAAGAGCGCTGTCTTCCTCGCGTAGTCCCTAAAATTGACCTCAAAGCCGAGTTGGAAGAGGAATTGGACCACTAACATGTTACCACGTGATGCCGCCCAAAATAGGGGCGTCTGGCCATACACGTCTATATCTTCCAGATCCACGCCCATGGCGACACACTGCTTTGCAAGCATTTCGGAGCCTCGGCGGCGTCGCGCCGCAATAAAAAAAAGAAAGTTTTGTCGAAGAGCCGAATGTTTCCAAGACATGTCGGCCTCTGACAGGACCTTCTTTGCTTCGGCATAGCTGCCATCTCGGACAATCTCGAAGAGTCGGTTTCGCTCAGCTTCATCCGACATGGCGGCGAAAGACACCTCTTGGTTAATGCCGGGCCAATTTTGAGCCGAGCATCTTGCGAAGAAGACCCTTCGAGGAGAGTCATGGGTCAGAAGAATACGCGACATGGCCCTCCTACGCCCGCACTTGCCACGTTTTCTGCTCCTGACAAGCAGCAAGATGGCTCCGACCCTTTCAGCTCTCAAACTCTCACGCAGGCCCGACACCACACGTCCCAAACCCTGGAATTGCTCCGCGCTCTCCACCCTGGACATCTTACAGCTGTAAACCCGAAGCCTAAAATATCCAAAAACAGCGCGAAACCCTTAAACGACCGAGGAGAGTCCGGGTGGCCTCCCTCTCCTCGATGCTCTTCTGGAGACCTTCATACTGCTGTAAAGCTTCAACAGAGACAAGGTAAGGTCTGGGGTATCTTACGCTATCTTCTAGTCCGGTAGTTGCAGAATTATAGACTGGAGGTAGAACGACGACATAGCATGACTCAAGCCGTTGAAGGTTTTGAGGTTTAGGGCTTCAGTTGGAGGGTGCAGCGTGTATATAGGGTTTCGGGATTCAGGGAGTGAGGCTGAGGTTGTGGGCGAAGGCGATGCAGCTGATTTTATTGTTTTGCTTTTCGCAGCACGGTTCGGTTGCCTTGGCCAGATGGACCGAAAGACAACAAAACGGTAACATATCTGACAAAGACGAAGATAAAGACATCTACATCAGGCCTCGGCTTAAAACGCGGGCATGCGCAGGCTATCCTTTGAGGCAAGGCTCTCTGGACATGTGCGGCCGCGAAGTCCACCTGCAGCGAATCTCAGGAGACTCTGTCATGGGGCTTCGGGAGCATAGGCCGTGCGAGGAAAGAAGGAAAATCAGGATAACAAGGGACTGGCCAATGCGCAGGGCAGCAGGGAGTCAGGCCTCTTGGCTGTCTTCCTTCAGCATCGCCCGGTGCCTGGAAGCATTGCTGTTCTTGTTGCCATCTTCGAGCACGTACTCATCTCAACAGAAACAGTGCACTCCTTATGGGTATTGGGCTGGTTGAGAGTGTGTGAGGCTAGGCAATTCGCCAAGCGACTTCCTTTCGTCTTGCCGAAGTGCACCGCGCAAGATGTCAACTTCGCGACCTCTGCTCGGACTCCGGGCTTAGGAGCCTAGGGCTTGGGGTCCAGCTGTCTCCGTCTTGTCTTAAAAGTTGCAGGAACAAAGCCGCATGCAGGGGAAGCATTGCAAGCACGACAACCAGCTTGGCCGCAGTGAATTCTGAGTTGACGGCGCAATTGCTCCAGAACAGTGTGGCTGCCTGACGGGTAGTACGAATAACAGCTTTAGTAGTAGCAGCGATAGCATTAACAGCAGGAACAGACTGACGAGGAGAAGGAATAGGAGTAGGAGCAACTAAGAGTACCAGTAGTGGTAGTCGTCGTGGCAGGAGCAGCCGCAGTAATCAGGGTAGTTGTAGTAGCCGTAGTAGTCGTGGTAGTAGTCGTAGCAGTAGTCGTAATAGTAGTCGTAGTAGTAGTCGTAGCAGTAGTCGTAGTAGTAGTCGTAGTAGTAGTCGTAGTAGTAGCAGTAGCAGTAGCAGTAGCAGTAGGAGTGGTAGTAGTAGTAGTAGTAGTAGTAGCAGCAGGAGTAATAGTAGTAGTAGTAGTAGTAGTAGTAGTAGTAGTAGTAGTAGTAGTAGTAGCAGTAGTAGCAGTAGTAGCAGTAGTAGCAGTAGTAGCAGTAGTAGTAGTAGTAGTAGTAGTAGTAGTAGTAGTAGTAGTAGTAGTAGTAGGCCGACGTCCTTTATTTGACGCCGTATTTTTTGCATGTGGTAGAAATGGAAACATGCGGAATCCGTGGCCAGCACAAGGAATTCATGTATTTTTGACATGTTCACATGGGTAGAGAAAACTGAATTGTGGGAGCGGGTCACGATTGTTGCGCGGACAGCAGCAACCTTTGAGAGTTCTTTTCTGAATGACTACGTCGTTGTCTTGGATGATACCTTCACAATGATTCTAGGGTGGGCTCATCCCTTCAGAAATCGCTGCAGAAGCAGCCGGGAAACTTGCACAGTTTAGCTTGCGCTTTGTCATGTCATGGTTTTGCTCCAATACTTCTGGGCTTTCGAAGCCGAAACCTTCATGCCAACAGTTTCATCTGACTTTTTGTCATATTCCTTTTGACGCCAGAAGCCGAAGCCTTCATGCAAACACCTTCATCTGACTTGTTGTCATATCCTTTTTGAAGCCCGAAGCCGAAACTTTCATGCCAACACCCACCCCCCCCCCACCCCGAACCCCCTACCCCCCCAAAGCCAAGCCAAGCCAAGCCAAACATAAGTACTGAAAATTTGTGCCAAGGCCCTCATACGAAAAGCAAGGCCCTCCTAGGAAAAGCAAGGCCCTGATAGGAACGCAAGGCCCTCATAGGCAATGCAAGGCCCTCGCAGGAAAGCAAGTCCTTTATAGGAAATGCAAGGCCCTCATAGGAAAGTCAACCCCTCATAGGAACTGCTTCCCCAAGTTTGCTGCGGAGCCCGCCCCCCCAACTTTGCTTCAGATGTGGCCAAACGCAGTGCAAATGTAGTAAAGAACCATAGTGTCAAATAAGAGACGTAGCCCTAGTAGTAGTAGTAGTAGTAGTAGTAGCAGCAGCAGCAGCAGGAGTAGTAGTAGTAGTAGTAGTAGTAGTAGTAGTAGTAGTAGTAGTAGTAGTAGTAGTAGCAGCAGCAGCAGCAGCAGGAGTAGTAGTAGTAGTGTAGTAGTACTGTAGTAGTGCTGTAGTAGTGCTGTAGTAGTGCTGTACCAGTACTGTAGTAAGATCGTCGTCGTCCTCCTCCTTATCTCGTAGTCGTCGTGTCGTAGTGTCGTGGTCGTAGTAGTACAGCTACCTGCTACTGCTACTGCTCCTGCTCCTCCTACTCCTACCACTAACACTGCCACTACCACTACGACCACATAATCATAAACATGAGAACAATAAGATGACAATAATAGCAATAATAAAGCAATAGTTATGATAAGAATAGTCATGGCAATACTAACCAACTTGTATGTAGCAGATATGACTTATGCTCGAACGATGATGCATCAGCTATGGCAGCACCAGCAGTGTTGTTATGGGTACTACGGCTACAATCATTTTCTTGGCTTACACCCCTGAGCAAGCCAGGCTTTCGACGAATCATAGCGACAAGAAAAAGGGATCGTATGCGCATGCTCCGCATGCTTCATCCCCGGAACTGGAACCGGTCGCTGTCGGGAGAAACAGACCGGGCCTTTCTCCTGGCCAGTCGGGCCCTTGCGATGCAACAGAGCGGCCTGGCGTGCGGCAGCGGGACAGGCACTACCATTACTACCATACCACAGACTTGCAGAGATGACATGAGCCCGTGATCATATGATCGACGTTGATGTTCGCTTCCTCTTGAAGTCTCACAATCACATCTCCATCAGAGTGCTTCTAGAAGGTTGCAGAGGGTCACCCTGAACCAGAATCCGTGACGCCGCTTCCTCCCAGCCCTTGGGGCCGGCCTTGCTCCGAAGCTCGCTACCCACCTTCCTGAGCTTCGGCGGTAAATTCAAGGCACACCGATGAAGAGGAGAGAAGGATGGAGGAAGGGAGGGAAGCGACAGACAGAGAGAGCGAGCCAGAAAGGGAGAGAGAGAGAGAGAGAGAGAGAGAGAGAGAGCGAGAGAGAGAGAGAGAGAGAGAGAGAGAGAGAGAGAGGAGAGACAGAGAGAGAGAGAGAAAGAGAGAGAGAGAGAGAGAGAGAGAGAGAGAGAGAGAGAGAGAAAGAGAGAGAGAGAGAGAGAGAGAGAAATAGAGAGAGAAATAGAGAAATAGAGAGAGAAATAGAGAGAGAAATAGAGAGAGCGAGCGAGCGAACCAGTGCGAACCAGAAAGCGAGAGAGAGCGAGCGAAGAGAGAAAGAATGACAGAGAGAGGGGGGAGCGGGACAGAGAAAGGCGGAGGGAGAGACACGAGCCTGGCCTTATCTCCTCCTCAATGGCCTTCCGCTGGTTGGAGAGCTTCAGCCTTTCGAATTACAGGGCACCGGCTCCAGCCGTTTGCAGCACTCTACACTTGGTTGCTGGTCCCTGGTTCCCCGGTTCCCCAAACCCCAAAAGGGGAGCAGACCTGGACAAGCACACTTTCAGAGCAAGGACAGGACAAGTTCCCGGCCGGTCCGCTTGCAGCTTTACATTCAGCCGCTTCTGCTGATCCACCTAACACTTTCTTGCCGGGTTTCAGGCCGTTTAGGGTTTTGAGCAACTACGAATGTACCTCCATCTTGTCGGTAGTCGAGTGCAAAGACATGCTCATACTGATGCTGCTGCTCCTCCTGCTGCTGCTGACCGCCATGACCACTGCCAGCACTGCTACAGCGACTCGGACTTTGAGAACAGCCAAAACTTCCATTACTATCGCCTGTGCGGTTGCCGCAGTTGCGCTGCTCGTTTGCTGTTGCTTGTACCGTATTGGATCAGTCGTATCACTGTGAAACTGACTTTCGCTTTATCGTTACTGTCCTAGCCAGCGCTGCTAACAGCCTTGCCCTTACCAGCGCTACCGGTGTTGCCCGCTCAAGCATTGTTGTTACAGTTAGCAGAACCCTTGCCTGGTGAGGATTGCTACATGTTTCACTTGAGTGTTATTCAGACACTCTCGGCGTGCTGGCCTCCATTTTCACCTTCTGAAGCCGTTCCTCTATCTCCGGCCGCACTGCACTCTGGGCATTCTCGGCCTTGCGCTGGACCTTCGCTTCAGGCTTTAGGTTGTAGAGCTTGGGAATTTGGGCTGTCTGTTCAGGGGTCTCACTCGTCATGGATGTGTGCTTTCGGGTTCGAGGCTTTGGAGTGTCAGGGCGGGATCATGAGCATGGTATTCCGAATCAATCGCAGTCGAAATGGACTCTAATGACTCTAAGAACCGAGAACTAAGCATCGTGCTTTATGGCTGAATGTGATGCACACTTGACTGAGAATATGCTGGGGAGCAGAGGGCATGTACGAGTAGCTAGGGCCCAAGGCATGAGTCAGCGCTTCGCCTTTTAAGTGTAGTTCGCGCTTTATATACATACGGTATATACATAAGTACATATAATATATACAGCTGTCATATATATATATATATATGTGTATATAAGTATGTACGTGCGTATTTAGGTAAGTAGCCATGTACATGTGTACGGTTGTATGTAGGTTTGTCTGTATGTACCTGCATATACGGTATATGAGACAAGATATATGGTATGTGGCACGATGTGATCAGGCCTGATGGTGCGATATGGCACGGATATGGTATGAAGTGATATGATACATGTCATATGATGACATGATCTCCGTTTGATATGATCAATGCGGGATGGTGTGGTATGGACTGGTACGGTATGACCTCATACGACACGACATGACACAGCATCGCATGATATGATGTGACATGATATGATAGCAACTGATGTGATGTGGTATGACATAGCATGACGCTGTGCGCACATATATGCACATGACGTTTATGTACGTATACATGTAACGTATTCACATGGGCGTCTCGTGTGTGTGCAGCGCATGAGCTTTAAGTTACGTACGTCTTGCCGTATTCGTGCGAGACAGACGTGGAAAGAATGAGTATCCATCTGTTCCCACCTCGGCCGCATGCTCCAGCCCTTCGCTGACACGCTGCAGTTGCTGCAGCTCCTGTCCCGGGTTCGGGCCCCTTCGGCTTAAAGCTCAGGGTTTAGAGATGTTGGGACTTGTTGCTTCGCTGGGTCTTGAAGCCTGAGATTGCTTCTCGAACCTCTGAAGTTGGCTGTTTTTCCTTGATGCCCCGCTTCCCACTGTTGGACGCTCCTTCCGTCGCTCTGCGAGGAGGTTGTACAGCCTCGGACAGGCTGCACAAGCAAAGGCTGTAGTCTCGAGTAATTATGAAGTGCCAGGTACAGGCATGCGTCCACCGCGAGCTCCCCAACTCTGGGCACTTCGTGGAAGGTCAGTCGAAGGGCTGCATCTATCGGTTTATCATAAGGGTCCATGATGGTCCATGTAAATGTAAGGGTGCCTTTAAGGGTTCTCTCAGGGTGCCATTAGGGTTTAGATGGGTTTAGGATTTCAGGGCCGATGCCGAATGCTCGGATAGAAAGAGCAGAAAGCCTCAGCCCTCCTCAGTCCTTGGTGGGGCCTTCGGCATCCCCTCTCGCCACACGCTTTCTGATCAAGGTCCTAAGAGCTTCCCCCAATAAGACATACATCAGGGCCTTGACAGCTAGCACTGCGATGCCTCAAAGTCCGTAAGAGGAGACTGTAGCACGACATGACTCATAACCTTACTTAGTCTGACTACTGGGCCCCCTTTCGAAACCTTCTTGACTGTTCAACCTACTCAAAAGACAAACCCCCTGCCATGTGCGATGTGCTAATTATCGGGACTGCCAAAACCCTTAATTCAGGGGCCCTTAAGAATTACCTCTACTATTTTACGGGCTTCTTATTGTATTTATAGTATGATATACCCCAAAAGTCTATTAAAATTTGACCTTATTATTACATTTATAGTATGATATACCTCAAACGTCTATTAAAATTTGACCTTATTATTATATTTATAGTATGATATACCCCAAACGTCTATTCTAATTTGAGGAGCATTGAGGAGCCGACTCCATGGGATCCTTGTCCCGGGCGTCCCAGGGGTTCGACATCTGGCCTCGATTTGTTCGTTCGTGGTTAGGGTTTTTTTTCTGAGCGCCTTCTTCCGCCTTGCAGTTAAGGTCAGCAGTGGTTAGGGTTTAGGGTTTAGGGTTGGGGTTTAGGGGTCTCTGGTGGTTGGTGGGTTTTAGGCCGCTCGACGCAATTGCAGGACTTGCCGTCTGCAAGAGCTCGGGTCCGTAAGGCTGATATGGCTTGCAAGACTTGCTGCGATTCGTTGTCCGGTCCCGGGCTGTTGAACTTCGATGGGCGATGCTAGGGATTCTAGGCCTCAAGGGCTTTGGATGTTGGCTCTCAGGGCTTTGGCTACAGAAATTCGCTGCACATTGCGAGCCGTGGTTTTGCTGGTGCGGGCGTTGGTAGACACTCTTGGATCCAGGTGTCGAATTAAAAAAGACACACGATCCTCAATAACTCAGACTGTTGAGCTAGTACAGTGTGAATTCACACAGGGTGCAGATATGAACAGTGTGCACATATGCACATAATGTGTATACATATATATACATATATATATATATATATGAAATCCTGCACCCGGTGCAGCTCAGACGCTGTGCCGGTCCCGGGACTCCAGTTCCTGGCTTCCGATCTTCGGGGTTTTGGGGATTTCCCGTGCGGCACCGGGAACTGCAGACTGCATCTGCGTAAAGAGCCTGGCCTGCCGCATGCGCTTGATTTCACGCCGGTACCACTCTGCCTGGACTTGCGAAACCGAGGCCCAGAAAACATCCACTGTTCGAGCTCCAGTGCCACAGCCATGCTTCAGCGCGACGTACACCCCCGGCCCCGAGCCTTTTCCAATGCCTCTTCAAGCTCCCGCTCGCGCTCAGCGCGCCGGGGATGCGGAGGCCTCGCGGCGGGCGTTCTGGCTCGTCAGCATGTACGTGCTTGGCACTCTTTATTTCGGAAATGGCCGCGTCGAGTCGGGCTCATTCCGCCCCTTCCCGCGGAGTGCGCCTTAATCGCAAACCTTTCGGGGTCTTGGGTTTGGATCGGAGGTTTCAAGTCTAGTGCGAAGTTCAAGCCTATCAGGTTGATGGTTGAAGTTGAGCGGAAGCTGCAGAGCATCGCAGAGCCAATGGATGAAGAGCAGTGCGATTGGCCAGGGCTAAAGGTTTCGTGGGTCCTGCAGCCGTCACTTGACAACCTGACAGTCGGCGGGGGAGGGATGGCATCTACCAAGTCTATTGGATGCTGCAGCAGAGCCTGGGTACAAGGAGATGTCGGAGCCCTTTGCTTCAAATTACACGGCTTGACTCCCAAAAAAGTCCTAAACCCTAAACCCTAAACCCAAAACCCCTGAACCCTAAACCCTAAACCCAAAGCCCCTGAACCCTAAACCCTAAACCCTGCAAAACCTGAAGAACAGCCTTGGGACTGAAGCCGACTCTCCTCTTCCCATGCCAGGGCGTGGGCCGTGGTGCGAGCGGCTTGTTCGCAGCATCACCGTGCAAAAGAAGCCGGGCCTTTGAGCTGATCTGAACACAATGATCTTGGTTGGGCAACTTCTGATTGGAGACCTTCCCATTTATTCTACAAGTGTTAATTTCAGCTCGTGGCATTCTTATCGCGGATGCTACGGTGACAGCGCCTGCGTCGATGATGCAGAGGCTGCAGGGGTGTTGGTACTGGTACTGCTGCTGCTTTCTACCCCTAAGATCAGGAGCTCCAAGGGCCCCCACGCGCTGCACCAGCTGCTCGATCTCTGACCGGAGGCGCGTAGCCTCTGCCTGTCGGCGGTCGCCGCCCAGTCCCGCAGCTGTGGAAATCAGTCTCAAGATATTAACTGGCTGGGTTTGGTACAGGAATTGTCTGTAATAGTTGGTGGATTTCTCATAACCACTGCTAGGACCGTTGCCGAGAACCATGCGGCAACGCAACGACGCTTCTGACTCTAACCGGGTCTTGTATCGTAAGTATTGACAAGTCAAGGCTCGTCGGTAGAACATGTAGCAGCTCGATGCAGCATACATACATACATGCATGCATGCATGCATGCATGCATGCATGCATATGAACACATACACACACACACATACACATGCATGCATACATGCATACATGCATGTATGCATGCATATCTGCATACTTAGCCGCATAGACATGGACATATTCCGACACATACACATACACATCATATACAATCATATACCATCATATACATATACATATACATATACATATACATATATGGATAGGATGCTGCCTGGTGCCTCTCAGCCGCCTCTGCGTTCGCCATCGCAGGCCCGAAGGCAGACCTTGGAGCCAAACAGGGCTTTGGGAGAAGGGACGGTTTTGGGTTTGGGGTTTAGGACCTGGGGTCAAGTACGGCAGTGGCCGTACCAGGAGCAGTAGCAGCAGTAGCTGTTTACATTGCGCATTGATGTTCTCGGGAGGCACCGCACCCAGCGTCAACCAGCGGAGAACCACCACACAGCAGGCCACTGAAACGCAAGATGTCGTGCTCACCTGCTGCCTGAAACATTTCATCCAAAACCTTATCAAAGGGCTGAATCCCCAAGACCTGACACTGCCGTGAACAAGAACCTTGTGAGCGGAAGTTGGGGGCTTCCAGGGGCTGTTGATGCAACGGGACGACACGGCTTGGGGCCAAGCCTTCTGCACGACGTCTGTCAATTCAAGTACGACATCTTGCATACCATACGCTTGACACGGATTTCACTCACACTACCTTGTCGGCCTGCCAGCTGGAGCCGATATCCATCTCTCCCATCTTCTTTGTGGCATGCTCACTATTTACCCAGACTCTCCATCTCCATCCACCGACAATGGTCCAAGAGTGGTCTGCGAAACTGAGCCTTCTTTTGGGCATAGCTTGCTCTGGTTTGTGGGTTCTTTTGGTCTGTTTGTTTGCGGGCATCTGCAGTCCATCGACTTCCTGCGCAGACGAAAACATGAAGTCAGCTATGGTCTTCCAGCATGCTAAGCCTAAGCGCCTTCAACACAATTCAGTCGAGGTTGGTAGCAAGATATCAGAAATCATCTTCGAAGTTTTGCGGCCCCATCTTTGACAGCCCCCCGGTACTGGCCATCTCAGGCGCGGACCAAAAGACACATGCTCCTGGCCCCTAACAGCCAACCAGTGCTTGTAGTAGGGTGAAGAGATCGGGGCTTCAGGATCCACTTCTAACAACCTATCGTTTATAGCGAAGCTGTGTGTCTCTAGGATCGCAGTACTTCCCATATTGGCGCAAAAGCCATGGTCGCGCATGCCTATCATGTAACATGCGGGCCTCGTCGCCACACCGTGCCATGAACATCAGCTTGGGCCATCACAGGCAACGAACACTTCTCGGGGACTGCATGGGCTTTCTGCGAACAGAGAAGAGTGGGAACAGGCTATGAAAGGGACGAGACAACGACTGTCAAGAAATAACAACAACAACAACAACAACAACAACAACAACAACAACAACAACAACAACAACAACAACAACAACAACAACAACAACAACAACAACAACAACAACAACAACAACAACAACAACAACAACAACAACAACACCAACACCTGCGATCAGAGCATGACAATGAAGACGGAAAGTTCTAACAATGATATAATATATATATATATATATATATATATATGGCAAGGTAGTGATGAAAATGATGATATTGAGGTCTCTGGACCGGCATCCGACCGAGTGCCCCAGGCGCAAATCGGAGCTCTAGGTTTGACGACTGGGGTAGACATCAGATGGCCTTCCGGCCGTAGGAGAGAGAGAGGGAGAGAGAGAGGGGATGATGATGATGATGATGATGATGATATGGTAGGTCCACCCCCTTGATGATGATGATCATGATGATGATGGTGGTGATGTGGCCGTCATAATCATAGTCGTCATCATCATCATCATCCGGCTTTGCCATGTGCGAATGGTGTGTGCTCAAAGGCACCATCCCAGGTTTCCTACGGACGGTGGTGGATAGGACCAAGCCGAAACTGGCGTAGATAGACATGTATGTATGTATGTATGTATGTATGTATGATTATGTATGTATGCATGTTTGCAGGCACGTACGTGCATGTGTATGTGGGTATGTGTGTGCATACATCCGGAAAGCTGTACAAAGCAGTGTATATGTGAATGTATATGCATAAGTATTATATGCATCTGTGCATGTATGCCTGTACATACGTATGTATGCTATATGCATGTATGTATGTACGTACGTATGTATGCATGTGCATGCGTACGCACGTATGTATGTGCGTAGGCATGTATGCATGCATGTATGTCCGTATGTATGTATGCATGTACGTATGTGTAAGTGTGTTTCTGTATGTGTACGTACATGTAACTGTACATGAGTATATTGTATGTCATATCTATTTACCGACGTACGCACATACATATGCGTGCATGTACGTACGAGTAGGTGTCTAAATAATAGTTATATACTGCATATCAGCTGACGTACTACAGCATGTATTCTATGCTAGTGCATATATAGTGCATATGTACATATGCAGATTTCGATGTAGATATAGTTATCATACATCGGAATACTATACATCGTTGATTGACCTCGATCGCCAGGGCCCTTTTTGTCTTCCCTTGCAGCTGCGACCTCCTCTAGCGGGACTTCAGATCGCAGTGCCGTCAGGCTCAGCCTTTTCGCTTGGCCTCTCCGACAAATCCCGTCAGGGGTTGCGGGCTGAAGGATTTCGCAGGTTAAGGCAAGGGTTTAGGGATTTTGGCATGGTGTTCAGACTTAGGCATGGCCACGGAGCCATGAAGCTTGGTGGCCAAGTCCAGACGCACTCGGACAGAACAACAGTGCAAAAACGTCACCACGTAAGCAGTCAGCAAGCCCTGTCTGGGTTACTAGGGTATAGTACTAACAGTATTTAGTAGTGAGCAGTAGTAGTAGTAGTAGTAGTAGTAGTAGTAGTAGTAGTAATAGTAGTAGCAGTAGTAGTAGCAGTAATAGTAGCAGCAGTAGTAGTAGTAGTAGCAGTAGCAGCAGCAGTGGCAGGAGTAGCAGCAGCAGCAACAGCAGCCGTGGTGGCAGGAGTAGAAAAGAAGCAGCGGTAGGAGGAGGACGACGACGAGCAGTAGCCGCAGTAGTGGTAGCGATAGCAGCAGCAGTAGTGGCGGTATGCCTCAGTGGCAGTGCCAGTGCTGGCAGTGGTGGTGGTACTGGTAGTAGTAGTCGTCGTCGTCGTAGTAGTAGCTGTCGTCGTCGTAATGTCGTCGCAGCAGCAGCAGTGGCAGTAGGCAGTAGCAGCAGCAGTAGCAGTCGTCGTCGTAGTAGTAGTAGTAGCAGCAGCAGCTGTAGTCGCAGTGGCGATGGCCGTGGTAGTGCTAGTGATATGGCTGTGGCTGTTGCAGTAGTCATGGTGATGGTATTGGTGATGGTAGTGGTAGTGGTCGTGGTGGTCGTCGTTGTAGTTGCTGCTGTTGCTGGCGTGCTAGTACGAGCAGGAGAAGGAGTGAGAGTAGTACTACCAGTGTCGGCTGTGGTAGTAGTCGTGCCAGTGTCGGCTGTGGTGGTGATGGTGCAGTACCGTATTCGTCGTGGTTGTGGTCAACGTAGCAGCTCTGTAAAGCAGCAGCAAGATCAGCCAAACTGGCGAGTCGTGGTGGCAGACCTACTCGGAGAAAAGAACTGGAATCACAGGCAATGGCAGCCTGGAGTCCTTCCCCATAGCCAAACTAAACATCGTAAGGTCTAACGTCTATCCTTCTAAGCGCGGAAACCCTGAAGTCCATTCCCCGAATAAGCTCCCTAGCGACGCACACTGCATGAGCCTGCTCGTTCTCTTGCATCATGGCGTCCTACACGGGCGTTAGGTTAGAGTCACTAGCTCCGACGGGCCGTGATATCAGGAAATAGAGGGGCCTTAATAATTAGAATGGGGTTTCGGGGCCCATTAGACTGGAACTTTAATAAGGAACCCCCCAAAATGGTAGAGGTAACTATTTAGGCCCCTATAGTATGAAAGGGTTTGGCTGCAAGCTCCGGAAAATAAGACAGGAATTCGCCAGCGTACCGCGAAGGCTTCAGAAGATCCGTTCATAAAGAGAGCTTGGGTGTTGGGTTTAGGGCCCATAATAGAAAAGCTTAGGAATTATTCGTTGGCTTTGTGTTCGGTGGTTGTAGTGTAGTTTTCACAATAGTTGTACTGTCACAGGGCAGTCCAACTTCCGGATTTAAGAACGATCGAAATTTCATGAGGAGCCTCAGCTGGTACCGGGGGTAGGGGACTGTGAATCCTTAATTTAGCCTGACTATTGAATCCTTATCAGGGGCATTAAGGCCAACTAACCCCTCCCCTGAGGGTCCTTATGAAAGCTTCACTCGCGGCATGGACAAGGTGTGTCGCAACGGAAGGTCGGTGCCCGACCGGTTTCTTGTTGGGCTTAATGCTTCAAGGCTCAATTGCAATCTTGAAGGCCGCTGCCCAACAAAGGAACAGCCCGCCGAACCTGCTCGGAGATGTGGTGGAGCACTGCCCTCTTGCTCGACTCCTGCAGTTCGTGGTGCTGCCATCTGGACCATTGAAGACCGCTGTTGCTACTGAACACTCAACGGTATGAATAACGCCGGCCCTATCTGCTCTCCACACCTATCCGGAATCTGCTCATGGAAAGCCCCTGCTTCACCTGAAGCTCTCCGCTGATCAGGATCTCGTCCAGAATATAGTACGCCTGCCCATGCGGCGGCCAACGAGTACCGAGGATCTCTAGGGACTCTATATAGGGACTCTGGGTCCTATGGCAAGCCGGTGAAATTATGTCAATACGGGGGCCTTCATGATAAGAACACGGATTGGTGCAGTATGGTTTGGATTTGTGGGGACTACAAGGGGTACTGTTACCAATTGTTCCGACCCCTATATCACTGTCAAGGAAAGATGGAAGAACTCGCTATTTGCCAAAAATGTGACCAGTTAGTAGCAGTGGGAACGACGCAAAAACAAATGAGATGATCCCAGCTAATGCTGCTGATGTCGTTGCCATCGCTGCCGTCATGTCAGCACAAGCAGCAACATAGTGATCGTCATCAAAAAGCATCATCAACATAATCATCAACATCGTCAAAATCATCACCATCCTAGTCATCATTGTCATCATCACCACCGTGCTCTTATTCCTGTTCATCTTCACATTCACCAACATCGCTGCTGTCTTCATACTACGAAACGCGACCATTGTTCTCACAACCATCACCATAAACTTCAGCATCACCGTCCTCGTCATTGTCAAAGTGGTCGCCGTCATCAACATCATCATCACCAGCATCGATACAATGCCGGCAACAGGATCAGCACAATTAGTGGCACCACCGCGACCTCGAGCATCAGGTCGCCAGTGTCACCATGACCATGTACGTCTTCATCGGCACACATTGACAATTACAAGCATCGAAACGATAATAATCTTCGCATTCAACAACGGCATTACCATCTTCATCGTCTTCATCACCACCATGACCCAAATTGCTATCTGTCATCGCCAACAGAACTGTCGTCGCGGGCATCATGTCTCCATCTTCCTAAAGGCTTCTCCACGAACATCGCCGACAGCACACGCACCGCCATGAGCCACAGCAGCAGCAGCAACAGCAGCAGCAACAACAACGACCACCCCCACAGCCTTACGTAGTACGCATTACGAGTACGTAGTAGCAGTGGTAGAGGTGGTACTAGCAGCAGTCGTAGCAGCAGCAGTCGTAGCAGTAGCAGTACCAGTCGTACTCGCAGTAGTCGTAGTCGTAGTCGTGGTAGTAGTCGTGGTGGTAGTAGTAGTAGTAGTAGTAGTAGTAGTAGTAGTAGTAGTAGTAGTAGTAGTAGTAGGCACCCCCCCCCCCTACCAACTACACTTGCTCTCAACCACGTTAAGACAACATCCATTTTACTCGGTATTTACGGCACTTTCGTCATGTGCGATCATCCTAAGAGGCCTAAAAATCGACTTGTCGAGTTTGCAAACTCAGGCTCTTGATTTTGGACTTGCTTCTGGGGGTGGGTGGGGGGGTGGGGGGGGATGATGATGACGACAGTGTTACGCGAACACACCCAGCAGTATCACCACAAGAGCCATTTAACTCGGTATTTACGGCACTTTCGTGATGTCAGACTTTGTTACATATTCTGAGCCTCGACTTCTCGACTATGCGTATTAAACTTTGCTGTTTGGAACTGTTTGCAAAAAAACTCGAAATTGGGTGGGGGAAAGCTTCTTCGGGGATGATCACGACACTGTTTTGCGGACACCCTGAACAATATTTCCACACTCAAGCGCGCACACGCCACACACACCACGTCAAAAACATACCCTCCTACGCAGAGGTTGGGCGGTAGGGGTGTTGGCGAGCCCCTCCCACGTACAGCTAGCATCTTTGTTTTTGGTGTTTAGAAGATGTTGCGCTTCAGGTTTCGGAAACGTTAAACCCTTGTTGGCAGCACCTGGGTTTTGCACGGTATTTACAGCGTTTTCGTACTATCCTTCCACCTGGGGTTTATCAGTTTCTTCCCCGTCGAGCTTGCAACTCCAGCTGCTGTCGCAGATTTGGGGCCTGAGCCCCTGCAACTTCACCGGCTGTGACAGTTAAGGAAACTGAGCCTCTGCAACTTCTGCAGCTGTCACAGATAAGGAGCCTGAGCCCGTGCATCTTCTGCAACTATCGCAGTTAAGGCGCCTAGCAGCTACCGCTGCCCAGCCCGGATGGAACAAGTGTAGTTGGGAGGGGGGGGGGTGGCTAGTAGTAGTAGTAGGAGTAGTAGTACTAGTAGTAGTAGTAGTAGTAGTAGTAGTAGTCGTCGTCGTCGTCGTCGTCGTCGTAGTACGTGTAGTATGAGGGGTCGGAGTTGGAGTTGAGCAGGAGCGGGAGTAGGATCAGGAGCAGGATGAGCAGTGACACATGTCGCTATCATGAAATTCATGAAGGTGATGAGTCGATAACAGTTGCAATGACGGGCAATGGCGTGTGTCACCAACTGGCTTGTATAGCTACATTTATGCGTTCACATACAGCAGGCCATGCCGCTACCAACACTTCAAACACCAGTACTGCGACGCCTATCGTTTGTCTCTGCCATGCTGTGAACAGCAGTAGTGGAAGTAGCAGCATGCATGACATCGAAACACCTTAGCACATTGTGCTGACAAGAAAGATCCGTCTCTGTGCGGTACCTGTCTGACGGCCAGACTAGTTCAGAAGCAGGACGGCTGACCGAGGGTATCATGCGGAAAGGAGGCAGAACACGGAACACAGACTCCATTCCGGCAGACAACAAGTTGTTCCAAACATGTATGGCAACGCACGACCGTTTATATCTCCCGCGCCTTGTGAAAGTTGAAGATGAGGTCCAGCTCACAGACATTGCCGAAGTACCGGTCGAGGCACTCTACGAAATGATGGACCTGGACTGGCATGCGCAGGGACTTGCAGGCAACGAGGTAGAAAAACAAGGTGGTGATGGTAGTAGTGGTAGTACTGGCAGTCGCAGCGGCAATAATGGCGGTAGAAGCAGTACTAGTAGCAGTAGTAGTCCTCGTAAGTAGTAGTCGCAGGAGTAGGAGTAGGAGTAGCAGTAGCAGTAGCAGTAGGAGTAGTAGTAGTAGTAGTAGTAGTAGTAGTAGTAGTAGTAGTAGTAGCGGGAGTGGGAGTGGGAGTGGGAGTGGGAGTAGGAGTAGCAGCAGAAGTAGTAACAGTAGTAGTCGCCGTCGTCGTAGTAGTCGTCGTTGCAGTAGCGGTGTGTAGCGGCAGAAGCAGTGGCAGAAGCAGTAGCAGGAGCACTACCAATCGCAGCAGTGGCAGTGGTAGCGGTAGTGGTAGTGGCAGTGGTAGTGGCAGTGGCAGTGGCAGTAGTAGCAGGAGTAGAAGTAGTAGTAGGAGTAGGAGTGGCAGCACTGGCAGTAGTTGCAGTAGTTGTAGAAGAAGTAGTAGGAGTAGTAGTAGTAGTAGTAGTAGTAGTAGTAGTAGTAGTAGTAGTAGCAGCAGCAGTAGTAGCAGCAGCAGTAGCAGCAGCAACTGCAGCAGTAGCAGTAGTAATGGTAAATAGTGGTACTCCTCATTCAACTGCTAGTGACACTCGCTTACGAAAAAGGCATGCTGCTTCCGAGCCGGATTTCTGTCTCATGCTGCTCCTGCACTTATGACAGTGACGACTGCAAAAGCTTGTTGGCCATCTGCAGTATTATGTACAGGCTGCAGTGGCAGCCCTCCGCTAGGGCTCTGCAGCAGCCATATCGCCAAGCTCCCAGCGGTTTCAAGAGCAAGGAGCTCGTTGTCTGTGTTCTCCACACACGCAATGAAGAAGAGGCTGGCGCACGGACATGTGGTGGACTTATTGAGTATGTATGGCATCCAGTTGGTTGTGTTTGTCGCGTTCGTGTGAAGGCGGCGCTTGCTTAAATTCTGGCGAGCCGTAATCCTTAAACCTCTAAATGCTAGCCCCCCCGGCCCCCCCCACCCCCACCCTGATCACACAAAACCCCAAGCTCCGACCTGGCGTAGCGCTTGTAGCATAGCTTGTAGTCCCGCCACTCCAAGAAGTTGCAGACCTCAGGCGTTCACAGTGCCGGGGCTTGAGGGGCCAGGGTTGAAACGGTCAGAGCGTGGAGTATCTCCAATGGTCAACCAATGGCAAGCCCCCATCTGCCGTGAATCCTCAGGCACCCCCGTTTTTCCAGCCATCTCGGGCGCCATAGTGAAGGCCTTCTGAGCTTGGGGCCTTTGGAGATCTGTTCAGAATTAGACTGCTCACCTGGCGCGAGAAAAAGGCCAGTCAGCACAGGACTCGCTGGGACCCAAGTGGGCAGTCACTGTTCGACCCGCTCCATTAAAACTTCTACATTAGAAGCTGCCCCCACCCTGTAATAGTGACTAAAAGGACTATATTAGGGCTCAATTATATTCTATTGTACCACTATTACAGGGTGGGGGCCTCTTCTAACTTCTACACATCGTCGCCAAACCACCAACTGATCGGAGACAATGGTAGCTCTATAAACAAAGGTCACGCCCAATTTCCGGTACTAGATGAGACCGTCCTTTGTTACTCACGGGACACAAATGCTTCTTACCTCCTAGCAATCAAACACCAAGCTAAACCCTCCCCGGGCCTTGAGAGACATGATATACTATGTATGTGTTAATGAAATATAACTATATATATATATATGTATATCTGTATGTATATACTACGTACACATGTCAAACATTGTCAAACCATACATACAACGCACATACATATGTCCATATTATGTATGCAGATGTGCATTGGGAGACATGGCCATAGAATAAGATATGGACAGGTATGTCAGGTATGTATATAGGTCGTCTCCCCACAGGCCCAACACCATCCAAACCCCTAAGCCGACACCAGAACCCGCCAAGCCCCGTCCAACTCTACCAAACCCTAAACTCCACGCGCGCCTCCTTGATGGTCCTAAACTGATCGCGCTCTGCGCAGGGCACAAACCATTTCTTGAGCCTGGCCGACGTCACTTCTTTGTTGCGGGCCCTGTTCCTTCAGCTGAGTACGCCTCTAGAATTCCTAATTGGAGGAGCCAGAGTTTGGGCCTTGACGGAGTTTTTGGTTTAGGATAAAACAAGAACAATATTGAAGTTCAAAGGTAACGACAAATACGAACTGTGATTATGATTCGTAAGTAAGCCGACACTTCGAACCGAACCGTGCTAAGCATAAAGAACTATCATGATATTGAGAGAGCGGTTCCGGCTTTCGGGTTTATTGCCTTTCGGGCTTGGAAGTTGGGAACACTTGCATGATCCGTCCGTGGCATCTTGTTCTATGGAAAGCTTCCTACAAAAGCCAAGGATGGGATTATGTCGGTATCGCCTTCCAACTCATGACGGACTGCCCGCCACCTAGGTAGTCATGTTACACGAGGCGACGATTTTGCCGCTCAGGCTTGGGTGAGTCAACTGCATGACAAGGCTTAGTTGCAATCTCATGCCGGGCGGGCCGTGTCTTCCCTTGTCGACTGATGAGGAGGATGAACTGGATCATCTGCCAACAGCGGTTAGGCTCACTATGATTTGAAGTTTCCAGTTGCAGCCGCTGCGCCTTGCAGCCTTCCGAGTCGTCCGCTGCCACACAAGACTCGGCTACGGCGTCCCCTACCCTCCTAGACTTCAACCTACTTCTTGAGCTGCTGATGGCTCCGACAAGCACAGGGTCCAGGTCGCAGGATGTCGCAAGTCGGGCGTGGTGTGCAACGTCACATCTCCGCCAGCCATGGTTTCTTTTTTTCTCGCAAGCACGCTGTTGACCTGCTCTTGCGACGGGGCTGATAGCAAACGACAGCCCTGCCTAGCCCTGTACACTGCCCCTGCCGCTGCTTCTGGAAGGAACAAGATTCACGGAAGCCCTGCACCGCAAGGCTCAGCGCCTTCTCAGCGCCTCAGCGCATGCTCGCAGCCAGTGGGTTGCCTGTCCCGAGACGATAACTGCTGCTGGATCCACCCGAGTCTCGATACTCAACACGGAGTACATCTGGCAAGGATGAACGTTTGGCAGTCCAGTTTCAAGGATGATTCGACGAAGACAGGTAACAGCTATAGCTATGATGAAATGTATCCAATTACCACGAGCACCGGTCAGACAGTTGATGCCGACAAAAGCAGGCATGACAGAAACGTTTTCTAAGAAGCATCATGTGAAGGCTGCCACTAATGACTGGAGGGCTACCATACATAAAAACATGCATGCATGCATACATACATACATACATGGATGTGTGTATGTATGTCTACTATACTATACTATACTTTTCCTTTTTGCTATACTATACTATACTATACTATATAATATACACATATAATAAACACAATATGTGTGTGTGTGTGTTTGAACAGATCAATATCTGCATATCTGCCTGCGCCTGTTACAGCTGTCTTCGTGTCCTGCGTGGCGTATCTTGCTTGTGCAAAGCGGTCTGTGGTTGTGGGATTTGGGATCTGAGCAGAGTGCTTGAGCGCTTGAGTTTAGGAGGGAATCTCAAGCCTTTGGGACTTGGGCGCGTTCTGAATCTGAAGATATCTAGGCAGCAGCTGTGGCCTCGAGATTCGAGAAGCGAGCCGAAAATCGCTGGGTGGACTTAGCCTGCTGCTTCACGGAGCGAAACTATGCCCATGGAGCTCAGCTGTACGTGCTTGCCGCGGACCACCTGAGCGGCAATCACAGGTCGTGTCTCAGCTGCTGACGATCTACCTGACGAACAAAGCCCTTGCTTGCAAGCAGGACCGTCATCTCATCTGCTCGAACCCAACCCTGAATCACTGAATCGGATCTCTCCGGAGGCCCGGAAGTTGAAGCCATGATGCACGACCCACTCGCCTGCTTTGCTGTGTCCTTGGCCTCTACCGCTTTCGTCTTGGCGGTGTCAACCGCTTTCGCCTCAGATCATGGGGGGCCTGATCTCCTTTGAAACGGAGGATGATGAGGATGACGAAAAGGATTGACGATGACGATGATGATGACGATGATGACACTGATGATGATGATGATGATGGTGATGATGATGATGATAGTGGTGGCCGTGGTGACAGTGGTGGTGGCGGTAGTGATGGTGAAGATGTTGATGACGATGATGATGATGAAGATGATGATGATGATGTTGATGATGATGGTGATGATGATGAATCTAAGGTTGTGTTTTCCCGAAAACGTCGGCAAGGGGGCTCTGTGTTGGAGGTGCACCGGTACACATCATAGGCTCTTTGGATTGACCTACTCCAAGAATGTGCTATTCTCACATTCACGATGACTACGGCCACGGTTGCTGCTGCTGATACTGTCGTGGCCAGTGATCCTGCTGCGTTCGTTTCTGTGCTTACGACCCTGCAAGTAAGCCAGCCCGACCCACCCAACGATATTCTGTAGATATGCTCTCAGCTCTCAGGCCTGGGCAGCATTCAGGAGCTTAGGTCACTCATAGTCGGACTTCTTGGATCCATGTCCTCTTGGGGCTGGTGGCTACAACGTCGCATCACTGAGATCAGAACAGGATGCTGGATTGCTTGATGGGGTTGCAGTGCGAGGAGGGATGCTCTTGGGCGACAAGGGGTACGAGTGAAGGGAGTTACTGTGAACGATTTTAGATCCCAGGGACGAGGTGTCCAGGGTCTCGGTCTTGGGGGTGCCTTTGAAGCGTTTTCAGCACCATGCTGATGTTCTGGGTGCAAACTCTAGGTGCAAGTTTGGGGTCACACGAGATTAGGGACGCCCCTGGACTCAACTCAGATCCTGGTCCCAGAACCGCCCTCAGGCTCTCACATGCCAAGCGACACTGTGTGTGCTTCTTCTCTGCAGCAGCCTTCGCCAGGCTAGGTGTTGAGGGCCCTTGAGTTTTCTCAGTTTCAGGCAATTTCGGGATCAGGTATTTCGGGCACCGGGTTTGGGGGGCTATAGATGCAGCACACGTGCCAACTTCATAGGCAGCATCCTACAGCAGCACAGAGCAGGTTCGCTGTTCTCACGAGAGAGCGCAGTATGGAAGCACAACCGTGCCACATGCAAGGTAACACAAAGCCCGTCTGTGGCTGCTGGACAAGCTTGGGCGCTATCAGCGGTTCAATGCAAGAATCACGTAGAAAGCCAGGCGATGCGGCCCTCCAAGTTTGGCGCCGTGGAAGGTGCACTCGCTCGGCTCAGTGAGACCCAATTTCTGTATGGTCGAATGAGAGTCTTCGATGGCCATGCATTGGCCCTTGCCAGCAGCAGGCGACCCCTGTGGCCATTCCAGCCCAAAGAAGTCCTTGCCCTGTGCTTTCGCGAACTCACGGCACTCATCTGGGGTTTTCCAACCGCCTGTGTGCCCGCTCATCCGGTTAGGACCTAGATCGTTCTTCAAGCAGCCTCCGAAGACGTGTTTCGGTATAAATTCTTCATCCGTGGAGATCATCTCTTGCTTCGGCCCTTCCTCGCGTCTGACCATGGACCCTCCTCCGGAACTGCCATGCTCCACGTCTGCGGTCTGGCCGCGAGCTGGGACACTGGAAGCCTCACCGGCAGCAGACACGTGCACCGTAGTTCCGGCGCAAACAAGGAATGTCGATGCCAGGACCACCATCGAAAAGGGAAGCTGCTGCATCACGAGCAATGTGCGGGACGTCTATAAACTTGTTGGACAACGGATGCGCTCGGGGCGAGAATGCTCTGAGCCACACGGCGATCAAGCTCAGCAACAAGCAAACAAACGAAGCTAGCTCGCCACAAGCTTCAACTAGTAACTGGACTGCAACATGCCATACCACTCTGCCAGCAACAAGCACGGCGAGCATGGTAGATCTAAGACTTCTGAAAATCAACAGACCACAGCGCAGGCCTGAAGGTTGTCACTGGGACATCTGCGGACCGATTCTATGCCTGTCAAGTTGAAAACCGGATGCTCAGGACGTTGACAGGGATGCAGGATCAACGTGCTGGGGCGTCAGGGCTTGTTAGCGGCTTGTTGGACAACGGATGCGCTCGGGTGAGAATGCTCTGGGTGGCACGCAATGCATAAGGGCACGCTGCCCCAACATGTCTCAAGCTTGGAGGCACGGGCCTGCAGCTGCGTAACTCTACACGCAATACCAGAAGCCCCAAGCCCGTCGACTTGCAAACACTTCACTCCAACTGCGTCCGCGGCGCGAAGCTGCTCTCCAGGCATGCCAGGAACCGCAAAAGCATCACAGCCTCGAGCGGTTTCAATCACGAGCGTTAAGCTTCTGGGGTGGGTTTTTTTGTGAAGAGGCTCATCCTCCCGCTTCGGCGTCTCCACTGCTGTCCCCGTTCTGGTCATTGGCCAACCGTTCCTCTACAAGTAACAAGTGCCATCACCATCACTACTCAAGTTGTGACTGACATCATCGTCGTGATCATCGGCAACGCCATCGTCATCGTCGTCATCACCATATCTTTTTCTGCATCATCACTTACACCATCATCATCAACAACAACAACGCAAGCAGCGTCATCATCAGCATCACGGTCATCCGCATCATCGTTATCATCAGCGGCAGCAAAGTTGTAACCACACCCCTTGTGATCGTCATGACAATGTTCTCCGTTCATCTTCACCACCCTCAAAACCTGTACAAAACTCATCATCGCCATCGGCACTACCCAAAGTAGCGCAAGAAACACTGCAAGCATCAGACTCATCGCCGTAAGCATGCAGTGCTTCTTCAGCTGCCAACTCTGAGTTTGCCGTCTCCAACGGCAAAAAACGACGACCACAACGACGACAACAACAACCACCACCACCACCACCACCACCACCACGAGCTCGAGCACTAGCACTGGATCTAGCAATCTAGCACCAGCAGTAGCACTAGCACTTCCACTACCACAACAACCAAGACCGCGACAACAACAACATCATCATCAAAATCATTCATGTCATCAGCATCATCATCATCAGCAGCAGCAGCAGCATCATTATCAGCATCATCGTCGTCACCATCGTCATCAGTACCGTCGCTATCATGGGATAACCAGCATCAGCACTATCGGCAGCATGACCAACACAACCAGCACCAACCGTGTTGGTCTTCACCTTCATATCACCGCCAACATCACCATCATCACCCCAGCTTACATCAACTGCGCAGCTTCAACACCTGATCATCATTGAATCATCTCCGTCGCCAATACCATTATCAGCATCATGAGCAGCAGCATCGTCATCGTCGATATCATTGTCATCATCATGACCACCGTGAAAGCAGGAGCATACCTGTTGCTGGTATCAGTGGCTTGCAAAAGAAGCTGGTTGACTGATTGATACCTGGTACAAGCTGTGACAGACCAACTCGCGGATCGAAATGCTCTAGGATTTCGGAGCTGCCCCCCCCCCCTCTCCCCATACAGACCTTCCCATGCAACCGACACTCTTGTACCAGATTTTGCCTGCGAATGCAAGAACCGAGCTCCCCTCCTCGGCCCCCCACCCTACCATACCCAACCATCACGGACCTGGGATCTTGAATCCGCAAGGCGGCGCTTTGCGTTCGCCATGGAAAGCATTTTCCAAGACGAACTCCCATATGGGTGGCTGTCAAAATTAGGATCCCTTTTTGGGTACCCTAAATCATAGGTGCCGTACTATGATAGGGACCCAAAAAGGGACCATAATTTCGACAACCACCCATATATCTAGGTTGCAGCTGCTTGCCCCCCCTGCTTGGATGCGCCACGGACTTGGTCATTCCACTCAGTCGCGTTAATTTAAACTTCAACTGGGCTGCAACGGCTACAACATGCCATCCCATACTGCGCGCAACCAGCACGGTGCCAACGGTACATCCAAGCCTTTCGAGACTTCGACCGACCGCAACACTGCATAAGTTCCACCTGTCAGGCTCGAAGCCGGACAAGGTCGCTCAAGAGATTGACTCTACCGGTTGCTCCTCTAGTCTTGGCGGAGTCAATTGTGACAAACTTCCTGGGTGGCCTTGAGAAAGTCGGATGCCTCAAGCTGTCGAAAGATGGGAGCTGCCTCACCTGGCCCCTTTTGCTCCAAACTCCTCATGGCCTCCGTGAATCCCAGGAGGCAGCTGGAGTTTGTGGCAAAATCGCCCATGAAAGAATCCCCGGACTCGAACTTCACTTCGCAGTTGGAGGTTGGCCTTTCCAGGATGACATCGGCCACTTCGATGATTCGCCAGGTGCTGTTTGTCTTCAGGAACTCTGAGAGCAGACAAGCCTTCGCATCACTTGGGCCCGGGTCGCGGAAGGGGCCGACATGAGCCCAAAACACGGCAAGAACATCCCCGGGTTGGACTGGCGCCACGATGATCTCGTTGAAAGCCGTGAGGGCAAAACCCACCCTGGATGCATTTCGGAGCCATGCCTGTGCCGTGGTGGCGCGGGGAAGCTTGGCAGTAAGCTGCCACAAAGCTTTTTGCGCCGCCAGGGCCTCTGAGACAGTGCTGAAATGGCAAGTTGCCGAATTCAGGTCCCACCAGCTCGAATCCAAGAGATCAATCTTGTGCTGAGGCGTGTTGAAATATGCCTGGGCATAGTCTTGTGGTGAGGCAAAGCTACAAGCACCGCTCATGCTGATCGCTTTGCGTCCCGCCCCTGCTGCGGAGGTAGTTCGTCCACAACTGTTCCTCTTGCCTTGCGCATCCTGCCGAAAGTTAGAATTGCTGTTGACAGGGTAGGCACACTCCACTTCCATCTTTGGCTGCAAAACCAAGCCGGTGACCTCTGTCTCCTTCCGCACGGCGTACAGGGCTGGTGGCAAGTCCCATCTGAGCGCAGAAGCTGACTCGGGCCACGGACCCCAGGTTGCGAAATCATCGGTCGCTCGGACGAGGAGGCCACGTTCGCTTTTGAAAGCACCAAGCAGGTCATCCAATACCGCAGTTCCTTGCGACAAGCCCTGTCGCATTTGCAGAGCGTTCAGAGCACAGGTGCTGTTGGCGCACTCATCGTCCAACGTGCTTACATCCTGGGCTGCAATCAAGCACAGCCATGAGAGACCCATCACAGGGCGCATTGCACGCACCTTGCTGAGCTTTGGCAGCAAGTCGACACATCTGGAACTGTCTGGAACTATGCTATCCGGACTTCAGGCTCTGTGCTTCCTGGCATTACGGCCTAGCGCGGTATACAGTTTGTCCTACTATCCTGATGTACTGGCTCACGCAAAAGAGTCTCTTTGATCACACTTCCCCTACGGGCGAACCCTTGATGATCCCAGGCGCAGCCCACTTGAGCCCGCCGAAGCAACGGGAGGTCGGAGGACCCGGAGCCAGACCTCTAGTGATGACAAGCAGCGAGGTCTAATCTACTGACAGTATCATGATATCGATGCTGAGAATGAGTAGTATGCAGCCAATCAGCATCATAAAGGAAGCATTACGAAGTTTCACTCTTGCAGGTGTAATCATAAAATCAGAAAGATGCTAGAGATGGGACCTTCCGGCGAACAATGGGGGAGCTGCATCGAGAGTTGGGACAAGTACAAGAACAGAGGCTCCCTTCCTTAATTTGATTGGGGGCGGCTCCTCGGTGCGGAACTATCCTACTCCAATCATGACGCTGTGGCTGTGTCCTTCTCTTTCAACTTGCGAGGACTATACCGCTTTAGAGGTCAAGGCTGGCGGACAAGCACAGCTAAACCCTAGCCCTAAACCCTATAAACCGGAAAACCCGGAACCCTAAACCGTATTGAGGTGTCCCGTCGCAGCCTTCCACGTCGCTCAGCGAGACGCACGGCTCGGCTACCGCATCCTTGCGCTCCTATAGATGTCAACCTATATGCTTGAGCCGTCTGGCTGCGTGTTCGACAAAAAGCCCTTTCAGGTCATGCTTGACTGATACAACGCACTGAATCCACATCTTCGAAACTTCGACATCCATCTTTTCATCGCACAAAGGCGCTCCGAATTGACTCAGCACGCTGCTGACCCATCCTCGCGGCGGAAGTGGTTGCAACTGACGGCGGCGACAGACAGATACCCTGAAACTCCAATTGATCCCGAGTGCAACACCTCAAGGACCCAACATGCTTGGCTCTGAATTCTGACGCCTGCCTCTGCACAGCATAGCGCGTCGTACGCACGCGGCCACAGTGGGCGTCTGCTGCGGTAAAACGAGGAGGAGGGGCTGGACCTGAGACGTCGAAGGCAGATAGATGCCGGTTGATCCAGCCTCGTACTCAGCTCGTAGATCTTCTGAACCAACAAACGGCATTACCGGTGGTTAAGAGTGGTTGAGGAACATTGTGCTGATGAGAGTAGGGATACTCACATGACACAATAGAAACAAAACTAGCAAGGGAAATGCAGCAAAGTAGCATTGGCAATTGAAGCCCTTACAGCGATTTTATACCATGACTACTAGAGGTCCCTAATGGTTATGAATGATGGAAAAGTGCTGATACAGAGATGAATAACAAAACGCAAAGGAGCAAGAACTGAATAAAGATAACAAATAAACCATGACCTCGATGAGGCCTTCCAGGCACCGTCGGTGAGGGCTCACATGGAGAACTCGTCGCTTTCCAGCTCCTCCCACCTCTCGTTCACGCCTGGCGGCCAACGCAGATGCAAAGCACGATTTCCCTCAATCCATCAATGGATAGGGTCACAACCATCCTGTAAACGAATAGTACTCCTTCTCCAGAACCTCACATCATCGCGTCTCGAGATTCTCATGTCTTCCCCTCTTCCAGCCGATCATGTCCCAACAACTCTCGCAAAATCTGCTTTTTATCTGCCCCCTGGAAGAAACTGAGGAGGAACCAACTGATGCTCGGAAGAGCCGTGTAAACATCAGCCTGTCTTCTTCATGGAGGACTGGAACATGATGGTCTTCTCATCATCCTGGCTTTTGGAAAACCCGCAACTTCTGTTGAATGTTTCGTAGCAAGTTCAATGCACTGAGCCTCCTCCACTTCTTCCATCATGGCCGCTTGGGCCCTCGGGCAGGGGCAACCATCATTGGCCGCAAAGACGGGTAGAATCAAGGCACGCAGGCGGACATGCTTGGAGGTGGTAGGAAACGCGGCCGCCGTTCTGCAGGGCTTTCCCCGTTTCCCAGAGTCCAGTGTGTCTTCGCCTCGCGAATCGTCTCCCGCCACAGTGCCGCGTGTATTCTCTAGTGCGACTTGTGCCACACTATCCCAAGTCATGCTCCTGCCATTTCCGGTCGTGCTCTCGCCACAGTGTTCGCAAGTAGGGCCAATGTTGGTCTTGGGACTGTGAGGAGGAGCAACCCCGAAAGGTTCGCGGGCCTGCATACAAGTAGCTTGGACTTGGGCTCCAGGCTGCTGTAACGATTGGTACGATAACGACCCTCATCCTGATATGGATTACCGACAAAGGCGAACGACGATGATGGTGGTGATGATGAGGAGGAGATGGCGAGGCGTGCGTACCTTCACCGTTGCGAGTCGTGCGTGCGTGTGTCAGGATGGTATTTCCGAGGGTCCAGCTGCCTACCCGTCCTCCGTGGACGCGTCACGGGCTTGGTCATCCCAACCCTGAGTCAAAGCGGTCTTTGGATTCGGGTCGGGACTTCAGGGCGAGTTCTAAGTGAAGGCCTGAGGGTCTGTGCCTGAAGATCTCGGGCCTCGACAACTGATACTGCCATAGCATGCTTGAAAGATATCACGCACCATATAGTACCGATGTATTATATCACATAACATCATGTAATGAAAACTGAGACGGTTTGAGACAAACTAAAAACATGCAAAGACAGATAATGCAAACTAAAGACATATGATATGGTGTACTAAAAATACAAACACTATAGTAGAGTATAGCATCATAACAGAATTCAATGTAGCACCATATTATATGTCAAACAGTATTGATATGATACTATATTATATTATAATTTAATATAGTATCATATCAATACTGTTTGACATAATACCAGAGAATATAGTATCACATCATGCCACACCATAGCATCTACATCTCATATAATTTCTTAAGGTAATGAATAGAGGGGTCGCGCTTAGGCGGGGAGCTCAGGACGATGCTCAATTCCAAGAGCCCGAAACCTCCACAGAACCTCGAGAGCGCTGGTGTTCTCAGGGCGCCGCTGCATGAAGGATGTCTCTTCTTCTTGAACGTCATCCCCCATGTCGTCCATGAACATGGCACCTTATCGACATCTTTAGGGTTCAGGGTTTAGGGTTCCCCGTGAACCCAAGCGATTGCAGAACCGCAGGCAGCAAAATTGCGGCTGACACACGCCCCTTGCCAGTTGCATGCAGAGATACCCTCGACCCTTCAGATGCACAGAGCCTGTGAACCGCAGCAACTGAATAAAGAGCGGGCAACAACTTTCCCATCTCGAACCCCGCAGCCTGAAGCCTGATCCCTATCTCTAATAATAATAATAACAATAACAATAACAATAACAATACTAATACTAACAATAACAATAATAATTATTATTATTATTATTCTCCCTCTGTGCCTCCCAAAATGTTCTGCGAAAGAAGCGCCAACAGGAAAAGGAATGCCTGCGTGAGCAGCAGAAATTCTGGCTTGAGGCTTCTCGGCCTTTGGGGTGCACCCGGTTTAGGGTTTAGGGTTTAGGGTTTGGGGTTTAGGGTTTAGGGTTTAGGGTTTAGGGTTTGGGGTTTAGGGTTTAGGGTTTAGGGTTTGGGGTTTAGGGTTTGGGGCCTCGTTCCCAAACACTGCTTCCCTCGTTTGCGGGGGCAGGGTGCTCTCAAACATTGGTGGGAAGAGGGCGGCTATGAAGAAGACGGGGCTATGGGTGCTGTTGCAGATATCATCATGCCACGTCAGAGCATTCCAGTTCTGGGCCGGCCGATGCTAGACTATCTGCTACACGTAGAGAGCACGGCTGTACCGTGCAGGGAACAATGCCAGAAAGTGCCTTCCTGCGCTGTTTCTGCCCCACGCCTACCAGCACAAGGGCCTTAAAAGAGGCTCTCCCCCCTGTGCGTCTTTATGCTGAGGTTTTGATGCTCCGGGTGCGTTTATGTGCACCCCTGAGCCCTCAACTGCCTTGTGCATCATGGCCGCAATCTGTGACGGAGACTTTTGGCCTGGAACAGGAGGCCAAGCCAGCGGTCTAACTCTGTTCTCCAAGCGAGTAGGCTTCAGAGTTTAAACTCCTGGAGCTTTGGATTCAGACTGGGCTTTCTCGAGGTACCTAGCTCCGTCAGGCAGGGACTGGCATGGAACTGCCGTAGACCGCTGCTAGTAAGTCCGCCGAGTGATGTGATGACTTTCTATACATGCCTGCACTTGGTTTCTATGGCTTATACGGCCATTCAAAGGTCAAACATTGGTGTATCGACCTCTGTGTACGATCTGGATGTGTATTGAATGTGCATGGCTGGCTATCTTCCTTCTAGGTATATCTTCGTATAGTACCCTGATGGTACCCCCTACAGTACCCCGTTACAGCAAGGAAAGGGACGCTGTGCGGCTCCTGTTTTTCCACGCACAAGGTTTTGCGATGATTTGCGGAGTCTGGCTTAAGGTTCCGTTTGGAATGATTGCAGATTTTGCTCGCAGGAAGAACGGTGTAATGTGTCAACACAAAATATGTAACTACATGTCCTTGTGCAATATGATGCAGGACAAAGCAACATCAAACTTTCAAAGTGTGAGTTGTAGTACACCCTTATACTGTGGGGTCGAGGGGCCCGAGGATCCAGACACTGAGGCACCGGCTAAGGTAAGAATGGATGCAGTGCAGGGTTCTTTCTCTGACTAACTGCGAAGGAGGTTAAGGACTTCCTCCTCTTGGGCCAAAAAACACAGTCGCGAGCACGCCATGTGTTAGAACAGTGACAAGCGATCAGCGTTGTCAGCTAGAGATGAAGAAGGCAATCCGAAGAAAACGCGTAGCTGCATAACTTCTGGGGTGTGAGGACAGAGTAGGTTCGGAGTTCAGGGTCGCAAACTTTGGAACGCCGTTTTGGAGCAGCCGCAATCCCGCCAGCAGGTCTGCTTCTCGGATTTCTGTTATTTAGAATTTTTCAGCAGCAGTTTTAGTCTTTCGGGCTTGGGTCTAAGGGACATGATCCGGTGTTATGATGCTGCCACCCGACGGTTCACCAGGAATCGACCAACAGGGCCCTGAAAGGGCTAAGCTTCAGTATGAGAGAAGCGATTTGCGTGCTGAGGGTCGAAGCTTCAGACTTTCTTCCGGTAAAGGGTTTAGGGGTTTTTGGAGGTTTAGGGTTTATGGTCTAGGGTCGCGTGCTTCAAGGTCACTTGCCAGCCTCCAGCCCCAGCGCGCGGCATATGTACATGGGGTTCTGCGACGTGGAAACCCTTGAGTGAGAGCCCTTGCTTCCCGAGAGTTCGATAGCGCACCAGCAGCAGCCTGAGTCTGAAGAACCCCACATGCCGGATATACCGGCAATACCTAATGCACATCTATGCCTGCAGTGAGCAATACTTACTTACAGCTCCAGAGCCCAGAGCACGCCTCACTTGGAGATGTATGTGCTTGGGTTCACTCCCACCAACATCTCGACATCCTGGAGCTGAAGCCAAAAGACGCTTTGCTTGTTCGATGACGCAAAATGCACGACCTCTCGACTATCACAAGCCTTGTCGGACTGCGTGTCCGCAGAGACTCCGCCACCACCAAGTGTGTCGTACCTGGCAATGCCGCACGCACCAAGACACTGCACCAACATCTGGACAAAGTGCAAAGGCTGCCAGATGTAGTTGATCAAATCCTCGCCCGACAGTCCTGCCCGATGCGGCAAGACGCTGATCAGCGACGACGGTACAGAGACTGCAGGAGTGTCCTAGCTCCCCATGAATCTTGCCATAGGCGGTCAGCTCCGCCTCCACATAAGCCTGCGGCGGCGGTTCCGAAGGTCGGGGTGGCAATGGTCCTTCTGCCGTCCTCTATTGTCACCGAAGCCCGATTACACATGCATGATGCCCCGGCTGCACTGCACCTTCCTGAGATGATAGGAAACTTTACTGTTGGTGGCTGCTTCGGAGAAATGCAATCGTAAGCTGCCAAAGCCTCTGCACTGTGAGCATCGCATATGTGTGACTAGAACACTGTCCCGTTATGCACCCGCGGGAAAGATCATGTCCCTTCACAACTTACAAGCCCACGTCGCTCATTCTCCTACTCCCAAAACCCCAAACCCCAAATCTAAAGCGTGAGTTGGGCTTCGAATCCCCTCCCCCCAGTCCCAGGCCCCACTACAAGGGGTTACGATGGGGACTACTATAAGGGACGATCATGGGGGCTAGGGTGTCGGGTACAGGATTTAGGGTACCACTTCGCAATTGAGGATGCAGCCTCGATGATCGCAGCATCCGCCCGGCCATTTTGCATGATGCGATGCTGGTCCCCGATCGCCTGTTTCGGGGCTATGGTTGAGATTTTAAGGTTGAGGGTTTTGGGGTTTAGGGTGGTTGAGATCTCAGGGTTCAGGACATGCTATATACTGCCATATACTGCTCGCAAAATGTTTCAAGCGGTTCGCATTACGGCTTAGTGCAATCAGGATAGTCTGTTATAGTCATCGGTGACTGTACCGCGTCACATGAAAGTTTGTTTAAGTTTCCGTGCTGGGTTTCGAGCATGGCTTGACCTAAGCAAAAATAACCCGGAAAATCTGGTGGTGGGCTGTCTCCTGGGCTCTACTCGTAATCAAAGCAACAAGCGGACCTTCGTGAATCTATTGGGCTAGGGCTCGGGCTCATAATCCAGAGTTTAAAGCGCTTACAGCACAGGCCGTCGATGCAGAATAGGTTCGACTGTCTGAGCACGATGCCTTCTGGATGGTGACATTCGCCTGGGCCTGTGTCGATGATCACCATGTTTGGGGAGAGTAGTTGAGTTAACCAGGTTTCAGCATGGCCGAATTTTGATTCCCTGCACGATACATCATGCTTATACACACGTGCGAATGTGTAGGCATGCACACACACACACACACACAGAGACTGATATGGGTCTCGGATATCATCCACGTACATCCAGAAACACATGCCCACGCCCTTGTATACCGTAGTACACGCATGCAGATGCACACAGGCATACAAACAGGTGTGCATGCAACAAACACCCTAACCTCAGGGTATCGTGTAAGATAAGAAGCAACAGCGCAGGGATCGCATGTTCGAAGCTGCTGCAACTTGCTTCAACCAGGCAGCTCTGAATCAAGCCCGCCCCGAACCCCTGCCCCTCGCCTCGGCAATCTGTCTCGCGGTCTGGAACTCTACAATCTTCGCCGCCATGGTCTGCAAGCAGGCCATTTGGCCGCACAAGTCGCTGGCTGCTGCATTCAGAGAAATTTATTTGGTTAGAGCAGGACAGATGTTGAAGTGAAGTTGGGAGATGAGGTTTCTGACTTGCAGTCCATCGATCGATGTGCCTATTCACCCTGCACACAGACAGACATACATGCATGTATGTATGCATGCATGCATGCACACATGCGAGCAAAACTTACATACGCACACATATAGCCATGCCGGCATGTATATATTCACAGATGCATGATAGACTTAGACTGTGGTACATTGCCTCACTCTATGTTGCAATGCTAGATTGCAGTCTGTACATACGAATACAACATGCTATTGTCATGATAAGACATGGTGGAAAACAAACAAGACTATTGTATCGTCCGGTATTAACACATCTGTGTTACGGGGCCTGAAACTATTCTTTACTGTATTTTACTATACTATAATGCACCGTACTATACTGTACAGAACACGAGGCTTCACTGTTACTATACTGTGCGACAGTTTCTTACACTTTGTTATACTCGTTCATACTGCTCCATCCCAGTCTGTTCTATTCCGTAGCATATTCGAGGCACTACATCACATCACACTACATTGCTTTATACGGTATATGTATATCTACGGAATCATCTTACATGTGCTGTTCTGCTTGTAACTGGTACGTCATACCATGAAGCTACAGGCCAAAGCTCGAAACCCGAGCCACGGCCTTGGACATCCTAGTGATGTTCTGCTTGCTCGTGGCAGCCGTCAAGATCGTCGTGGTGAACGCCTTGCGTATATTTCGCAGGGACAAAGTCGAGGCACGATCGCAACTGATCAACAACATGACGATGTTGATGCTCCTTCAAACCTACGAGTGCTACAACTTCAAGGGATTCGGATTCCACACTCTCATCTCAACATCCCACGCACACACAGTTTCAGACAGCTAGCCTCTGTTCCCTTCGGACATCGTCGGCAGGTCGCCAGCATTATTGGTGTGATTGCTGTCCGAATGATACGCAAAGCACAAACCGTTACCATGTCTGCGTGTTCTTTGTCTCCGCCTCAGGGCCTCGTTGTCTCTGAGACGGAGGCTGCATGCAACTCACCTAGCTATGCCAGAAGTCAACAGGACACAAACTCATTTAGGGCAGTTTGGGCTTCAGAGTTATGCCTCCCAACCCCCTGAACATCTTACCCTTCCGCTGAAGTAAACAAGCACTTCAACAGCCTCCGGCAAGTCATCCTCCTGGATCTGCAAGGACTCCACCGTCGCAAAGAGGTGCTGTCAGAGGTTGCGGGCTATTGTTCGGCTTCAACTCAGGCCAAGGGTTCATGGTGCACGGCTTTGAGGCGCAGGGTTCGGCTGGCTTCAGGAACGAGCGCGTCCAGGGAATGCAAGGGGCACAAGCACGTGATAAGAGTTTGGAAACGCAGTGCAGTGCGTGGGTCCACCGGAATTAGAACAAGCGTGCACCGGAACTCAAAACAAACGTGCACTACAAACTGGCGGCAACGTGTTGAGGATCACCAAGCTTGAGAACCTAGCACATAGGGCTGAGCATAGAGGACGCCAACAACCAACACTTACCAACACACCGAAAGTATGCCCATCAGTCCTCATGAGTGCATGTCCTTCTTCGAAACCAATTTCACGCTACAGCACCGTCCTCCATACAATTCACCCAAGCACGTGACCAAGTATATAATCACACTCTAAGACGTGCACTGTGCATATACGCTAGCACAGAGAAATACTGCATGTGCATTGGTATGCATGCATACATACATGCGTGCATGCATGCATGTATGTTTGTATGTATTACAGATATTGAGCACGTACAAGTATCACTCTATATGCATAACTGCTGTTGGATTGGCCTTCTTCGCATGGCTGCTGATAACATTCTGACAACCATCACAAATCCTGTCTTGTACCACTTGTCCACAGCGTGATGCCAGCGAGAATCGTAACACAATCACCTCTTTCAAAAATCAGTCTGTATGTCCCCGTGGACAAAGTTGTATACGTATGATTGCAAGGCCCAAGCCTTGGAGAAGTACTCGTTCAGGTGCAGTCTCATATCCTTGTCACCAACGCCAGCTAGGACAACAACTTAGAAGCTGCGAGGTGAACACAAGGAAGATGAACGAGAATTATCACACTTCCGTAGACGGGAATGACGAAGAAGAACAATAACGACATGTTTGATCACCATGTGATGAGTTGGGGGCCTTGAGCAAGCTTGGGAACCGTAAGGATACTAGCGGCGCGGATCAAAGTGAGAGCGATGCTAGGAGGTCACCAAGCGGGACCCTGATAATATGCATTTAGGGTTTAAGTCCACTTTGGACTTATGACAGCTTGGTATTGGAGAGTAGAACCCAAACCCGAACCCAACTTTCGCAGGGAGTCGCGCTTTAAAGGCCCTCTGCCGAGAGCGAGTCTTGCATGCATCGCTAGCAACAGCGACGCCATCTAGACATCAGGATTCAGTAGCTTGCCTTTGCTTGCATATGCACGTACATACGAAATCATACGAACAGGAGGAGGAGGAGGAGGAGGCGGAGGAGGAGTCGGTACGAAGCAGCAATCGCAGCAGCTAAGTCCGTGGCCTCTGCAATTTTCTGCTTCTCATTGAAGAATTGGTACGCTGTAAACCTCTATGTGATATGATGACCAGAGACATCGACGCTCTAGCCGGATACACACTCACAGCCCATCACGGCAAGTCAGCCAACATGAGGTGACAAATGTGACAACCGGCTCTTGCTTCTGACAAAGCTCCAGGCTTCGTCGCCATCTCGGTGATCATATGCATGCCTCTCAGATGTTGGGGAAAAAGGGGCTTAGGGCTCATAGGCGCGGCCCTAGTAGCCCTAGCATAGGAGCAAACTCGACTCTGCGTGGCACCTGTGAGCTTGAAAATGCGCTCGTAGTCGCCATACTCGTTCTCGTATGCGAAGAAAAGGTCGCGTATTCCTCCAGAGGCTTCAAACGAAATCGCACTAAGTGATCTAGGGTTTAGGACATCAGTGGCTGTGCGTGCGAAGGTTTACAAGCTCAAGGCAGATGCCGAATGTCGAAGGCTTTCACTTTCAAGGCCTAAGCCTTGGGGGGGCGTTGAGGCCATGATCGAACGACTTCCAAGCCGCCCAACCCACGCCCCATGCTCCATTGCGTTTGTCGTCTCTAGGCAACAAATGGTAAATTCACGGAAGCCCCAACCTCGCCCTAAACCCCACCAGCCCACAACAAATCTGCAACTGAGCACGACAAAATCCGAAAATCCGAGTCCACGGCTTTCTGGCATGAGCCGGTACTGGAAGGACAAGCCCAGGATCAGAGGCAAGCCATCCTAGCAGCTTGCTACAGCAAATGGGCTAGTCTGGATAAAAAGGACAGGTTACAAGTAAAATAACTTACAGAAAACGAGAATAAGAATCGTCAGGAATCGTCCCATTGCCAAGACTAATCATGATTCCTATCCGTACGCATGGGGGGGTCGCAGTCTCGGTCACTACATCAATCCACGCACAAACCCTAAACCCTAAACCATAACACCAAATCCTACAATCCAAAGTCGAAAAATGCAGTATTCACGGCGCCCTATCATCAACTGATACTCCATACACACATGTAGACATGTCTAAATGTGTACATACACATATCTATATAGATATATATGTCATAGCACAAGACTTACCTTGGGTTAGTAGGGAATGGAGGAATGGAGTACAAGTATAACTACTACTAGCAGTAGCATTCTTCCATTCCCTACTAACCAAAGGTAAGAAGAAGGTTGTCGGTGTCCTGACTTCACAGTACCACCAAGGGCTCATAGGCATGGTAACCCTAGTTTGTCGGCCATGCCAGAGGGGTTTGTGTGGAAGGTAATATCGAGCCCTAAACAGTTACCAATAGGTACAAACATGTGAAGATATATATGTACATATGCATATATACATACATACTATACATAGATACATGTATATACACACAAACCACCTAATTCTGTATGCATGCAAACAGTAACAGTGCAGGAACTCCCACAAAAAAACAAAAACCCTGGACCCAGGAGCCGGTCCGCCGTCCGGCCGTCCAGCAAGTCTCGGTGGACCTCTGATACGAGAAGAGTCAGAGCAATAAGAACAATTATAATCGTAGTAGTAGTAGTAATAATCAGAAAAGTTCTAGTACTGACAATAAACATAGTAGTAATACTAATAATAATAATAATAACAATAATAGTAATCATAATGAGGCTTATTATCATAACAATGATCATGATCATGACAAGAGGCATAATTGCAGTACAAACACCAACACTAATACTGGTACTAATAATAATACAAATCCTATCAGAAATACTCATGTATCAACTAATTAACTAATTGTATCAATAATTATACTCTTCGCAGGGGTGCGTGCCATGCACCGGAGGAGATCGGGCTTGGAGAGTTGAGTTTAGTTTGAGTTTCGTCTTCGGGGATTATGATTTAGGTTCTGTGGTTATGGGATTTTTCGACCACGACTAGGCGATTCAGGATTATGCTGACGAAGTTTGAGAGATTGAGATTTGAAGACCTGTCGGAGTTCTTTGAGTTTCTGGAGTTTGCGGAATCTCGGATGATGTGGATTGGTTGAATTTCCGGAGGTTTTGGAATTTCTGGAAGGTGCGGCGCTCTCGCGATTTCCAGGTGCTTGAAAAATTGCGGACTTCTTGCAACTACTGATTTATTGAGTTTTTTGAAGTTGGTAGATTCCGAAAGGGTTGACATGGAAAGCCTTGAGTTGTGCCTCCTTCTGTTGTAGCTGTATATGGGTCTATGAGCCGATTCGGCATGCGACGATGTACATTACATAGATAGCTTTGAGACAAAGTGCACTGCTTGTGTTTTGCATATGGCTGATACCAGGCCTGGCATTACTAATCCTACTTGTCGAAACTGCGAACCTCACTCATGTAACGAATATTAGTAGAAATGCTAATGCCACTAAGCTAGTCGGCATCACTGCTTTTACGAATGGCACTCGTACTGGCAAGAACACCACGATGATTGATCTTACTCGAGGACCCCACCGTCAGAACACGAACAACCTCAACATGACGAAAATTGTCACGACGAATCGCATACAACGTGTGCAATCGAGCGTGGCGCCCCTCGAAAAAGGATTAGTCAAAAAAACTATACGTCTAGCAATACAGTGGGAATGACTCCAACCAATAAAGCTAATCATCACAATTGCTGTGAAGATGCCTGCCATTCATGAAACGACAGCATTAATGTCACCCACATCTTCATACTAAGCCCTTGGCAGAACACTCACTCATGATGTTGGTGATTCCACAAATCATGTGCAGCGTCGGAAATACTCCTGCTTTAGATTCTGCCGGAAACGGCGTCATCAAAATTTAACGCTGCCAGCATTACTTGCAGCATAAAATCACCAAAACTACACTCCCGCTTCAAACAGCTACTGGAATAGACAAGATAACACACATCGTGGGTCTTGCATTTCGACAACGTCGATACTGTTACTGCCGTTGCCGAAGTGACTAGTCACAGTGTCTTATTGACGTCGCACTGTCCGTGTGATGAAAGTGCAACGAATCTGACGCAAAGACGAAGTGTGACACTGTCAGTAATCTCCGACCCTTTGCAAGCAATGATAGCATTTATGGTTCTTGACGCTACGTGTACTGTGCAAATGTAGCTGCTGTCACGCGTTTACCTAATCAATGCTACTGCTATGCACATGTTTGCGAATGCTGCGCACGACTCATGCGATGTTTGTAGTGTAGCTCTGATGCTATTGATTTCACTCAGGTCCTACTATTTTAACATCACAAAGCTTGTATCGGCAGGATTCTGTGGGCCACATCGGAATTCCCAGTGCGAGGTTTGGCGCCATCATTTCTGTCTAGCAACGAGAGTGCAAAGCACGCTTCGCGGTTTGTGTGTGTGTTTGTGTGTCTCTGAGACTGTGTAAGTATGAGTATATATACATAGATACTTTTGTATACGTATATACATATGTATACATATATACTGATATACACATATACATATACATATACATACATATATATATATATATATAGATGCATACATATATATATATATATATACATATATATATATATATACACATGCACATATGCACATATACATATATACATCTAAACTATACAAAGATACATATAAACTATACCAAGATACCAGACACGTATACGTGCTAAACATATATATATATATATGCATGTGTACACACACATATTCATATATATATATATATATATATGTATACATATACATATACAATTGCATATGCAGATATATATATATATATATAGACATCTACATATAGATATATGAACATGTATGAATGCATATGTGTATATATATATGTATATACAAATATGTAGATACTCATATATCACATACATCCACTCGGTGCAGGCCTGGTTGTACTCCAGTGTCTGAATAGTCTTGGGATACCTGTGCTGTCCAACCACATGCACCCTTGACCATAAGTGGGAGCTTCCGTTTGCTTACGAGCTCTTGGCTTCGTTGTCACTTCCCACTGGATGGCGGTTCGGGCTTATTAGGCCTCTCTGCATCGAACAACCCGAAAACGCAACCCTTCTGTCACCCACCTCACGTAGGAGGTGAACGGGCCAACGAAGTTTATGCCTGCACTCACAGGGACTGACTGGAAGCTCTGCTGTCGGGCTGTCGGAAAAGCGAAATGCAAAACGAAACACTCGCGTAGCAACAAGAAAAGACGGCCGTGGCAATAGTCGACATCGTGTTACCGTGCTGGTTTCAATTGTAATTCTGTTGAATTTACGTTAGTATCCACAGTTGGTTTTAGTCATCAGGTGCGTCACTACGAGCCGGGTGCGCGAGCAGAAGTAAGAGCAAAGTGGCAGCCCCACTAGCAGCAGCACCAGAACCACCACCACCACCACCACCACCACCACAACCACGACCTCCAAGTGCAACAACAACCAACACGTATAAAACTGGTGATGAGGAAAACTCTACGACACCACGAAACGGCGATGCCTGGTGTTGCAACCACTTCGTCGCCGATTGTCTGCAGAAGCCAATTGTACCTGTCACAGAGTCGAAGACCATGAATGCTTCTGGCGGGCAAGCTTCAATGCGGTTTGATGCATCTGGCTTTGCATGAGACTGCACTCTGTACTACCATACTGCATTAACGGTAACCGCTTTTTCGCTGAGCCAACTGCATAGAACCAACAACATTGTAAATTATGGCATCAATGCTGTTACTGCATGTTATTCATACCGGTGAGCTGTTTTGGAGCCCAAACGACTTGCAAGGGAGGGCGGGTGACTAGCAATGTCGACTGACCACCATCATTCTCAACAACAACAAGAACATGAAGAGCAGCATCAGCATCACAACCAGCATGACCGCCACAACCTCCATCACCACTGAAGTACCACCACCAACATCACGAGCATCCACAGTGTTGAGCGTCATCAACGTCATGAATGTAATCAGCATCATCACTACCATCACGGCCACCGCCAGCACCACCACAACCAAAAACAAGGACCAGCACCGATCACCATCTCTGACCCACATCACCACCAGCGGCATCCTTATCATCACTACCACCGTGATGTCGTTACTGTTGTCGCGGCTGTGACCATGACTATGTTCACTATGAGATCTCGTCCATTCATGCCGATCTTCCAGCAGACTCGCACGCCTTGCTCAATCATTGGAGCGACAGGGGTGATTGTCAAAAGTATACCATGCAGGGTCATGAGGTCCACTTAAAAGAAGCATGCCCCAAGCCTTAGACCTTCAAACCCTATACACCCTCATCCCCGCCGCCGAGGGAGGCGCTTCAGAGCGACTTCCGTCGGCTGCAGCAACTGCACGGACAGGAACAGCACGAAAACCTCAAAATGCGCGGAATCCGATCTGCAAGTCTGCCGAACGCAGAGCTTTTTAGCTGCCAGCTGGAAGATCATCCGGATAAGAAGGCAGGGCAAGGCAAATAACCGGAATAAATGCGGCGGTATTCCGTCGAGGACACAGGCCAGAAGCGCTTTGAAGGGCCTTGCCAGAACCTCGTTCTAACCTTTAGGGTTGCCAAAGCTAAGGAAGGAAAGAAAAGGCTGGTGCTTGTGCAGAACATGGGCTGAACGGAAGGGGCCAGCTGTTCGACGGGTTGCAAACTAAACGTCTTGGCAGGCTTTGCACACTGATGAAGTCGATGTTCGTGTCAGTACTGTTTGTCAGTGACGAAATGCCGACGTGCAAAGCTTGCTAGGACCCTGAACCCTTAAACCCTACACCCCCAAAACCCCAAAACCCTAAAACCCTAAAACCCTAAAACCCTAAACAGAAAGCCGAGCTTGGCACAGTGAATGCAGCCAGCGTCGTGCAACAAAACTCCAAGGCCGCCATCGCTCTCGACCCAAGAGTTCACAGGGCTACTTAAAGGCTCATGGGACTTAGTAACTAGGGTTATAAATAAGGTAACCATACTTATAATTACTTATAACCCCAATTAGGGGACTTATAACCTTACTTACTAAGTCCCATGATCCTCTAACTAGGAAACATCGGAAGCTCTGAGAGATCCATCAAAAGGGACTGTAGGGGCCTTCATAATTAGAATAAGGTTTGGGTTTGGGGGTGTAGTATACTATAACCCTATTCCAATTATTAAGGTTCCTACAGTAGCACAGCTTAAGTTAGAAGACACAGCCTGCGTCGCTTCTCAGATCTATTCGCTGCCAGCGCCAGCAGCAACGGGGCCAGAAGCTTGAAGGCAACCAGCTGCGGAGTGAAGGCTTTCCACAATGCTACCGCTCTCGGGTCAACTGCATCAGCGCTCCTCCATACCTTTTGCAGTGGTCATGCAAGCGAATCGACCTGCTGTGAACAGCTCAAGTCTTCGTTCGCTGCGCTTCACTACACCCACCACATTGGGCACTACACCGAGCAACGCTGCTTGGCTACGTATTCACACTGGCGAAGAAGGGCCGCGTCCTCAGTTCACAGCCAGAGCTATGGCAGTCCAAATCCCTGGGCAAAAACGTATTTGCAGCTGCCTAACCTCTGCATCTATACTGTTGGGTGCCCACTGTTCGCCCCTGCGCCTGGGCAGCGTCAGAGTTATAATTTGTTTCCCCGGCTTGATATCTCAAACCTGGGCGAACTATATACCCCTCGCGCTCTTTCGACAAAAAGGCACATGCCACAACCACATCATGTACTTTATTGTCATGATAGAAAGATGCGGAAATATAGCATTCTGATACACTCTGAGCCTAAGATTGCAAAATAGCGTGATCCTGGTCGATTGGTGGATGTTTTTAGGTTGCAATTTTACAGGGAGCGGTCTCTTTACACAGCTTGCAGCTCTTGCGACTTCGACACCACTGCTTCTCGAGGGCGCGTCGGAGCTGATCGCCACGGCCCGCTCATATCGGTCGGTCGGTCGGTCGGATGGTGGGCTGGTTGGTTGGTGGGTTGGTTGCTGAGTTGATTGCTGGGTTGGTAGTCGGTCAGTCGTCGGTCACCAGGTCAGTCGGTAAGTGGGTCAGTCGGCCGCTCAGTCGCTCAGTCAGGCAGTGTCTCAGTCAGCCAATGCTTTTGACTACGACCAACGAAACGTAACTAGCAACTACAAAGTTCGCAAAGGTCTTACTATAAAAATGGCTGGGCACTCCTTCCGATCCTAAACCAGCTCCCTAAATCAGCTTAGGGGTCCCATTAGTACACGAACATATTCCCAAAAGCCAGTACAGATCATGTTCGGGCTCCTGTTGCATGTCATACCAAGCGAATTCCCTACAGAAGGTCAAGGTAATATAGTCAATATAGGGACTCAATAACAAGAAAAGGGTTCTGCAGTACATTATAGAATATATATATATATATATGAAGGAACCCTCAGAAATACCACTCTGGATAATTCGGCCCCTATACTATATCCCACGATCTGAGGAAATGGACTGCTCAGGTCATGGCATGAGGAAGCTGTGCAACTTCGAGAGGAAAACCTGGGCAAGTTTACTGCACGAATAGCCCAGCAAAAGGGATCAGGCTGGATGGAGTCTTGCGAAACGGTCTAAGTGTCAGGTTTGGGGGTCTGCAATAGCCTGGCCCAAGCCCGACTCGCTGAAATCCGATGCGAATGAGGAGACTGGGCAGAAGGAGGAGGAAGATCCCAAACCCCAAGCCGAATTGTCCGTGAGGACCGGACCGGGCATTTTGCCAGGTCGTCCCCGAGACGGTACAGCGGATTCTTGATCACGTGCTCCACGAAAATGTCTGCATAGATTTGTCTGAGACATTCCTGCAGGAATTGGCGTCACCATTCCCGGATTATGGCGTCCACTAGCGTGTGGGCGACATGTGTGAAAATTCCATGTTCAAGCGGTGATGTCCCGCATGTTTTGTCGATGATTTGCACAGATACCAAAAAACGTTTGTGAAAGCGGCACTGCGATAGTCCTAGCGTCGAACCAGAATGACAAGCAGATCGTACTGAGGTGTAAACTACGGTGGCCTTACCCTTCCGCACATTCTGAATCGTACACGGACATGAAGTCGCAATATGATTAGTTTGCGTATCGTATGTGTGCATACAGATCCCATTCTGCGCACATGACTCGCATAACTGCCCATGAAGCATGTGTGCTCGCTATTCATGTATGCCTAAATCTGTATGTGCCTAAGCTTCTTTATGTAACTGTAGTGTTTATGTCTATGTATTTATCTGTGTTGATTGTTAGGTACTACTCCTGGACTAGTATGTCCCACTATATCTTGTCGAATTTTTTGCGTATTCACATTATGTACAAATCTACGTACGGTCTGCATGTCTGCACATTATATGAGAGTTTTGAAGAAACTGTTCTATCACGCATGCTACGCGGAACTGCCTGTTGGTCCGGCACCGCAGGGTCTGTGGTCAGTACGAAGCGGTACCTGACAGTCGGTCTTGGCAGGGCAGTACATCGGAGTTGCAAATCTGGCAAGAAATGCGGGGACCTTAAGTGGCGAACTAGTAACTATGCGACCCGTTGCAGTATCATGCTTCCCCTTTCGCATTTGCAGTCTTGCTCCGGGGAAATCTGAGGACCTGTGCCATACCTGTTTTTCAAGCCCTGCTTTGGCCTTCAGCCCTCCCCCCCGCAAGCTCCGAACTCAAAGGGCAATGAATCTCTGAAGGCTTAAGCAGCTGAACCCCTCAAAACCTTTGAACCCCACTCGACATACGCACATCACTGTGCCACAAGCCGCAGGGCCGGGCAAGCTACGTTCTAGCTCCCATGAGCGCCGCACCCGGAGATGGTCTCGAAGGAGTGTAGCTTGTACCTGCAGGAAAGTCAGAATCGAGAAAGCAAAGTGCAACTACGATGTGACTACCATATTGTTTCGAGTTTCGCGAAGAAGGACTTAGTGTTTGGAAAGCTCTGCGAAAGCCGAATGTGCATGTCGAGAAATGTTATGCACGTTTGAGTTCTTGCTGGTTCGCACTGACTTGTTGGACCCGAATCGCAAACCCCCATCCGAACAGGGAGGGCCGTTTCCCTCATCCGGACGATTCCGAAAGTAGAGCCAGCTTCGCTCTGAGGCTTCTCTTCAGACACTACTTGTAGCTAAAAGCTCAGGGTTGAGGATTTGAGTCCCCCATTCACACCAGGAGACCCCCAGTACATTGCATGTCGTGGTTGGACAGCATCACAGCAGAAACTACGAGCTTAGGGATACTCCGACAGGTGGCAACGGTCACCATCGTAGGCTAGTAGGCTACTGTTACCTCAGTAACCGCAGTAGTCAAGAAGAGCAAGAACAAGAAGTGTGAAGCGCACTGCGAGGTGGTGTAGGACAGGAAGGCTTGTGTGTTCGACGGGCCCAGCTGCCTGGCTGCTCTGTGACGGCGAAATTCCATATATATATATATACACACACACACACATATATATATACATATATATACATATATATATATATATATACATATACACACGTGTATGAGAAATCTGAGTCTGTGTGTATATATATATATGTATATACCATCTAGGAAGATATGTATGTATGCATATATCTATAAACATGTAGAAACTGTGTGCGTGTGTTCGTGTATATGTTTATATATATACATATACATATATATATATAAACACATGTATCTACATATATGTACAGACTTACATAATATGCAGATACATGCATATACCTAAGATATACACACGTGTTGATGTACTTATTTATTCATGTACTTGTTTGTTTGTTGCAGTATATAAACATACATACATACATACATACATACATACATACATACATGCAAACATACATACACACGTACATTCCTACATTCCTACCCTACATAATGCATGTGTATATATATATATATATATATACATATATATATATACATATACATATGAGCTATACCATATACCCCTCTGGGTGGGGATCGCCTTTGTTTTGCTGCATTTAAGCTTGGGAGGAGACGAATCGACCCCTGAATCGTCGTCAATCACGCTAAAGACGAGCACAAACCGCCAGCGGACGAGACACACCAGGACATATCTGAAACAGCGCTGCAACTACTTGGAGCTGGACTGTGCGAAGGACTTCAGGGTGATCAACACGCCGCTGACATACTTCGTCTCCTGTGAGAAAGGGTGATCTCCACGAGACCTCACGAAAATTCAGACCCTGTCCTCTGCAATGTCTCGGCAAGGGCGAGTTCGATTCCACTCCTTCCATCGGGCAGAGCGCTTTTGTGTCTTCCTCTGCAAACTCTGCACCCCATTTACGAGATCAGAGTAGTTACGAACCGCATCTTCCAGCTCGTTTTTTAAGCAAAAAATACACAGCTTTGTGCATCATGCTTGTGACCCTGCCACGTCTAGCTCTCGCTTATCCTCCAAGCAGATCCCTTGGCACCCGTGCATCTCCTCGCGGCAGAGCAGCTTACGGCCCCGTCCAAAGGCATAGAAGTTGTAAATCCTCAAGCTGCGCCACTTAGGTTTCAGGGGGATCCTGGTCAAGCACTGCTGGGAAACGCCAAGCTTCGACACCGAAGGTTGAAATCAACTTTCTGTCTTGAGCCCTGAACCCTCACCGGCAAGCCAGAAATACAAAACTCACAAGACACACTATGACTCTTACAATGGAAGTTTGTCTTGAAGCCGCATACAGTTGGCCAAGTCACGTGGCTCCTCATGCATGTGCATACTGCATACTCTACATACATACATACATACATACATGTAGATTCAATGTGTGCATATATATATATATATATGTATGTATATATATATATATCCACGTTTGTCGATGGAATGTACACACACACACAGAGGAATACGTGCACACATACATGGATACATGCATACATACATACATACAAACATACCTACATACATACGTGCGTACATACGTACATACCCCTATAATATACATATATGTTTGCATATACATAAGGGTATACGTACACATATGCACATAAATATACTTAACTAGTGCATATGCACAAGTGCATATACATATAGGTATGCGTATACATATACATAAATATATGTATATATGCACACATGTATGTATGTATGTATGTTTATGTATTTATATATGTATGTATGGGTATAAATAAATGCATATAATATATTATATATTATATTATATTATATATAAGGCTCACTCTCTCTTCTCTCTTTTCTTCTTGCGGAGCAAGGTGTTTGCACGAGTAAAAAGCGGGATATGACCTTTCAAACCGGGGCTCTACCTGGATCGCGCGCTTACAACTCGCAGTCAACGCGCCTCAGCGCTTACAAATCAATGTGCCGCGGCACTTACAAGTCAATGCGCCTAAGCGCTTACAAATCACTGCGCACGAGAGGGAACTCCGAGCACGATGACATGGTCTGCATGTGGAAATCTTTGAAGATAAAGCGGTTATCATGCGATTAGTTTGGAATTCCCCCTTATCGTGTCAGAGTTCATCTCATCCAGGGAGCCCCTCAAGGCTATGCAGAACGGCACCCGTGGTGCCGCAAAACTAGAGCCGGCAGCTCTGGCGGAGAAATCGGCCAAGATGCCTGCAGGGTGGGAGCGGAGGGTGAGCAAGAACACCGACTGCTTGGAAAACACGTCAGATTCGGTTCGCCTTAACTTACGTGCAACGAAGAACAAAGGCTCACTCTCTCTTCTCTCTTTTTTTCTTGCGGAGCAAGGTGTTTGTACGAGTAAAAAGCGGGATATGACCTTTCAAACCGGGGCTCTACCTGGATCGTGCGCTTACAACTCGCAGTCAACGCGCCTCAGCGCTTACAAATCAATGTGCCGCGGCACTTACAAGTCAATGCGCCTAAGCGCTTACAAATCACTGCGCACGAGAGGGAACTCCGAGCACGATGACATGGTCTGCATGTGGAAATCTTTGAAGATAAAGCGGTTATCATGCGATTAGTTTGGAATTCCCCCTTATCCACGTCCCCTAGCAGTCATACCATGATCAAGTCGCTGTTGAGCAAAATATCGTGCAAAATGAGCCTGCAATGGTGGCTTACGAATATCATATTGCATGCAAGCCAACTGGGCCAAACCGTCGTTGATGTACAGACGGACCGTTCGGTCAGAGGCCCACCTGCCCATGAGCTTGACATAATCCAAAGAAGCTTTCTTTCGGAACCACATGGTCGCGCCCCCTCGGCGTAAACTATAGGGCCTGAACGCCCAAGCTTCCAAATGCAGTGCTCGCAAGGCTTTGTCAAAAGCCTGTCTGAAATGATATTCAGAGGGCACCAAGAAAGCATGAGAGCTTGAACGCTCTTGCCACTGCCTCAAGCGGATGCAGACCGGCTTCACTTGCAAAGTGACAGAGTCACTCGCCCCAGAGCGCTGAGAAGTTTTTTTTTCTCCCAGGTTGAACACTGCACAATCAAGCGCCTGGGATACACTGATATGGTTGGCTCTCAAGTTCAAAAGTTCTCCGGTTCTGAGAACCCCATAAAAGGCAACTTCAAGAGCGAGGGCCATGTTTGGAAGATTCAAGCTCAAGAAATAACCACAAAGCGCATGCAGCAAATCTTCAGGGAGAGGTGGCGCTCGCCTAGGCATCTCACGACGTTGCCAGGTTTTGACTAGCCGCCACGACAGGCTAAGGTTTCCCTTCAAATGTGGACGCATGTCTTGCAATCCGGAAAGCCCGTCTGTGGCCAAGGACAACCCTTCACCTTCCTCCCACAAGTGTTCCATGAACTCCGCAAACAAAGAGTCGAGGGAAAAGGCATCATCCGGGATGCGTTTCTTGCGAAACTGGCAGTAAAGATAAAAAGCTTGTAAGGCTGAGTGGTATCGCTGGCGTGTCTTGGGTGAGACGGTGTTGGCTCGCAAACTGCCCAACTGTCTTCGAGCAGCTTTCCGTTCGTCACGCGTACGCCCCGCCAAAATGGTTATTTTAACCATTTTTTCTTGACCCGAGCCCTTCGGCTCGGTCTGTCCGCTGGGTTGGAGTCGGTGGAGACGTAGGTGACAAACGGATGGAGCCCTGTAGCCAAAATTAAAGAAGACACGCGATACAAAAGTGACTGTAACTTGTGCGAGCTAGACCGCCCACGACGCAAAAGGTGCAAACATACCATGGAATCGGTCAAGTGCAGGAAGCGAACACGTGTGTGTTTTTGCCGGAGTACTCGCCACCTTAAGGCTGTGTAGAGCGCCCTGAGTTCCAGACGGTTTATGTGGTCTTGTGACGCGTTGGGCCATCGCCAGCCACATATTTCACGCCAAGCCCATAGGTTGGCTGGAATGCTGTTGCGGAAACGCTGCTGTACTCGTGCTTCTCCTGACACCTGCAACATGACATCCTCCCCTTTAGCTGACATGAGTGTCATGAGTTTCTGAGCTAGCTGCTCAGCGACCGGAGAGTCGTTTCGAAATGTCCGTCCCAGACTGTGCCATGCAAGCAGACAATCCCCGTGAACAGGAAGATCACGATACAGAGTAGCAATGAGTCCGTCCAAAGTGCACACCATGCACAACTCCAGAGGGGCCAACAACTGCATCAAAAGAAAAGCGACGACTGCAACATGCCAAGCGTTTCCAATCAAAGCCATGCGGACGTCCTCATGATGTTGTGGGTTGCTTTTGACCTCGCCTTTGGGGAGACTGTTTGCCGTGTAGCCAATGGGGTATCCCATAGCTCTTTCGCGTTCGGAAATGGAAGCCAGACGAGGCGTTTGTGAGGAGTGCCAGAGCATATTGCAGTCTTGATATTGGTATGGCGGAAAACGATGACGATCCATCTCCCACCTGGTTTTCTCACTCGGGCTGCATCTCTCCAAACCTGCTGAGGTAGCCCGTGGTGTATCCGAGGGCTGGGCAGAAGTGAATGTGTGAAATTTTTGAACGCCGTCGAAAAACTTCCACCCAGGCTCCAGAATCCCTTTGGCATCCAGTTCGATGTTGAACTTCACCTCCCCGTAGCTCGTCGGAGATGTGTCTGAAGGAGGGTACAACAAGATCTGACCAGTACCTGCAAGTCCCCAATCAAACCAATAAAGGCGATCCCGACGACAAGGAGAAATTCCTGATGCTGAAATCAGATACGGAAGCACCCCTGCTTGAGTGGTATAAATAGCTCGGTCATGGGGCCCCAAACCGAACACACTCTCTTGCAGGAAATGAACTTGTGCCCATGGGAAAGCTTCTCGGAGCATGGCTACGACAGGCTGTACCAAAGTGTGCGGAGCCCGGGGAGAAGTCGGCGCATCGTCATCGTTGCTCGGAATGGAGTGGGACTTGCGAGAACAATCTTTTGGACAGGGGGGTCCGGCACCTACCAGCACCAATCGGGCGTTCGATGCGAGTCCCGCCCATTCCTTACACCTCTCAGTGACATCCTCAACTCGATCAAGAAAGTGAACGCGAGGAAATGCTGTTTCAACTACTCTGCGCGCGTGAGGATCCACTTCCACAGATACGTGCAAACAGACATGGGCTCTGATAGCCTCCAAAGCAAAACACGAAGTCCAGAAATGCCGTCGAAAAGTCCCACGCAGACTATGCCGTGTTCCGGGATGTCGACTGGAGTTTCGCCTCTGAAAGGAAGTGAAGCAACTGAGGCCCCATAAGCCGACACGCTGTCGCTAGCACACACGCCTCCGCCTAGCATGGATGCATCACTGGCCGTGACCAATCCTGAGAGCGTCGAACGAAAATCGAAATGGGCCAACGGGAGTAAGCTCATGAACATGAACAGTTCGGACTTCACGGCTCCTGGAATGGTTTGAGACCAGGCATCACATTCTTCGAAGCTTTGGATAAACTGCCACACATAGTTGAGACAAGACATCAAAGCCCGCCGAAACATTGCAATGTATACGAACCCGCCGGCCACAATCCGGATCTCTTTTTGAGTGCAAAACCCCCTCCTAAGCAAGGAGAGTGTCGCACTGACATACTTGTTGCCCAACTTGTCGCCTTTTGGCCGTCCTGTTCCAGCTGACCCATCAATGTCTGCCCCCTGCAATTCAGCTCGACTGCTTTGTCTCACCGATTTCTTGGGGTTGAGGGGGATTCCTGATTCTTGGTAAGCTGCAAGCAGTGGTGAGATTTCTGCCGATACTTGCCCTTCAAGCAAAGAAACTGCCGACGGAGAAACCTTTTCCAGAACATCCAAACTGTCCAAATAAACTCGCCAAGAAGGGTTCGCCAGTGTGAAAGAACGATCTTTGCGGATTTCAGAAAATCCTCGAAGCTTCGAGGGTGACCCTTGCACTCTTCGTAGAAAATTTCTGTGAAGATGCTGCGCAATTCCCACACTATTCAGGAATCCCATAGGTAGCACTTTGGCAGACAAGTAGCAGCGTTCGGTCACTCCCGGGGGGACCAAGTCTGGGGGTACTGGCTTGGAAAACGTAAGGTATGGTAACCAGGATGTGGGCAAGGAGAATACGTAGAAGAAACAGCGAACATCTTCACTGGAAATGACCATTTCTTCGTGAGGGTGCAACTGCAACGCGTTCATCTGGTGCATCAAAGCGAGTGTCCCGACATCCCCCTCCACACTGACGCATAGAGAATTGAACGGCACCAGATTCATGATTAAGCGATGAGTTTCAGTGCCCTCGTGCAGCTCTCCTTTCTCAATCCCAAACAATCCATTCTGAACCAAACGCCCCCCTGCTCTTGCGACCGCGCTCTCTGGGATGACAGCCACCAAATTGTACTCGACTTGACCACGAGCTAACTCTGGCCAGTCTCGCTCCTCAACCATGACCCTTGAACTCCGAATCTCATGCTCATCCCAGTTTGCTTTCAGGTACCGCTCCGGATTTTGGAGTGCATCTAGAACACCTCCTTCGGCTAAGCTGATGGCGGGAACCTTGCCGATGGCCCCGTAGGGCAAAGCCGGTTTAACGTGCGCCCAAGATGTCCAGCGAGCTGTGCGGACCTCTTCTCCGCTGTAGCTCAAACTTCGGGTCTGAAGAAACTTCGACCAAAGGAACTGTTCCACTTGGAATTCGTGCTCAAGGAATAATCTAACACGATCCTCCAAATAACCCAGCACATGCGACTGAATTTGGGTTGGCGGTGCTACATCCACTTTCCCGTATCTCCCAGAATGCAAATAGTTGAGCCCGCAGACCAAAACATAGAGCCATACTTTTGACATGTTCCCAGTCTGCCTATACTCATCCAGCATGTGCTTTCCGGGCAGGGGCAAAGGGAAAAGGTCTCTCTTCCTCTGGTCTTTTCCCTCTGCCGTCTTCTCCTCCTCTGCTCCGCAAGATAGAATCACAAGCTCTGAGAACCCACAACTTGCACTGCCCAGAACAGACCTCAAAAGTACTTCACCCAAGGCTCCTGAATTGCACGGAAGTTCGTAACTTCCGTCTGCTGTACCGACAGGGTCCCGCCTATCGCAACGATTAGTGTCAGAAGACCTTGAGGCCTCCGCTCCTGCCGGCAACAAGTTGGCAGCCTCTGGCAGGCCCGAGCTCAACGGTCCTGCTTGGGCCCTCCCATTCAATGGGAGGGTTTGGTTGGCTCTGTCCTTGGGGCTGGGGGTCGATCCCACTTCCCTGCCCCTTTCTTGCCGTCGCCCTTCTTGCCTTTCTCTGTCCACTTTCCTTTGCCTTCGCGCTCCCACCAGCCTTTGCCTTTCCCCATGTCTCTCTTGGCTTTGGTTTCTTGCCGATATTCTCTCACGGCCCCTTGAGCCTCTGCTACTCCGGCCAATTCCTCCTGATCCATGGGGATGAGCTCCAAATTCTGTGCTACGGGCCACGTGGCGCCGCCTACCACCATTTCGATAGCTTTGATTCTCTGAGTCACCACGTCTAGGCTCCCATGAATATCCCTGACGATCAATCGGTCTGCTACGGCTGCCAAGGTGAGGAGCTCGCGCTTCTGACCCGCTGTAGCCCCTTGGGTCAAGACATGCTGGCGCATATACTTTTGATACAATGGCAGGATCCTGGCGTCCTCCTCCCCGCCGTGCTGGACTAAGATTCTCCCCATCTCGTCTAGAGCACGTCGGCTCAATAGCCCGGGGTATTTCCGTGCCAACTGCCTGACTCTGTGGCCTTCGCGAAAAGGATGCCCTGAATCCTGTGAGTCGATGGATATGTTGCTTGAACTGCCCTCGGTTTCGGTTCTCTCGCTGGTGTGCCCGCTGCTGCTTCCTCTGTCCGCTCTCCTCTCCTTCTTGCGCTTCTTCTTGCCAGTCTTTTTCTTCCTCTTCTTGGCTTGGCGCAGGATGCCCCGCACCGTTTTGGTGGGATCTAATGGCCCGCCTTTGAAGGACTGACTGCCTGCTTTGATCAAGGCTTTGTCCCCTCTGGTCCCGAGTTCTCTCGCTCTCTCTCCGGACGCTGCGGCTAGCTTCCCTTTCGGATGTGCTAACTCGGCTAATTCCTTCTCTAAGACTCTAAGGGCCCTATGCCGGTCGGGCTCTCTGCAGGGAGGCTCTGTATGTTCAAAGCCCAGGGTGCCGCTGCGTCCTCCTTGACGACCGTGAGGCCATGAAATCCTCCTTGCGTCAGACCGAGCTTGGGGCATCCTACGGGGCAGAGGTGTACGGTCCCTTCTGGGGGATATCCCGATGAGTGACATGACTCCGCCCACGCTTTCAAGTCTGGGTTGTCAGTACCACGTAAAAGTATTGTTGCTGTGTAGCCTCCTCGTCCTAGGGTAATATGCTCCAAACGGCCGGACGCGTTGCACTGCTTGCCCCAATAATCGCCACCAAATTGGTAGACTTCCCCAAACTGCCAGAAGCTCAGCGGCAAGATTGAAATACTCTGTTCCTTTCCAGCCTGAAATTTGCCCTGGTAGTCCACAAAGGTTCTCACCCGTTTAGCGCCTCCTAAGGAAGGAGAGCCTCTTGGGCGGAGCGATGGCTTCTTGAGGATTCCCCGAACACGTGGGGCCATAAACACCTGACGAAGCACTCTGGTGATGAAGTTTGTTTTGAACCCCAGTCCTTCACTCGAGAGTATCGCCCTCCTCCGGCTCAGAGAAGTGCTCAGCTGCGGAATCGATGGACGGATGAGCGCGCGAGATTGCTAAGTCGACCTTTGCCTGCTGCCACTGTTTGCGTGCAATGCCCCTGTTCTTCTTCTGGCGTTTCAGCGCGTGCTCACGCTCAGCTGCCCCACGACTGCCTTCCGCAGCTCTCTTCACCAGTCCAGATCCAGCTCCCGATTTGTGGCGCGGCAACGGTGCACGGGATGGCTCAACGGAAGCTTTCGACTGCCCTGAACTGCTAGGTGTTGCACGGTCCTGAGGCCCGGTAGAACTACAAGCAAGCGAACCTCCAATCCGCAATGCACTAGCCAGGCTCTCGCTGGGAAGACCTGAAGTCTGACGCTCATATACCCCATCCGGGCCGGGAGGCTTGCCGAAGGAAACCCAGTCGCGCAATCTGACTTCGGTGTCACGCAATAAGTTGAGAACGGAAGCCCCACACTCAGTAGGCATGCGATTGCACAAAGTTCGAATGCGATCATTGGTTCTACAGATTGCGCAACTTGCTATCCCCTCGGTGCCCAGCTTTCTAAGTTCAAGGGAGTGTTTTCTGCACCAGTAGCACACCTCGGAGGCCATACCTGCTTTTCGACCTCCCTGAGCAAGAACAGCGACTGTTTGGAAAAGACGTCAGATTCGGTTCGCCTTAACTTACGTGCAACGAAGAACATATGTTATATATATTTATATATATATATATATATACATGTATGTGTGTGTGTGCGTATGTGATGTTACGTATGTACGTATGTATGTATGTGTGTGCATATATGTATTTCACAGACACATATACACGCATGCGCACATACATACGTGCATACATACACACCAACACATGTACGTAATGGATGGATCTCGAGTATGTATGTAGGTACGCACACAGGAATGTGTGCATGCTTTCATGCAGGCATGCAGGTAGGCAGGCAGGCAGGAAGGCAGGAAGGCAGGCAAGCAGGTATGTAAGCAGGTATATGGGCCGCTAGGCACACACGCAGGTAGGCAGGCAGGCAACAGAACATCATGTAGTCCTGTAGTATCGAGCAACTCCAAGATTTGCTAATCGTGATGTCGTGGCTGTTCCTTGGTGCAGCCGAGCAACATCGGGTAGGGTACAGTCCTGTCCACAACTCGACATGATGCATGCTAAGGTTTGACAAATGGCCGCGGAATGCCACGGAGACCAGGGAAAAGAGACGAGTATGTTTGAGCAAGGCTTCGAGGTTGCAGAGGCAGTATATAGTATAGTATATAGTATAGTAGAAAGTATAGTATATATAGTATAGTATATAGCATAGTATAGAAAAGTATATAGTATAGTACAGTATAGTATAGTATATGGTGTCGGTAGAAATTCAGAAGAGTACGCCGTGCGCTTTGGAGTCCAAAGGGTGTTGGGATTCCCACACACGAGACATCTAGCCGAGCTACGCTCCTTCCAGCGCAGCGCAGGCGCCGATCAGGCTAGATCATAACGGCATTGCTAACTGCGAAGATGAAAATGTAAACAAGCCTGCAAGACAACGGAATCTAATTGTGTGGTCGAACGGTCTGCACCCTGTAAGATTACCAAGGACGACAGCATTTGCGTGTCTGTTTGGGCCATACTGGTTCCATGGAATGGCAGCATGGCTTGACATGTCCAGCTTGCACCTATTACGGAAGTCTTGTCGTCTGGACGCTTGGGCAGAAATAAGACAAACGGTTATCTGTGACAGTTCAGAGCCAGTCAGGGTACAGCATCTGAAGCATGAAAATCTGCAAAGGACACCAGGACTACCATCGGCTGTGTGCAGTCGCCAATGGCTTTTGCCACGCCATCGCAAGGATCGGGAGGGAAAAGACATCCCTGAGCTTTCTCGGAAGCTGGGGCAGCTCCGGCAAGGCAAGGCACTTACACCGTAGGGTAGCCAGAAAAAGAGCAGCCTACAGCCGATGTAGTTGGCGGACTCCCTGGCTTTAACTCAGCCGCAATAAAGCGATTGGACTAGACTGACTAGACTAGACTGCCTGACGGCAGCCAGGTTCAGCAGTCTGCATTCCAACGGGGCATAGCATGACGGCACGTGCACCAAGGAGTGCAAGTGAGTGGCGTGTCGTACGGTGGTGCTGAGCTACATGGAGAGGCCTGGCTCAATGGCTCAGTGCGGAGGCTGCATCCGCAGCACCGCGTTCTGTCTCCATAACCCACTCTACCACGAAGCCGCAAGGATCTTACGTTCACGATGCCAGACATAACAAGAACCTTCGTTCTGCAGTGAACCACTGGATCCAGCTGGCGGTGGCTCCAGCTAGAAATGGGAGTTCCCGGCCCACAGCACTCTGAGGTGGTCCCTTTGCGAGAGGAAGTCGATGCTGGAAGGAGGAAAGTCCGCGAAGGTCTTCGCATCCCTCACCCAGAGCTACCATCCGCACGTTGCCCAGTGGGGCCCTTGAAAACCCACCAAAGAGGCTGAGTTTGTTCAGTTCGCGAGCGTCAGCCCCGTTGCGTAGCTCTGGCAGGGGCGAGTCTTCAGAGCTTTCCGAGCTAAGGGAGCCCCAAAGTGCACGGAACCTCCATACTGAGTTTCGGGAGCCTTCCTTCGGCATGCTCGATTTGCTGAACTTGCAGACTAGGCTTTAAACTTTGCAGCTCTGACTACACTTCTGCCATGACTGGCCCTTCGGCTACTGGCAAAAGCCAGGGCGTTTTGCAATCCTTGGTCGCTTGGTGCCTACCATCCCTACTCCTGAGATGCTACTATCTTCCGGTAGCCAAAATCCGGCCAGGATGGCTTTAGGGCCTAAAGCGGGGCTGGGTCGGCTAGGGTGTCGTGTGGGTGTAGTGCTTGGGGTCATGCCGGGAGTCATGAACGAAGCTCGCCACAGTCTGACCTCAGCCCTTCCCTTTCCCATCGCTCTGACGTCTACTTGCCTGGGCATCTGCCGGCGTGGGACCTTCACGGCTACGAGAGGAGTCTGGCTCGTCTCTGCCGCTTCCGGGACGCCTTTGTGGCCAGGCTTTCCTTCGCACAAACGAAGAGACCAAACCCCAACGCAGCTTCGTCCCTGGCAGCTGCAGCAGTGCCTCTGCCAAAGCTTGTGCAGGACTTGCAACTCTGCCTCAGGGCTGAAGCTTGCCTGCTGGACCGGACCGGATGGGAGCTAGTGGCGTGACATTTCTGGCAATTCCTCAGCTTGCACTTGCACCGAAGGCAGACGCGGGAAGGTGCTCCAGAACACCATGGCGCCATTTTCTCAGCTGCGAGCCCAGCATTCACAACATCAACTCGACAAGTTTCGCTGGCGGTAGCACTCGAATCTTGGCTCCCCGTCCTGAACCGCTTGGATGCGCCTTCTGAGTCGAGAATGCTCCAAACGAATGGAACCGGCAACTATCCACAAACCCGAGCCACGAAAAGTGGTTACGCAACAAGGCTGGAGTAGGAAATGATTGTCGCGGAGTCGGAACTTACAGCGGCCTCATTCCGGTGCCTCGTGATGATCTACTTAGACCACTTTACAGCTCCAGGTTGCCGGCTTTACGGCATCTAAATTCGACAGGCACCTCTGAGACATCTCAGCAAGAAGCCCTGCTTTCAAGGCCCATCTCCTGCCTGCGACCCTGATACGAGACCCAAGCCGGCGGAACCCCAACAACATTGCCCGAATCGCCTGTGGGAATCCGCGGAGGAACCAAGAGTTCCTTCAAAGGGTTCTTTAAGGGAGTAGACCAACACTATCGCGACGAGGCCGGCTCTGAACCTGTGCTGCACCTGACACACCTTTGTGCTTGGCGAAAAGCTTGACAAGCTCCGTCGCCGAACAAGAACTTTTTTGCTGATGGGCAAATTGCTGAAGCAGCCCATCATGCCAAAACAGAAGCGGCATGACTTTCATGCACCTCTTGCCGTCAAATGTGCTTCCTCGGCTGTTGATCACGGCCTAGAAAGCAACAAAGATCTTCCCCCAGATTGAACAATTCTGTAGCTTCTGAGCCTGTCTTGGCAAGCGAT